TCATTGGGCACAATGCAGGAACGTCCATGGACGGTGTCGACCTCGTTCATGTCCACTTCACCCAGGACAGCCCGAGAACGCCGTTACAGATGCAGCTCCTGCACTATGGAGAATACCCAATGCCTAAAAAACTCAAGGCAAGAGTCATGAAGCTCATTAAGGAGAACAAGACGACGCCCGAGGAAATGGCCATCGTCAACATCCAGCTGGGTGAGGTCATTAGCGACGCCGTCAATTGGTTCGCGCAGGAGAACAATTTCAGTCTGGCATCGGACGTCGATCTGATTGGTGGCCAGGGCCAGACTATCTGGCACCTACCCCTACCAGAGCTCTTTGAGGGCAACCAAAGCCGTGCACATCTCGACATGGGTGAGATTGCCATCATAGCCGCTGGCACGGGCGTCACCTCGCTTGGCAACTTTCGGGTGTCGGATATGGCTCTCGGCCGGCAAGGCTGCCCGCTGTTTGCAGCTCTTGACTCCCTCCTCCTGAGCCACCCGACGCTCAATCGTGCTGTGCAGAACATCGGCGGCATCGCAAACTTTTCGATCTTACCCCGAGGCGCTGTGGAAGAGTGCTACGACTTTGATACGGGACCTGGCAACGTGTTTATCGACGCTGCTGTGCGGTACTTCACCGGCGGTCAACTGGAATATGACAAGGATGGTGCCATGGGCCAGAAGGGCAAGGTTGACCAGTCTGTCGTAGATAGGGTGCTGCAGGGGCCGTACTTCGTGCATGATATACCCAAGACTACTGGCCGAGAGACGTTTGGGGATCGCATGGCGGAAGATATCTGCGACGAGATGCTGGCGCGTAAGTTGACTACTCCAATCGAGACTATATATGTATGTTTCGGCTGACAGAATGTGGCATTGCAGGCGGCGCTACGCCGGAGGACTGTGTCGCCACCATAACTCGCATCACAGCTCAGTCCCTGGCCGATGCCTACGAACGCTGGGGCCCGCCGGGGGGCGTGGACGAGATCTACATGGGTGGCGGTGGGTCGTATAACCCTAACATCGTCAACTACCTGAAGGAGCGCTTGCCCAACACACGCATTGTCCCCATCTCCGAGATTGGGATCCCTATCGGCGCAAAAGAAGCTCTCGGCTTTGCGCTCCTGACCCATGAGTGCTTCGTCGGCCGACCCATGATTGTGCCCAAGAGGACCGAATCGGACCGTCCAGGGGTGGTGGGCCAGATTCAGCCGGGCAAGAATATGCACCGAATCCGACAGCATGTTGCTCAGGTAAGTGGAACATTACAGAGCTATCCACGCGCCGTGCTGGATAACATGGTACTGACATCGACGACAGTTTTGGGGAGACTTTCCTGAGGAGGATGTGAAATGTACAACAAAGATGATCCTTCTCCCTTCGCTGTGCAACTCATAGTATACCGTGCTGGAAGTTTGTTCACTCATTTGGCGTTGATGGTGGATTCGTACCTTTGATCAGTCATTGCTTAAACTACGACAATAGCTGCTCGCAACAGAATGGAAGGAAATAGCGATGCTAAAGGGCTTTTCTCTTCGTAGCCAATCCAGTAATTTACTGCCGAGTCGAAGCCACGAGATCTCCTCGAAACGGGAAAATCTGGCCATGCCTAGTAAAGAGTGCGACGAGTCCAACGTTTATGGCCATAATCATCAGTTAAGTTATTCAAGAAATTAGTACTAATGACTGCCTCAAAACTAAGCTTAGGCCGGATGCGGTCTGGGCCGTAGGCATTGACAGATCTTTAAAGGCCAAGGTACTCCATAAAAGTAATCTATACCTTCTCTTGGGAAACGCAGATAGGGCTCCCCGCATGTCACTGGACCATCCCGATCCCGAAATCTGTAAACCCGCTAAGCCGTAATCCGGGGTGCAGCGAGACACAAAGCACGTGCACGACCTATCATCTATGAATTACATTCATTCATTCCTTGAACATACACACATATGACAGTCTGGACCAAGGAGATGCCACTCTTCTACGTGCAAAGGTGAAGACCATTTATCTACATTTCATGTTGATTGGCGAAGATGGGAAACTGCTGCAGTGATTTGTAAGCCACTATCCCCTGAAGCTATCTCGCGCCTTTGAGTTCGGACTAACCCAATCTTTATTCTCTCGCCACGGACCCAAGGCTGGTCCCCGCATTTAATTTGATTCTCTTCAGGAAAGCATGCACTATTTTGAGGCAATGACTGGACCGATCTGTGCATATGATATAGATAACACACACTCAAATTCGCGAAACTGTGCCATCGGCATTCTGCAATGCCTCCCTTTCGGGAATCCATCTCGAAACAAGTGCGAGGGCCTAGCTCGAGATCCAAGTTAGGTAGGCATAGGAACATGAGAGATGCCATTGTCTTTCATAACAGGGACGCTGACATTGATGTCAAGCCTGCGAGCAGTGCCGCAAGAACCACGTCAAGTGTGATCAGTCGCGGCCTTGCGCGTTATGCAAGCGACGAGGGGTTGAGTGTTCCCTTTGTCAAGACGTTACTTTTACCGCGCTCGAGTTCAAAGCACCCGCGGCTGGCTTTTTAAACGACTTCGTCTCCTCAAAGACAGTTGGAGGTCCAGGTTAGCAGCACCCACGGGACGGTAGCCCCCGCAGAAAACACTCTAACGCCTTCCCAGTAACAGCGACCTTTGTGGATGAAACGGAAGAGGTCGCCGACCTATACCAGGTCACAAGTGCGAGCGTCGAGGCCTCCAGCGTCGCATCTGACCAGCATCCGTCGCCATGGCCTGTACTACCCAGCCACGGTACCCCCGTCACGGATGCCACTGACGCCTTTTTCCTTTGGCGATACATTGACATCATCGGGCCGCGCTTCGACATGTTCGACGATGCACCGCGGTATTTCTCGACAATCGTGCCGCAGCTCGCTCTAAACGACACGCTTGTCCTGCTAACCTGTGTCGCCGTTGCAGCCCGCCAGTACTACCTTGTCAATGACCAGCAGCAACACAAGCACGAGCAGGCTTTGACATACTACAACGCGGCTATTCGCGTGCTGTCGAAGCGGCTGCAGGATAGCGGACCAGACCCTGCGGTATTTGCGAGCTGTCTGCTTATAGCTCATTGTGAGATGGTCGAGAGCGAGGCCACGGCCTGGGACTTGCACCTCAAGGGGACGGGGGATCTTCTCAAGATGCATGGTTGGCATGGGATGAGCGGCGGTTTGGCACAGGCTGTACGTCTTGTTCTCCACGCTGTGATGACGTTGGCTAACTGAATCTTCAATATAAAGTCATTTTGGATTTATTGCAGGATGATTATTCTTGCCTCTCTTTGTGCCGGCAGGCCGGCAGCATTGGAACCGAAAGAATGGATTCCCGGGGGTGTATTCCCTGATCCGCCCACGTGGACGCTCAAATCATGGCAGAAAAAGGTCGTTTTTCTCCTAGGGATGGTTCACGATTTCTGGAGTCGCACGCCCGACGACACCGAACGACACGCTAAGCAACTTCACGATGCCCGATGGAAGGAGCTTGAAGCTGAGCTGGTGCGCCACCAGAGCCGAGCGCCTCCTGTGTGCTCACCTATTAGTATTTTACCTCCGAATGCAGAGGACAATCCCTTCCAGTCGGTGCGTTACTTGAACGGTCCCGTGTCTGCAGCATGGCAAATGCTGCACACTGCGTTTCTCATCCTCACAATCTGCACTCCTTGCTCGGAGGCGAGTCGCCTCTCAGTGCTCTCCAGCCCCCACGTGACTCGCCGAGCACAGATGTACGCGCGTCAGATTGTCGCCAACTCACTGGCGAATCGATGCACCATCGCATGGGCGAACGCCGTCCAGCTCCTTACAATTGCGGGTCAGTGCCTCGTGGTCGACGCGGAGCGGAATGCATGCGTCCGCGTTCTGCGAGAGATTCAGCAACAAACGGGCTGGAACACGCGAGCGAGCATCGACAGACTTGGCGCAACGTGGGAGAATAGTTGGAGGTATGAGACCCGGGGACGGCACTCGGCGGTCGGACAAGTAGATGCCGGCAAGCTGCTGTATCATGTTTGGCTTGGTGATGTGAGAAGTCCAAGCTAAATGATTCGGGCTCCGATACGGCGCTAGACTTGAAATATATATCCACCCAAAGACCAGAATGGCAGGCCCTCAGAGGAGGCGTCTGTCGAAAATTCTCTGTATAGTGATGGCACTGTCCGTGTCCGGCGGTGGAGAAAATGAGTCGCTCCTCGGAACGGCTTGCTTTCAGACTGTATACGCTCGAAACATGAGGCGAGCGAAATAGTAGATAGACTACGACAACCAATTTGCTGCTGTACGACTAATTGCCTAACTGGGTAAGTCATTTGTGTTTAGCTCTATACTAAATCAGCTCATATATCTAAAGCACAAAGTGCATCAATAGGACTGATCCTCTACAACCAGGCTTAGGGAGTCAGGGGCTGTGATCCTCTCATTCAAATAATAGCACTAGCTGTCAAACACTCCTGCCCAGCTATTGTATCCCATAGCCCCTGAATCGAAACCCTGCACTCAAATCATTTTCAGGTGGCAGCATCACCGGGCGTCGGGCACTCCGGGGACCGATGGCCCGAGTTGCCGATTGTATTGCTCTACGCTGCACCCAGGTACGTCACCACACTCTATGCACTCTCATCAGTAGATCCAATACGAATAGAGAGTTCGAATGTGATACATCAAATATAGAGTGTCACATGCGTAAGTCCTGATATTTCAGCTGCTTCACGTTTGATCATGGAGATTATTGGCTGTCGCCTATTCACAAAGGCAGTTAATTATCCAGCAGCGTTGTGAAGAAGACCAGAGATATATATATTCAATGTTCAATCAAATATGACTTCCGCGTTCTATTACGTGAATATCACGATAAAACATAAAGTATATTGCTTGACATCAGGACATTACCATCACCCCACTGTATCATGAATTCCCGATATATTAAATGAGCGATTGAAGCTTAAAACGCCTCTTATATGTTCTGCACCAGTCCCAAAGCCTAATTGCTTCTTCTCAAGGCTCAGCTTGCTTCAAACGCATTCTCTGGCTTCGCCCTGGTACAAGCGTGCTGAGGTCGCCAACTGGAAGCGAGATGGGGAAATCGACGGCCTCCAGGATTTGCGTGATGAAAATCCACCAGATCGGTATACACAGTGCGAAGTTGAAAGCGCCACCAGTCTATAGAATGAAGGTGTCAATCTAGTGAAACAAACGAGGTTAAGATGCACTCACGACTTGCAACTTCTCAGCCAAATGAAGATTCCCCACGGAAACCGAGAAGAAAGCACCGGCGAACAAACCAAAGGTGATGGTAAGCAAGAAGAGCGCGGAGAAAAGGCAGACGTTGGTTCGAATGGAGCATATCAGGTATACGAAGGTTATGACCGTCAGGGCCACAAAGTAGAATGCTTCCAACAAGTCAGCCATAGCCAATGGTCGATTGAAATGTGCGTAACGAACCTATACTGGCGTTATACATGGGTGTCTGTTGTCCCTCTAGGAAGTTGCCAGTGGACGAATAATGGGTTCCAGTAGCAAAGAAGGGCATGAGCGTCGTTCCTTGTACAATCCAGAAGGTTCCTGTCGCGGGTGATATAAGTATTCTGACTTGTCTTGAAGGTAATATAGGATGCATACCATAAGTGAAGAATAGCGCGCAAGAGAATGTGTTGCCAATAATCCACTCCCCAATGCCACCAAATATTTGAACCATTCCGCCGAAGAAAATCAAGGCAGGACTAGATTACGGTCAATATCTTCTTCCGAATCTGGACGGGGGATCTCGTACATAATGGCAGCTCCATTGCCGCCCGCCCCCCTCCATCCCATGACGATACACGCATTCGGGGTGGAAGCAAGCAAGAAGCCCAGCAGAGAGATTGGTGTAGGATTTCCCAGCTTCTTGCGCAAGTCCCCTGAAACCGTGGGACTCTTGGGGTTCAAGTAGAGCTTCTCAAACGCCTCTCGAGAAATAGGCAGGAAAACGCTCTCCGCCGTTTGGATTCGGCGGAGAGGTTCGTCCGACTTTTCATTGATGACACCGTTTGACATGATGCTTGGAGGGAAATGCAACGAAGCTAATCGGATGGTTGATGCAGAAAGGCAGGGCAACACCTCCAGCCAAGCATTCCAGGGACGGCATTTTATAGTTGTTCAAATCTTGTCTTCGTCTAGCCCGTGGGGATACCGTCTTGGCTACATCGTCAACATTCATGCGATACAGCGCTCTGCCTCATCCCGGCGATCTCAATGCTTCCTTTGGGGACTTTTCCGGGGAAATGCGGGGGGAACAGCACCAAGTGGGTCGTCTGCAGCGTGGCCTCCCCGCACCTTGTTGAGATTTGAGCAAATGCCGAGGACACGGCATTAACACTTATGGTTATTCAAGCTTTGCATACTGCTTATCAACTTGTTCTTTACATAATATCTAGAAGTCACGCTGGGTTTGATATACTTTTGAATCCTTGTGCTTGGAAACTATCGAAATTCGGACATTTCCATTGTAGCTTAGCTTCTCCCTTGTACATTATTTCCATTCACCGCAACGCCCTCAGAACCCCTTTAGAGGGGCACCGTTCCAGGTGGCAGATTACCGAGGTCAATAGCTCACTTGGAGAAGACCCACTCGAGATGTTGTAGTCTGATTAATCCCCGCCAAAAGGTTCATAGTTTCACGATTCAAACTCCAAAACAGACTTGGCAAAGGTACCGGTGTCCCCAGAGGCTTAGATGATGCGCGACTATCGAATATTTAGCAACAGCAGTATAATGCGTGTTCACATACTATTGCTCAAAGTTGCCACTAGCACAAAGGCTACACATGCAGTGCAGGATCAAAAGCTGTAAATGCAGATCGGCAGGTCTGGCCAGGATTGAAGATGTTAGTTATTTTGTCCATGTCCCTCTAGAGCCAATGTGGCTGGCACGGAAGTTGTTGTTGCCTGATGTTGATAGCGCTACGCATGTCCTGTTGATGGCCCTTCAAACTTGATTTTAGATTAACGCATCTCCCAAACTTACTATTTCCTCCCCATGGAGACCATCTTCGGGTGAAAGGATATCTCCGACTATGTATTGGCTGGCCCCTTTTCCAAAGCCAACGGATGCAGAAGATATCTCCTGCCAAATCCGGACGATGCGTGGCGATGGTCTCCCTTAAAGTTGTACTCCGTACCGCCAAAGCGTCGATACCTTCCAAGACACCTCCTTTGCCACCAATAAAATGGAGAGGTTGCGGTGCCCCTATCATAAGCATTTTCTGCGCTAGGTAGCAACTAAAGAGTGGAAGCTCAAATACGCGATGAGCTCTCTTCCACGGTTCCGAGCTGTTTGTATGTCTTTAAGCCTTACATTGCGAGGTTCTCTGTCTTGACCATCGCGCCGTAGCTTTGCCTAGGTATAATTGACAGTGCAGTCTATGCGAAGCGGGGACGAAAAATCACCGTACCCTGTACCATGGTAGTCGTACAATAGTAACAAGGTGGCTTGGGACGACAAGCGGATAGGGGACATGTTACCCCTATAGTCTTTGAGGGTTGGGAGAAGAGAAAATACGCAATACATTAATATACAAATATTCGAGTAAATGTCCTGCTAGCGATAGATACACTTGTGTTGTAATGACATGACGCAAATTTTAAGATTCATCGAATAATATCCAGCTTCTACGCAATCTCTTGCTGAGCACTCTCCGGCTGAGCACCCGACGTCTCCATGTGCTCATTCGTTCCCGCCGCTGCGCGCTTCTCGGATTCATTGCGGGGATCCACCTGGTCAGGAAAAACATACTTGGAGCTGTGCCACGGCTTAATTTTCCACACGTACATCGTGTCGATCTCCTCCAGTGTTCTTCCTTGTCCCTCCATAACGGTGAAGTACACCATCGCGGCGGCGAGGAACAAACATCCTGCGAAGACGTAACCGTACCGGAAATCAATTGCACCGACGATGAAGGGGGTGAAGAAGGCGAGCAGGAAGTTCCACATCCAGTTGGACGCCGTCGCCAGAGACATTGCTCGAGCTCGGTACTGCGATGGGTACAATTCTGCGATGATGGTCCAGACCATTGGACCCCAGGTAGATGCGAATCCAAGAATGAAGAGACAAGCGAATACCACCAAAACCACACCGGCGGTGTGAGTTCGTTCGGGGACCTGAAGGTCAAGCTTGAAGTGGCCGACAGAGGCGAAGACCATGAAGCACACGAACATCCATAGGGCACCGGCAATGAGGGACCGACGACGACCATAGTTCTCGATGAGGTACAGGCCTAGGAAAGTGGATCCGAAATTCACACCGCCCAGAATCATCTGAGTGACGTAGCTGTTGGAGATACCTGCACCCTTGAACACGGTCGTTCCATAATAGAAGAAGTAGTTGGCGCCGGTGAGCTGCTGGAGGGCTTGCAGAGAGACACCCACCGCGACACGGTAACTCATACGCGGCGCCCGGAAGAGGTGCACCCAAGTGACCTGACCACTAGCAACCTCTTCCTCATATTTCTGTTTGATCTCCTCGAATTCGATCTTCAGAGCGCGATGGTTCTTCGGGACGCCGTACATCTTCGAAAGCGTGGTAATGGCCTTATCGATCTTTCCGTGTCGGTAGTCATATCGAGGGCTCTCGGGGAACATGGCCATGCCAGTACCAAGAACGATTGCCCAGAGGTATGTGATGCCCATTGGGATACGCCAGGAGCCAGTATTGGCTCGTGCTTCAGTGCCAAAGTTGATGCAATTGGCCACGAAGATGCCCAGTGTGATGAACAATTGGTAGGTACTATGACAGTCAGCTCTGCCTTTTAACAGCAACAGAAACCAGATGACTTACCTGACCAGAGAACCACGAATGTGCCGAGGACCGGACTCGGCCATGTACATCGGGACCAAAAGGGAGAGAGCACCGACACCCAATCCGGCAACCCAACGGCCGAGGGCTACCTGATACCACTTGCCGGTGGGAGAGGAGATTTGAACGGTGATTCCAACGCAGATCATCCCCGACCAGCCGGTGATCGACCATTTCCGGCCTATGCGATCCGCAATAGGTGCTGCGATCAAAGCTCCGATCAACGTTCCAATCGACAGCTATTCGCTCGTCAGTAGATGAACATGCCAGAGGGGACCGAAGCAAACGTACCAGCGCAACAATCAATCCGGATCGGACGTTGGAGAAGTAATACGACCCATCAGGGGCTAATTCACCAAACCGTTGCAGGAAATTCTTCATCGCCAGGAAACCAGAGATCTGACCGGTGTCGTAGCCGAAGAGAAAACCACCCATGGAAACAAACACGCCCATGATAAACGACCGCCAAGTCAGGAGCGGAATATGAGTATCGACCAACTGATTGTCATCACCCGCGATGGCAGCCTGTGAGTGTGTGTCGGATCCCACCTGATCATCCTGGTAGTAGGCGTCAGGATTGGCCTGAGGCAACTTGGGTTTCTTGACCTGAGGCAACTTGGGTTTCTTGAACAGCATGGTCACTACGGATCACCAGAATTATAGTACAATTAGAGTTCTTTTGCATAGAGTGGGGATCGGGTTGAGGTGGATGAGGGATCGGAAGCCCATCTCACACCTTTAAAGAATAATAGCGTCCTATATAATACAGGCTCTCCGCCAAGCCACAATGAGGTCATACACAAGCACACCCCCTCGCAGCCTTTGTGCATCGCGAAGAAGCATCATCCTAGCAGCCTCACAGCTCCAATCCCAATCATTCAGTCATCGTCGGTGATCCCCGCTTGGGTCCCTGCTCACGTGGAGGGTTCGAATTCCCGCAGCTTCCGTGGTACAAGAGTAGCAATTCCTGTTCCTCCACAAGCGCAACGAGACTGATGAATGATACGCGAATATCCCACAGACCCACCAATGGAGAGTTTAGGCGACCTGTTCAAGAGAGGAATTCTAGACGCAATGGGTGGCGGATTCCGGGGCAGTCTGGGGAAGAGCGTGTCGTTGCCGTCATCGTCTGTATAAGGTAAGCCCACGGCGACTTTTGACAGGTCGATGCCCCGCCCAATAAGCTTCGCCAGCAATCACTGATGACCGCACCCAAAGTCTCTCGAGCCATCATCGTCTGTCGTGGCTTGATGGGAAGCTTGTTTCTTCGTCATGGGTGGAATGAATAGTGTTACAATGCATGGTGCAATATGTCCATGACGAGTCTTTAGTGCTACTTCCACCTCAATTCTATTGATCGTTCTATAATCCCCTGGCTCGTGCAAACTCAACAGGTAAAGTGAATCAGGCCCTCCAGACCGTTGTCTATACAGGATTAATTAACAGCGAAGAAGGTTCTTCTCATTATCTGAGAAGCAAATCCCCAAAGATCGGACCTCCTCTTCCGCGTTCCACCGATCAGCATCCCCAAATCTACAATCATCCAATAAGCGTTCACATGAGTGATTTGATTTGGATTGTATTCAACTGTTTAGTTTAAATCAGTAGCTTGTCGAGTTTACAATAGATGCTTTCACCTAGATGCTTTTGGTTTAATAAAAAGGTCAATACGTGGTCAGACTTACCGATGGCGAATCTCCCATCTCCAGCTCTGCTCGGCGACTTGGAACGTACACATCAAGAAGCTGGTCTATTTGTCCACTGCTCACAACAGCCTCTTGGACTGCTATGTCTCCCCGATATTGCTTCGTAAGTTCAGCTCTGGGTATCCTGCAAAAGTGAAACCGACAGCGGAACGATTCCTAAGGGAAAAGCCGCTTTGTTGCATAAGCGATCGGGATGCCGAAATAGGAAGCTGCCTTCCACGTGTCAAAGACCGAATTCTCATATCTTCGCTCCTGGCAAACCAAAAGTGATCTTATTCTATGGCAATCTAAATAACACGTAAGGTGGTACACTCTATATCTATGAGACGACACGAATTCCTCTCAAGCAACGAGAGGCACATCTCTCGGGCCAACATTATTCAGCAAACTCAAGAAGCAGTTCCATCCTACGTCAATTAGCTCAGAACCAAAAAGATAAACAAGGCTCATACCAATATTCAACACATTAACTGTAAGCACGCGGTACTGCAGCGGCACAAACGCAAAGTTTACCAGCTGCAGGAACGGCCACACCGTCCAGTTCGCTTTCAGCGCCGGCCAGTACGATCTCTCCAACTTCTCGCTGGGGCTTCCGCCCTCCAGGATGGACATGCTGGATAGAAAAACTCCGATCATGGTGGGAGCAAATAGTAACTGATCGGCTGCTACGCGTCCAATGACTGTTCGTTGCGCGGAGGGCAGATTGATTCGCCTCTGCAGGACCTGGAACCATTTTGTGGCCAGAGGACCAAAAACAGCTATCACCGTGAGAAATAGTAACATTTTAGGGAACGAGTCCAAATACCTCCGCCGTAAAGTGCCATTCGTCCAGTACGGACCACATCATGCTGAGCGATACCTCTTCTCTCCACGGCTTGTTGGGCGAGGCTGTCTCCGACGGCAAAAAGACACTGTCTGCAATGAATGACTAGTTCGAATTTTTCCAAAATGTAGAACTAACCGCAGTTGTCAAGCTTTGCGTCAACAGAGGACGCTGGACTAGACTTCGCTGGTACCTATATGCGGGTGAGAGAGTAATTCGCTGCCCTGAACGTGCATCTTACCATTGAAACATTGTGATCTTTCCAAACCAAAACTTCAGTATAAAAAAATTCAGAACAATGCAATCTACGAAGAAAATTGAAGTCGGTTGATAAAACTTGATCCTGAAAGGGGGTGACGTTTCTCCTTTGTTGATCATTGCGCCCATGCTCCACATCGTATCGGAAAGTCTGAAAACGGAAATCTACCCGCTATGAAGTCATAACATGCCTCCGCAAACGCTGTACACTTCTAATACCAAGAAGTTATCAATCGATTGATTGGTCAAAAAAAGTCAACGGAACTCGGCCAATTGCTTGGGATTTGAAACTGCCAATACCGCAGTTGCCAGCAGCTGATCCGCGATGTGATGTCGAGTACGAGGGTGCACTTGCCACAGATCACATGAGCTTCCCGATCGAGCATCTGGTCCAGATCCAGCGCCCAATAGTCTCGAAGCACCAAATGTACGAGATGCGCTTGCAGTCGTCTGTAGAAAGCCCTCTACTTCATGAAAATAAACTCCGGGAAGACATGATCGCAGAACCTCCAATATGTCTGCCTTTAGGCTATATATCTCCATGATCCGAGGCCAAGTCTAGAGGAATGCCCCTGGCACATACCCCAACAACACGTCCTTCTTCCCGACCTGTCTTAACTGCTGCAGTGTGTCCGAACTGGTCGAGATCCCCAGGATCTGACACTCGCGGCCAATACTGTCCGTCAATTTGTCAAGAGAAATATGCGCAACACTCATTTTGTTCGTGAGTACTTCCACGTCGTCTTCGGCCACCTTGCGCGCACACTCATACATGGCCGTATACCGAATCAGATCCGGAGACATGCGCACTTCGTCCGACTGGGACCTTTTTGAGTCCTGGCGGCAGGAGCGGCAAGCTGTCGTGGTGAGGGCAAAAGACGGGTTGTCATTGGATAGTTGAGCTAGGGATGTTCCCTGGATACACTTGATGAGAACCATTCTGATGCAGTGGATGCACAGGACGAAGAGGCTCTGATCTTTAGCAAGGCTTGCTTGCTTCTCTGAGGGTTCGAGTGTTTTCTTGGGTTCGCGCTGCTCCTTTCTCGGTTCGTGGTGCTTCGTAACATGGTGCTCCTCTGTAGGCACAATAGGAAGCTTCGGCTTTTCTGCTTCTGCAATTGGGGCGGTTTCATTGACTGTTGATTTTGTCTCGCCGAAAACTGAGACACTCCCGCTGGCAGGCGGTTTGATCCCATTTTGTGCTTTGTTCGTTGTACTGATGAACTTCAGTTGCCCGTTGGACGTATCCGCCTTTTTAGGCGACTCGATGACGGTAGGGTTCTTTTCAGCCGAAATATCTGCTACCGTCGCGKGTTGTGTTTCAGTTTCAGGAGGTGGCATCTCCTTGGTCTGGACACGGGGTCCAATTGCATATTGCGGATTTTGGGATCCGTTTACCTGGGGCCACCGTTGGTTCACCGTCTGAAATTCCAACACTGCCTGTCCAACTTCGGGAGGTGATTTATACCACTGAGAAGCATTAGCCATGGCAATCGATAGCATGACAGGTGTACATACCAAGGCGTTATTCCTCAACAGCTGCCTCGCAAGATCAAGGAACGGTTCATGTATGTTGCCCAAATCCATGACAGACATCTCCACATAGCCAGTTCCTTTCTTCTTGGGAAACGTGATAACCTTTGGGGGTAATTTCGCATCCTCCGAGGCATCATTCTTGTTCCCGCAGATGCAAATGGGAATAAACCTCCCAAGGCGCGTCCCGTCCTTGTTCACGAGGCTTTCTGTACGATTCCGTCAGTGCTGCCCCAATACAAACGCGGTATACATACGGTACCAATTAGGCACATTATTGTATGAAATCCGGTCTGTCAGATCAAACATGATAATCGCCGCATCAATTTCATCGAATTCCCTCGAGGCTAGAGTATTGGGCTTCTGGGTACCGCTCACATCCCAGATCTCGTACCTCACCGGGCCGACAGTCTAGAACATGAGCAATTGTACTGTGGACAGACGGAAGAACTTACTGTATGTAGGTGGATATCATGTTTTTCGATGTTAGCCGTTACCGGTAGCGAATGCTCGAATCTCTTTTTGAGATATCGGTGCAAGAAGGCTGTCTGCGTTGGTTAGCGAAGTCTCCGACGTGGATACGAGCCGTCACAATACCTTGCCMACACCAGAGTTTCCTACCAGGAGCACTTTGAAGGTCCTGGTATCCTTGGTCATCTTGATATGAATATTCACTTATTCGCTAGAGAATAACTATACGATCAGCGCAATGGTAGTGGAATATCATTCACAGGATAATCCAGGCATCCGTGAGCGCCAGTGTGGCTGGTCGGAATGTGGGGTATTCAGTATTCGCTTATTCTTATGGTCTGGCCGATCGGTGATGTTGGGCCTGAACCGGGATCTTGTTGTATATATAGACATCAATATCCCTCCATAATTCTGCATAATAGTTCTTGATGCTAAAAGGACCAGCCGCCTTAAACAAAGTCGGCATCTACAATCGCAATCAGCTCATTCTAGTATCATTCAAAATCACCCCTAACCCCACTCAAAAGTGATTCCTTGTTTCTGCTATCTTACCCCTATTCCCTAATCATTCTCAATGACCCAATCTTGGGGGCCGTCATCTAATGGTTGATAAAGTATAGTAAATATCTTATTGATTTTTCACCTTACTATATTCCGGTGTAGCAATGAAACTCTCATCAAGGTCTTGACTTTACCCCAAATATCCTGAGGCTTGCTAAACTGCATCCTGTTCCTCCAGGAACGCCATTCAGTTCAACCTGATCGTATATGACTTTCCCGCAACAGTCTGGATCGGCTCTGTATACTTCTCCCCATTCACAGTAAACGGCTTCCCATCCTGCACCCTCAAAGCCAGCACTCCTCCACTCCTCGACTCAACTTTGGCGGATTGCAACTTTCCACCGCTCCATTCCATATCAACAACGAAATTTCCCCGCGCAACGAGACCACTCACACGACCATCCGGAACAGCACCCGGCAACGCCGGGAGGAGATGCACCACCGCATGACTCTGCAGTAGCATTTCCGCGATTCCCGCCGCGAAGCCAAAATTGCCATCGATCTGGAATGGACTTCCAGGCCCGCTGTCCGTGTTCCAGAGGTTGTCGGTCGGGTATTTCTGTAGGAAGTACTGCGCGTGCTTCCAGACGCTGTTGCCGTCGAAGAGGCGCGCGTAGAGACTCATCGTCCACGCGCGCGACCAGCCCGTGCTGCCGCTGCCGGAACTGATGCGGTGGTCTAGGAGGGCCTTTGCTGCGCTCGCCAGGGTCTGGTTGACTAGCGGTGTCATCTGAGAGCCGGGGTAGAGGCCCAGGATGGGACTCATGTGTCTGTGTCCTGGTTCGGTCTCTTGGTACTCGCGTCGCCACTCGAGGATCTGGCCGGAGGAGCCGATATTGGGTGGTCTGATCTTCGAAATGTATTTTTGGGCGTTGGTTAGGTCGGCGCCGGTGATACCCAGGACCTTGCAGGTTTCGATGACGGAGGCGAAGATCTCGTGGAGTAAGAGGTTGTCCATTGTTGGGGCGAGGTCGATTCCTGTGGTCTTACCGGTAATAGTCATGTCCCTTGGTATTATGAATGCGTTCTCAGGGGAGATCGAGGGGCCGCTGGTGTAGTAGCCTTCAAAGTCGAAGAGGTAGCAGTAGTAGAAATCGGCTGCGCTCTTGAGGAGCGGCCAGATGCGCTTTTGCAGGAGGGTTTTATCTTGGGTGAAGCGGTACTGCTCCATCAGATTCATCGACATCCACGCACTGCCCATCGGCCACATGGTCCATCTGGTTCCGTTGTCGACGGGGGCAACATCTCCCCAGAGGTCGGTGTTGTGGTGGAGGATATGTCCAGTGTTGCAGTGATACATCTTCTTGGCAACGTCCTGTCCGTGCGGGAGGACTCTATCCATGAGGTCAATGACGGGCTCGAACGTGTCTGCCAGATTGGTGACCTGCGCATGCCAGTAGTTCATCTCCAGGTTGACGTCGATGGTGTATTTGCCTCCCCAGGCGGGCGAGTAGTCCTGGTTCCAGATACCCTGGAGGTTGGCGGGAAGGCCGGATGATGATCCTGCGCGAGAGGATGCAATGAGCGAGTGTCGACCAAAGTTGAACATCAAAGTCACCAATTCTGGGTCCTTGTTGGGGTCGGCTTTGTAGTTCTTGAGTCTGATGTCCGTGGGCTGGCTTCCTGCGGATCCTGACGAGCCTAGGTTCAGTTTGACGCGGCCAGAAAGAGACTGGTAGTCTGAGGTTCCAGCTTGCTTCACTGCAGGGTAGGTTGATTTCACTGCAGCATCTAGCTGCTTCGTGACAATCGCATCCCGCTGGGTCTCATCAGGATATCGATAGGATGTCTGGGTGTCAAAGAAGATATCCACAATCGAGGCACCTGTGACCACAACTGCGGTTCCGTTGGTAGTGATTCGGCCTAGACCATTAGATTTTACACATAAAATGGGAAGGAAAATGAACATACCTCCACGACTCAACACCCTCACCTGCGCAGTAAACCTAATAGGATCCGTACTCTGCCCACTATTGGCCTTCAGAGTCAAAGTCCCGGTTCCCTTGCTGCTTCCAGCAGTCAAGCTCTCCACATAGCTACTTCTCTCCAAGGAAGTAATCACATTCAAAGCGCCGTCCTTGCTCGCCTGCAGCCGAACAGCCAACACCCCATCGGGATGACTAGCAACATACTCCCGACTAACCAGTCAGCCTTTCTCTACTTGCAGCAAAGAAACAACTTACCTGTAGACCACATCCCCAACCTGATACCTCACACCCGCAACCCCCGTATTGAGATCCAAGAAACGCGTATAGTTCCGCACAGCACTCGCGTCGTGCCCAAAATCCAACCTCAACAATGCAAGCGGGCTGTACTCTCTCGGACTACTCGGAATACTCACCATCTCCTGTAGCACGACATCATTCGCTGCACTGAGGTTCCCTGCCTCTAGCATAGCGCGCGACTCGGTGAACCCGTCGTAGACCTGTGGGTTCACGCGATCCTGGAAGGGACCACTCCAGATGGAGTTCTCATTCAGGGTGATATTGTCGACGAGGGCGCCGCCCCAGATTGCGGCTGCGAGACGGCCATTGCCGATGGGCAGGGTGGAGGCGAAGTCCGCGGCTGGGGTAGTGTACCATGTGTAGGTAGAGGGATTGAATGAGGCGGCGAGGGTAGGGGAGAGGACACTGAAGACTGCGAGCGCTGAGGTGAGCCACATTTTGCAGTTGCTTGTCGATGCATTGGGGTGGTTAGTCCTGTGTTATATACTTGATAGTTCTAAGTGCGGGGAACCAGTAGCATAAAGCACTTAAGGCAGACAACACCAGGATTCATCCATATCCCTTGACCGTCACTAGGAATTTAGCCAGAATGTATTTATCCAGCAGGATCGACGTTAACAGTAGTATACCGGGTATATCGCTTCAACCCCGCACGATCTACAGGCACACGATGGGCACCAACCCTGTACTTCAACGCTAATTGTGACTAACGGTATGTCATGGTATATACATCCAATCATCTGTCTCAAAGAGAGCGCACAATATCTCTAAGTCGAGAAAATCGGCTTCTTCTGAAGTATTTGCTGGAATACCTGAAGCGCGGCTTCGGGTTCTAGAGAGTACATATTAGCATTGATCATATTCAGCAGCAGGGAAGACTCACGGTAGTAAGGAACCTCGTGTCCCGCCTCGTACACCCTCAGGAACGAGAAGTTGTCCGCAGTCTTGAACGAGCCCTTCTCGACGCTGTTGACTGTGTATGGCGCGAGATCCTTGGCGCTGAACGTCGCCTGTCCGGGGAAATCAACAACATTGGCAACCTCGTAGTTGCCCAGCCAGTTGCAGATCCAGTCGGCGTCGCCTGCCCACACGATAACGTTGATGCCGGACTTGACCACGTTGGATAGAGTCGACAGGAACGAGCGAGGGTCTACATCGTCAGCTGTGCAGTTCTAGGAAGAAATGAGGGGACTTACTATCTCCCGTCTGCGAAAACTTGTTATACGGCCCATTCGGACACTCCTGGTATGTCGACTGCGCACCAATGGCTTTGACAACGTCGGGGTTGGTGAGGTAGGTGGAGTATGTCTGAGGTGGATAGGGGTCATTTCGTGGCTGGCGGATATCATACACATCCCAGTCACCGGAATTACTGATCGGCCCCTCAATGTTGTTGGAGCAGACGCTGTCGGCGTTTCTACAGTCGGCGTTGGTGCCTGTCTTGGCGCATTTCTGGATCGCTGGCAGACATTGGCTGTTGTAGACGCTCAGCAGACTGTCGCGATCAGAAGAGGAGATGAGCTGCTGATAGGTGTTGTTGTAGCTGAACTCGATGTACGCCTTTTCTTGGATGGCCGGGTCGATCCAGCCGTTGTTGACTCCCAATGCGATCAGGTTGATGTTTTCGCCAGACACCGTTCCGGCTTTGATGGCGGCGTTTTGCTGCTGAATGTACGAGGCAAATTCGGGGCCATAGTGTCCACCGTAGGACTAAAGGGTCAGCCTTGTCTGCTATCGCAAGCTCAGAGACGGCACTTACCTCGGTGAAGATGGCAAAGTCGCGGCTTTCGTATGCCGGGAACTGCGCATAGAAGGCCTGCAGCAACTTCCATACATACGGAGCAGCGGTCACTGTGCTGGTCACGTCGTCTGTGCCGTAGGAAAAGCCAACCCCGATGGGCTGGTCAATATACAGCATGTTGGCGTAGTTGTTCCAGCTATGCTCGTTCAGCGAGGGAGTATCGTCCCCGTTGACAAAGTGGCAAGGGCCATTCTCCTGGAACAGACCGATCATGGAGGAGCAACCAGGGCCGCCGTTGAACCAGGCAGCGAGGGGAGCCTGCTGGGGGTTGTTACGGGCCTCGAAGAACCTGCGCATATTAGGGTCTGTATGTAGTCAATTATTGCGTAGTACATACCAGAACCACATGTTCATATTATTCCCGACAGACAGATATCCAGAGTACTGGTTCACCCCGGGAGTCGTCTCGCAGATGCCCGAATTCTTGACAAACTCCAACTTGGCTCCGGTCGCGGCATGTTCAAAGACGGTATACTTGACGCCATTCTTGACAACAGACGAGACACTGTCTTTGGCTGCGCTGGCCGTGCTGGCCGGGGCAGCGCTAGCCCCTGCTACCAGGAGAGGGAGCAACCACTTTTGGTACCACATTGTTAACCTCAGACGACCTTGATTCTAGCGATGCGTGAGACCGATACATCCTTGCCGTTTGGGGGGTCCCTCTTTATAACACCAGAAATTGCGAAACAACGCCAAGACGAGGAGATCATCGTCTCAACCAACTTCGCTCCATATCAATTATGCTTCTTCAGGAACGAGCCTTATGACCGACCAGTGCCGTCGGAATACGACGCTGTTATCGAGCATCGACCAAATCCCTCAGATCACCTGCCCAGTCCGGTCATTCTTCCGGTGGACAAATCGTCAAGACCACCCAAGCTTTGCTCAAGAGAAATTGGCGATCGGCAGCCAAGACCGGAGTCCGAACAAATGTGCGACGGCTGCGGATCAACATCCCTGATCATGGTTACATTCGGCTGTTGTTGTGGGACTTGGACAATGCCAGAGGAAGAGGGGAACGGGAAACATTCAGCCTGATTGGTGACATCCATGCCCCTGATGATACCCGCATTTGTTTATCGCCGCCGGGGTTGTTTGCAGTAATTCCAGAGCGTAATTAATCTGATAACTTATCTCAAAACAATCAATCATTCTGATTGATATATTTCACATGCTATTTTCAAGAATACTCCGTCGCTCCCTGCCTTTCCATTTAATCATCTCATGAAAAGTCGACTGATCGCCCCTGAAGAAAATGACGAAATGTGTAACAATGGTCAGCTAACATCTGCAGGACTCATGGTCTAGACTGCGTGAACAACTCATCCCATGCTGGCTGTATGACCGCTGCTCCGAAGTGCTGCCGAGTCACACCAGCACAATAATCATCATTCAGCCGTGCTTTTGTCTCGCAATATCTTTAACTTTGGAATAATCTATCTTACTTCCTCACCGTATCTGCGTCTCTACGCAAGGAGACAAGCGTTCATGCTCCAAGAAGTCGACTGCAACGACCTAAGCAAGATTTTCCTCGTCATTATTTTCTAAGATTACGGACATTATTGTACTGCTTCAGCAGGAACTCAACAACACTCCGAATAAGCTAAGCTGTGCGCACACCAGAAGCTATTGTCCCTTATGATACCACCTAGCGGCATATATGCCTACAAATCCGAGCCTTCCAGCAATATTCAATCAAACATAGTCTTCAACAGATTGCCCACAAACCTCCAGAGGGCAGCACTGTCATGCGCATGGAACGCAGCGCCGGCATAGTACGTGTTCCGATGTCCCTGCAACGCATACAGATTGCTATAGAAGCCCCTGGCGATTTTGTCGGACGAAACGAACAACTCGAATGGACTGTGGTTACTGATGGCCAGGATCTCGGGCGCGGAGGTATCGAATTGCGCTTCACGTAACATCAGCACACTGTCTCTGATGCTCTGCTTCACCTCGTCCTCGGTCTTTGCCTCCCCACCGCCGTAGAAAATCGTGTAGAGTTCCGGGACGCGAGACGGCGTGATGGTGTACACTCCCGGCAGAGGAGGGAGATTGTACGGCGTGTCGGCACCGCGGTTGAGGATTCCCAGTCCGGCTGGCAGCCCAGGGATTCTGGTCACAGTGGTGTAGTAGAAGGTGCTCTCGAACTGACCAAAGACATCACTTTCGGCGTCGTCCAGGTCGAAATTCGCCAGATTTTCCAGCTTCGGCGGAGCAGTGATGATGGTCTTGTTCGCTCTGATGAGTCGGTGGCCGCTAGGGGTTCGGACCAGGATCCGATGCGGACGGTTTGCCGGACGCTCCATCCTAACCACAGTACTGCCGAGCAATGCATCATCCCCCAGTTCCTCCCGCGCAGCTGTATACAACGCCCCGTTGTTGCCGTCTACCGTGCCCAGGAACCCATTCTGCGTGCCCAAGGCCACCCCCAGACTGAAATACTTCATGATGTACACGGTCGGATACGGCAGCCAGTCTTTGAGTCCCTGCACATACAGTGTCAGGGTCTCCACCGCCGGTGCAAGATCATATTTCTTCACAAACTCCCCGAACGGGAGCAGTAGGTCCTCCGGCACAGGGTCCGGGAGGTTCCATCCCTCCGCGAGATAGGGATACTTGAGCAGCTGCTGCACATACCGCATCATCGCCTCGGTCACATTGCCCTGCGGCGGGGGCACAGTTTGTCCCGTGCGCAGATCAACGCGGGCACTATCGGAGTTGCTGAATCGAATGATGGTCGTGGAGATGTTGAAGTAGGCGAGGAAGTCTCTTGCCTGGGGGATATCCTGCCAGATCAGGACGCCGTAGTCGACATACTGGCCGCTGACTGGATCATAGTAGGTATTTGTGTGGCCGCCTAGGAGCGGTTCCCTTTCGATCACCACGACGCTGTGGCCCATCTTACGGAGCTGGATGGCAGCATAAGTGCCTGAAGCTCCGCCTCCGATTACAGCAACATCGCGTACGATTGTATTGACGTTTCCAACTTGTGACAGATCATGACCAGAGCTGCTGCCGGGGACCGCAATGGCATGCCCCAGCAAAAGGCTAGCCAGGAGGGACTTCGTGGTTCTGATTGAGATATACATGACTCCCGGAGCTTGATTGACTCTCATGTTACAAAGGGGAGGTCGGGCTTTTAAGCCCTTTTACTCGAGACTCACATGCCCGAGAGCGCCAGCAGGGTGGCGCAGTGGCTGGATGCCGCCCAGGCATCCCCTAGTAGAGACAGAAAAGGGGGAATATCTTGTCGAAACTCTTGGGGAAATCAGTTCAGATCCCTCAAATCACGTTGCCAGCTCCTCAACATGTACCACATCAAAAAGATCTACTCTATGGTCATGGCTACCTTCCCACTCCCTGTATGGCCTTGGGGCCTATACCATCCCCTCCTAAACCGAGTGATATCGAATATCCTACCGGCGGGGCAGTGCTGCACTGCTGAATCCTTTCAAATCATTTTAATCCACGGACTCCTATTACTAAGACGACGACGACAACGTGTGGCATACTACGTGATCCAGTGGCATCATCTGATCACCGCCATTTGATGTATCAAGGCAAGTGAAGCCACCGTTAACTTGGCTTTTTATCTATCGACTCTGATGACACTATTTGTAGCAGATGAAAACCTTATTTAGAATTAAATCCGAGTAAACTCTGAAGCTAAATTCGGTCTGAAAGGATTCACCGGAGAGACGAGGGCGTATTCACAAGTGGGCATATTTGTCCCTTTTGCATGCGAACCTAATTTTGACATGCAAAATGCCGTCCCTGAAATAAATGACCCGTAGGGAAGGGCTTGGATGTCGACCCTTCACATATACCCCTGACCCATCGACTTATCTTATGCTACACGACACTTTAACGATCACATGTAAGCTCCTTCGATGCTCACTCATCTTATATCAAGGAGCGTGCCTTTTAATGAGTCAAACACGTTGAGTGGATGAATCTACCGTGGTTAGGTGACGACGTCCCATAATCCCTGCGTAGTAGATCAATATAGCTGTCAATATGACGCAGTACCGGTCCTGCTGCATCTTTGTCCAGAGATTTTTCGAAAATGCCAGTTAGATGGTTCGATCCTGCGTTGTTCGGCAGACACAACTTTTTCTACAGCTGTCTAATATGTTATATGTATCGTTTCAAATATAAGGGAAGGTACGAACGATGTCTCGCACTAAGGTTTCCCCTTACTGTATTCTTTGCGGTGATGAAGTCCATGAAGGATGCACAGAAAAGAGGAAATGGACAAGCATGTGCCGACTTGGTGAGTGAAGTGCCTGTCCGATGGGAGCTGCAATACCGCTGACAGAGGACCAGTTTATCAATCTGGAGACGGCGCACAAATCTCTGGCTTGGGATATCGTCCCCGAAGGGCAGCGCTGTCTGTCCCTCTTGCCGAGAACAGTCGTTGGAACGATAAACCGGAGCCTGAATACATAGAGGTTTACCTCGTGTTTTGTTTCACTCAATTTCCTGTGATGCCGGCATTTTTGTTGCACGAAGCATGCTGGTCACTCCTGAGACGTATTTATGGCCAACGGCCTGTACCACTTGCTCGGCTGGTGGATGTATGCAACTCGCTGTGTCACCTGTCCCGTAATACAATCAATTGGGGCCATTCGTATGGTGGGATAGTTGAGATATCTGGCAGAGGTGAGCTTCATTACAGTGTAACTGGGAGACATGAGACTTGGCGGTCAATGGAACAAGATCCCTTTCCTGATGGCCATCGGACCTGGAGGAGAGCATTGCAGGGATCTATGGGGCCCAAGAAGTCGGGGTATCGCAAGGCATCGAAGCGGTATCCGATCAAGCGAGTAGAATCCCGCTCGGAGTGTGTTTGCTGTCTTGATCTGCTGCCGTTGGACATTTGGTTTGAGATATGTGCTTACCTGAAAGTGCACGACTGCCTGAAATTACGATTCATGTCAAGGCGGTTGAGCACCATGATGCAAAGCTCGCATTTTTGGACATCAAAACTCAAGTCAGAGGAGTGTGATTTCGCGTTTGAGGTGCGCGAACTGGAACCCAGCAAGTTCGTTAACTCAAGATGGCTGTATCGCTTTATATGCATTCAACGTGCTGGTTCCTTACACAATAGAGCCAGGATCTGGGAACTGGGACGGTGTCTGAAAGAAATCCTGGAATTGTCTGAACCTGACACAACAACTATTGTTAACAACCCCAGGGACCCTGTGGGTCTGGATTGGGTGAAGCTCCCTTGGCCTATCAAGGCTACTGATACTGACAACCTTGAAAAGTACATTGAGGGCTGCCAAATCTTGTACACACAGCGTGTCTTTCTCTCTAGTCGTTTGCGTCAAGTCACTGCCTCATGCATTGACATTGAAGGCACAGTCTACATCACAGGTCTTAAACTTTCCTTCGACGATGAGACCAGCACACAACTCGGTTACAGATCTCGGGACAATTCTTCAGCCGATATAGTAGCCTTTGGGGGTTTCATTGTCGCAGTGAGCACGAGTGGAATTCATGGGTTGCAGATAATCGACGAAGGATCTGACGTCACAAAATGGTTCGGTTCGAACAAGAGATGTCCTCAAACACGTAAGTTGAAGTTGGAAGGGGAGATTGTCGGAATGACTTGTTCTTTTGATGTGGGAATAAACTCTAAACCTGCATCCGATTTACTCTCTGTACTAATGGTAGACTAGGGCTTCAAACTGGTCTCTCTGGCGCTGGGGCGGCCAATCCGGCGAAAAAGTAAAAGTATACCGTCTCTCTTTGATACTGTCTTATGGTATCCAGGTCTCCCACCGGAGAATCTACGCATGAAAGAAGGGGCCTGGATGGGCCAATCACCTGCGAAATCTCGTCACAATCTCCTCTTCTGGGTCTGGTTTGGTGGTCCAGGAGGGTCGTACCTTCAGTACTTGACAGGGATATCCATCACGACATACAGAGGCGGATTTGGGGGGATCGAATTCCATTTCTCGAGCGACAGCGTCCCCATCACCTCCAGGAAACTCGGTCTTTGTGATGACAAGCAGGGGCCGGATTTTGCCATCGATGGTGCAGGAGGAGAGTACATCATGTCCGTCCACGGAAAGCTTGCACAGATGCCTTATCTACCCGCTCTAACGGTTTGTCACGAACGAGCTTTACAGGTGTTGATTAAAACTGACATCCGAGGATAGATATGCACAAACCGTGGTCGAAAGTTTGCTGCCCTACGCCAGAGTTTCGACGTTGCGAAAATGAAACAGCTCTTCCCAAGCGAACCCAACTCCATCCTGACGGGATTTTATACAAGCTATCGAGATCATGACTCTCCACTTCGCAGCTTGGGTTGCTTGTGGGAACGAAGCTAAGAGGTGAGTTACAGATTGGTCTGAGAGCTAGCAGGCACCATCAGCTTAAGAGGATGTCAGGGGAGCTAGAATGGACTTTTCATATTACTATTAACATAAAATTAAGTAATCTGCTCTTACTTGCTATTAGATACATGGAGCTTGCTTATAGTTTAGGAATAAATAGCTTCTAATTAAAAGATATACTCAGCACACTATCCCCATTTATCCTTATTAACCTTTGCTAGTATATAGTGAGCTTGTGCTACATACTCAGGAGCTTCAGGTTCTTTTCCCATAAGGTTGTAATTTGACCAAGCCACTGGCTTGACGTTCGGATGTGCTCTATCTTCAGATGTGATAGGTAAAAATGAGGCCAGTCTGCCAATGCTGAGTTACACTAGAGAAAAGATGAATGCTGCTGCTCCACCAGTAGCTTGAGAATTACTAGAAAAATAAGCCACCGAGACTTCTATCTATATAATCATTCTATATATTATAGTAAATTAAAATAATTCAGTACAGCAGTGTATATCCCTGCAACACGAGAATTGTTATAGCTTCTGGGTAAGAGCAGTAAATCTCACCTCAAGCGCACCCAAATCAAAGGTCGAAAGCACGTTGTTCAAGAACGTTGCACCAAGGATATATTCGCCCCCACCATCCTGGAATCCGACTGCACAGAGTCCCGTAGACCCATCAACTTGAGGCTGCAGGATCAGGTCCGCGGGACTAACAGGAAAATTCACACCGCTGATAGTGATTGCGAGTTTGGGCGCTGTGGCATTGCAGGGAACTTCATAGAGGTTGGCAGCCGCGACATAGGTAGCAGGGGGTTTGAAGGCGCCGGCAATAGCAGTGGCAAGGGCTATTAGAAGCAGGAAAGGTCAGTTATGAGCGGACTGGGATGAGAGTCTTGGTTCTTACCGGTAGGTAGCAAGGTGAGGGTGGTAGCGGTATCCACGAAACCAACGAAGGGGGGAAACGAGGTGGAGTTGGACGATGTGGAATTGGATCTTCCAATGATAGCGCCGTCGATGTTGATGTAATAGTAGTCGGGTCGATTGATGGAGGGCTTTGAGTGGGTTTCCTTGCTCTGAAATGAATAGATGTCGCGCAGTTAGTCAATGATACATCTCCTCTCTCCCTAAATGGGGGACTACTCACGGTAAGGATTGACGCAGAGGCAGTTTTCCCCGTCGTGTTGACAGGAGGAATGCCGCCAACGGCAAAGTATCCATTAGGCCCATCCCGATCAGGAGCAAAGCTGAAGGTAGGCAGGCTCAAGTGCTGGTCAACCATTTTATAGAAGACAGGCTCGTAGGTCATATAGTGAGTCTTGATATTCTTGGTCGGGTCGTTGCCGGGGAATTCGCTGGTCAGAGACGCGAAAGCCAACCCGAACAAGCCGCTGACATCAAAATTGAAGTATGCTTGATCGACAACTGCCACCTGGGCGTCCTTGACTGTGATATTGGCAATGGTGATGTCTTCCCAGCCGAATTTGCCAGCCAGAATTCCTGTACCATAGCTGATGTTGAAATTCACATTCTCAATCTGACCCCCGGTGAAATCTCCGCTAAACTGAGGTCCAACTTGGCAGTTGCTTTGCTGTGGCATATTAGGAAAGACCTGACAAACGGCGACCGAAGGACTCTTACAATGGTGGGAGCTCCGGTGCTATCAAGGCACTGAAACCCTTCCTCAAGGATCCAGGTATCACTCGATCCGGTATCCAATATCATGCTATATGTTTCATTACCCCATCCAACCTGAGCAACATAATTGGCTTGACTAGGGTTGTTGATTGCCGTGAGGCCTCCATTGCTAGTGGATTGGCGACGGTGGAGGCGCTTTTGGTGACGCAGCACGCTGTGTACTGGCTTCAGGGGCACGACATTGTCCGTCACAAGGTCTAGGCCAGGTGCCCTTCTTCTGAGGGACCGATGGGATTTGCCTGAGTTTAAATCAGGGATCCTAGCAGCAGAAGAAACCGCCAATCCAAGCAACAGGGCTGCAACCCACGATCTAACCATGATGAATATTTGATAGGGACAAGTCCGACAGTCGGGTAAATGTGTTGATGATCTCAAGCTGGCCAAAGGTCTTGTTTTAAAATGGTTGAGCAATTTTCGAGGGGGCCATCACGGGTAAAGGATGAAAGGGAAAAAAATCCCACAGCTGAAAGAGAGTTTTCGAAGAGAGACCTTTGATAGGTCCCATGTTTACAATAATATTACAGATCTAGCAATGGTACCAAAATTGCGCCAATCTCTTCCTCCTTGGCGATAGTGAGCTGAGCTATTCCTGGATCTTCAGGAACTTGTAGATCGGTGGCACTTAAGTTACGTATTTCCGAGCAGTTCATGCGCTGGCACAACCCTAGTGGCCCACTAGCTATTGAGATTATGATTATCCACTGCGCAGCTTGGGTTGCTTGTGGGAATAGAGCTAAGAGATGGGTTATAGATTAGGCGAAAGGCTAGCAGGCACTATTAGCTTAAGAGGATATTAAGGGAGCTAGAATAGACTGTTAGATTACTATTAATATAAAATTAAGTAATCTGCTCTGACTTACTATTAGATATATAGAGCTTACTTATAGTTTAAGAATAAATAGCTTCTAATCAAAAGACATACCTAGTATGCTATCACATTCCCCTGTCTATCCTGATCAATCTTTGCTAGTATATAGTGAGCTTATGCTACGCTTTTGAGCTTCAGTTCCTTTCCCGCGATGTTGTAACGTGAAGTATCCTCTCTCTAAGTATAAACAGGTAAGACGTTGGAAAAAGGCAACGGTTGGATTTCCAAGTGACTGATAATTGCTGGGCTCAACCAGCAATATTGAGAGGGATGAGTACCTATAGGTAATCATACTACGCATTTTGAATCGAGCTAGCTTTTGTTCCAGTCCATGTCCAATGCCAGTGAAGTTATTCTGTAAGTCAGTTCAGTAACCTTTCATAGAACTCGTTGAGTGAACTGTGGTCAAATCACCGATGTCCCTCATTTTCGTCGAGACAAACGAGGATATGGCATTCAATATGACGCAGGAATATGACCGGTATTGAACTTCCTTCGGTTGCGAACTTTCTCTCGTCACATGGTAAAGCGTGTCTGTTGTTCATTTTCCTCTCGAAGTATAGACTACACTATACCAATGGAGCAAAAGCCATGTTCAGAAGGAGACATGGCACGCGTGACAAGGCCAGTTTATCGAACTTTTAACGGGTCGCATGTAGCAGGCACCGGCCTATTGTGGACATGGCGATGATAATCTATTTGTCCTCATTAAGGTGAACCTCCCAGACCTTGAATAGTAGCCTCCCGGTGAACCAGGTCTCGTGTTAAAAGCAGAGATACTTCATTGTATGTGGAATCTGTAATGGGACATCGCTCTAGCTAGTTTGTTAAACACTGTCGGTCCAATAACGATCCACGATAGAAGGAGGCATCTTCATGTCATGGTATCCGGATTTTACTCAAAGCCAAAATAAATACCCATGTCGGGATTCCACTCGTTGAATAGATCATCAATGGTTGAATCTGGCAACAGACTAGGCCACTGGCTTTGCAAATCCTCTGTCGTAATTGGAGATGGCCCTGCGGTGAGAATAGGGTTATATGCCATTGCTATCGGAGAAGCATGACGTTGGCGCTGGACGGGAATCTGCGCCATCTGAGTTTCATACCACAACTGTAAGCGCTTAAGGCGATTTTCATAGTGGTAAAATACATCTCTTTCGCCTCGTGCGTCCACTAGGGGCGTAACCAAGGCTTGGACGCGTAGGATAACCTGCTGGAGTATCAGAGACATGTCTAACGAGTCTCTAAATTTTGCTACTTGGCGATTGATCGAGGAATCTGACGCGGCGACAGAGAGCTTTGCAGCTAGTGTCAAGCAAAATCCGCCTTGCACCCACTGCGTATTATTGAACACAGTCTCTGAACGCCACGGGAGCGCGAGATAGAATTGAAAGAACTGTCTGGCTGCCACGAGTCCCACCGATAGAGCTTCGACGCGGAGAGACGACCAGAACATCGAGTCATTCGGTGTTTTCCGGTCAAAGAGGGTGATTTGGCAAAGGTATAGCTCTGCTGTGTAGAACTGCATGACGAGCAACTCTGCTTTGGTCAGCAGAGGACTTAACCGGTAAATTGAGCTCTCAACATACGATTGTGCGCAAAGGCAGTGAGGGAATCAGCTCTGAACTGATCTAGCTCGGCCTTCATCTTGCGGAAAAGGGGTTCGAAGACGGCGTCCGTACAATGAAGTTCTGGTGCATTCTGAGGCGACAGGTCATCAATACTTTCCAAAAGTCGCTGAAGATGTGCGATATGAAGCAATTGTGAGTCCGACGGATAGATTGAGCTTGCAGCAAGCGAATGACAGCAATCTTCAATGTATGGCGTGTGTGGAAAGGTTGATAGCTTTTGAAGGATTCGCGATATGCTTTCGCCTTGTCAGTCTCAAGTATCAGACATAGTGAAAGTGGCGTACCTTGACGAAAAGTAATAGCATCCAGTAACGGCTCTCTGCTCATCCCGGCCCCAGGACACTGGGTTTGTTCTGTTATCAGCTATGCCAACCCTCGTTTGGCACAACCGCATACCAGGAGCTCTGTCCAGTCGACGGTCGACAATGATGCTGGTTGCCAAATGCAGATACTGAGAGAACCGGCGAGGACGCGAATGGTATTGGCTCCTGGCCCTGTTAGGGGATGGTCTAAATGTCCAGTTCAGCCATACACACCATGCAATATGTATCAGAAGGCCCTGGAGTAAATCGAAGGAGATCTCTCCTTTAAATACCATGCGGTCGCTAATCGCACTTTTTACTTGCTCCTCCAGTACGCGCTGCAAAGGCATGTTATCGTACAAGGCTGCTGTCAGGACTGTAAGGAATACTACTGGTCTCGTTCGACGTATTTCCTCGGTGCTCAGATCTGACGGAATGATAACAAACGGCAAATTCGGCATCATTCTTGCTTTGTATGCATCGATTAGAGCACTTGCTGCCTCCATAGACAGAATCCCTTTGTCAATAACATCTTCATTTGCACGCTGGCTCTCAGACGCTTCGCTCCGCGGTGGGCTCGAATATGTTTGATTCTTGGAAGTATTAAGCGCATTACTACTTCAAGGGTAGACCAGCATGGCACTTACCCCATCAATCCGTCTTTTGGATGTAGCCGCCTCTGATCTAGCCAGGAGCTGATCAACCTTCTCTTCAAGGATGTCAATTCTCCTGCACAGGCGCCCCCACCAGTCAGCACAAGATTCTAGCAGCAGGGACATTTATCAGAGTGCTGACTTGTCGCGCCGATTCCCATAAGATTTGGAGCGTGCTTGGCGAAAGACACATTCTTTTCCTAAACGCCGACATCTTTTACTGTCAGCCCGATGAGCATGATGGATCAGTTGTTGTGCTATGCTGACCGTTGGCAACTTCCGCTATCTGCTGATCGAACACAACGTATCTTTCCACGAGCACAATTCTGGCAAGATTTTACCATGGGGATCTGTGGTGTGGCTGCATCCGAGCTCGCGTCGGGAGTCATTGACGTGTCCGACATATAAATTCGATGGATTTGATGATAGTTGGCCGAGTTTGAAAGGGGATGGAAGAGTTTAGCGCTAATGGTTGAGAGATAAAGTTGCCGCCTCAGCCCCTACGGCCATGTCTCAGACAACCGAGAAGAGAATCAAGCCGCAGCACCGGTTTCAGAGAGTACCTGCAGCCATCGCTCTTGATGATATGCACTGTATGCTAGAGTATCCCATCTGTCATGCTAAGGGCCGTTAACCCCACACAGGTCTCCAGTCTTCGGGTTAGTTGAGCCAAGACTTGAACTTCTTATGCAGTTGGGCTATTTTATCTTGATGCCTGATTCTGGAACGCTGACTGGCTTATATTTTCTTGGTTATCTCAGAGTGGCTCAGTTCACACGTCAAGTCGTGATTTTCTTGGCGATCCTTCGGCACAACTGGCCAACATTCTGTCTGACAGCCGAATGGCCATCTACTTTCTTTCATACCGTAATGGCTTCATGGGAGGTTTAAGTCTTACGCCAAGGCTTTTTCTCTCCTGTAAGCTCAGAAGCTGATGCTGCGCCCCAGCCAAGTGACGCGTTGTTTTCTCGGTATGGCCGCGTCCTCCTTGGTCATGTCCCGTGTCCGTCTCCGTGCCCGAATCCGTGTCCGTGTCTTAGGGCGGCCTACCTCGTTCCCTCGTTCACTCGTTCTAGGGCTTACTGACTCAGGCAGCTCAATTATTAACTTCAGCCTCAAAATGCAGCCAAGCCAACAATTCGCTTTGCTTTTGCTTCTCATTCGGAAAATAAGGGTCTAAATTTAGTCCTTTCACAGTTGATGCCCGTTGTGCAGCAAATCATGTACAAGAAGCTACGGCCAATGCCCCAGTGCTCACCCAAACTTACGGTGATGATGCTAGATTGTTGTTGATGTGTCGACGGCGGTGAGAGCCGTTGATATTAAAGAGCTAGAAACATGAGTTGAGAAAATGGCTTAGCAATTGCAGTCAAGCTGTTGAGCAGGCACCGAAGAAACTGGCACCTACTTATATCGCATCAAACCCACAGGGATTTGCCACTGTCACTGATCTTTACTCTCTAATCTTCCGTCTGTCTTGCTTATTATTCGCCTAGAGCATATTCTGAAAAGATCCCATCATGGTGAGCAACAGTACAAACCCATCGGACTACTGTACGCTGGATACTTGTCCATTGAGTCTCGCCAACTTTGACTATGTTCCCAATCTGGCGGGTAATGTTCTCTATCTGGCCCTTTTTGGTACGATGTTGGTGGCCAATCTGGGCCTTGGGATCTATTACCGTACTTGGGGATACCTAGTAGGAATGATCGGTGGCCTTGCTCTTGAAGTCGTCGGTTATGTCGGAAGAATCCAGCTTCACTACAACCCATTTCCATTCAATCCATTCCTTGAGTGAGTTTCTATGTATCACCTTTTCCTGTTAGCCACAAGAGCATGAGCTGACTTCCGTTGACCAGGTATCTAATCTGCCTCACCATTGGGCCTGCCTTCATGAGTGCCGCCATCTACATCTGCCTCGGTCATATCGTCATTGTCTACGGCGAGGATATCTCCCGTCTCAAGCCAAGAACCTACACCATTATATTCGTTCTTTGTGACTTCCTCTCTCTTGTGCTTCAAGCTGCCGGAGGAGCCATTACCTCGACTGCGGGCCATGATCAGCCAGGCCTGCATCAGACGGGGATCAACATCATGATAGCCGGTCTTGCCAGTCAAGTGGCATCTCTAGGAGTTTTCCTCTGTCTCTGCTCGGATTTTGCCTGGCGCGTATACAAGAACCCGGACAAACTTAACGAATCGATGTACCATATTCGCAAGACGCTCAAGTGGAAGGCGTTCTTGATCGGTACGCCGTTTTTCTCCCTGTTTCGTCCCTCTACAAAGATCTGACAACTTTAGGGCTCACTGTCGCCACATTAGCGATATTTGTCCGCTCCATCTTCCGAGTGGCCGAACTGCGACAAGGTTTCAACGGTCCCTTGGCGAATGATGAAGTTACATTCATGATTCTCGAGGGCGCCATGATGGTCATTGCTACCCTTTGCTTGACTGTTTTGCACCCAGGATACTGCTTTGATGGATACTGGGATCAGACCAGCTGGAAGTCCATCAAGCAATCCAGTCAATTGAGCTTGAATGAACTGAAGGCACGGAACTCACGGGCTTGACATGCTTAAGAACTATTGACAGCTATTATGACGGCCAAGGTTTTTATGATTTTTTAAGGCAGGTATAGAATAGATTGGTTGATGTCCCACGTCTAAATTTATAGCTACATTCTCTTACTAGCTCCCAGGCCATTTGGGGTGCATGGGACCATTTTCCATTGAAGTGCCCCTGCAGGTGCTGGACTATGATAGTGATTCTTGAGAGTCTGTTTACATATTCTGCCAAATCTTACTTCGGCTGTCTTCAGGTGTACGGTCTTGTCCCTCCCGCTTTGTAGATAGCACCTTCGCATTTCTTTTTTTTTCCCTTTTTTTTTTCTGCTTTTGTGGAATCTTTTGTCGATCAGCCATACTCAAGGGAGTGGATAGAGACATAAAATAAATATGTGGGTTTCTATCTAGTTGCAGTAATGATCAATGAAGTCTTCGCCAAGTGTGAGGAAGAGGCAAGATTGGACCTTTGGAAGGTAAAAGAAGAGAGGACTGCATCGTCCGTGAATCGCAAACCGACCTCGTCGATGGACCATGACGAATTCTACCATTAGGCCAATAATGCGGCGAAAAAGAACATCAAATGGAACGACCCGGGATCGAACCGGCAACCTTCAGATTTTATATGTCGTATTGAACCTCAGGTCTGACGCTCTCCCAAAAATTCCCTTTCCGTAAATGCTTCCTGTAGCCGAACCAGCCAATCAGCTTTCGATTCCACCTGGGGTGATTATGTTGTGATTGGCAGCCACCCTTACCCCTCGTTCTTCGCATCATGGATTGGGCTCCTCCTAGTTGGTGTTGTCTCAGTAGCTTGCTGGGCCGAGGTATTGGTTATCTTTTGATCTGGTGGAGAAATGGCACGTAGACTTACGATAGATGCTGCTCGCTTTGTGACTTTCAGGACTTGCCCAGCGCTGGCGTTATATATAATATTGAGAGTACTTCGCATGTGCACTCGCTAGTACCATTCTAAACCCAACCACAAATGCTGGAGCAACTTGAAGTATTTCAACATCCTCCGAATCGTACAAAATGGCCTCACAAAACTCCCTATCCGATTGGCAACATAAAGTCGCCCAAAAGCAACAAGAATGTCTGCAAAGGATCCCCGCTGAATGGAAGATCCCCGAAAGCTTTCTCTCTTCCCTACGGCTACCCCTAGCAGAGAACAAAAATGACCTGATTCAGGGTGATGCTGTCCGCAAATCTGGTATCCTAACCGAGCGAGAACTGCAAATTACAGAGCAATACACGGTGTCTGGCCTTCTGTCAGCATTGGCAGAGGGGACACTGACCTCGCTCGAAGTGACATTGGCATTTTGCAAGCGAGCTGCAGTGGCCCAGCAATTGGTATGAATGTTCCCGTCGCTATTTTGCAAATCCTCATGTGAAATAGGTAAACTGTCTCACAGAGACTATGTTCCCCGAAGCCCAAGAGCGGGCCAAGTATCTAGATGACCTCAAGGCGCAGGGGAAATCTGCAGGACCATTGCATGGCCTCCCGATCAGCATCAAAGACCTTTTCCAAGTCAAGGGAACGTATGCGTCTATTGGAATGGTTTCTTTTTTGGACGAGAGGTCGACCGACAACTCGCCTTTGGTCGATATTTTGCTAAGCCTAGGGGCTGTTATCTATGTCAAGACGAATATTCCTCAAACGATGATGGTACATATACCTCATCAATTTCAATGCATAATGGCTGACCTTCCATAGACCGCTGACTCGCACAATAATGTCTTTGGTCGTACCCTGAACCCCCACAACACTCTCTTAGGACCCGGTGGATCCAGCGGAGGTGAAGGCGCTCTTATCGCCATGAGAGGTTCGCCCCTAGGCGTCGGAACCGATATTGGAGGTAAGATACTTCCCCATTGGTGGAAAGTAACTAACAAAGCCAGGATCAATCCGTATTCCTGCTTTATGCTGCGGCACGTACGGCTTCCGGCCCAGTGCGTCTCGTATCCCAAACGGTGGCGGACGGAGCTCTAGCACTCCCGGGATGAAGTTCATCCTCTCCTGTGCAGGGCCGCTAGCCCTAGACATGGATGCAATTGAAGTCTTTCTCAAGACTGTCATCGATGCAGGACCCGCTCTGTACGATTCCTCGGTCATCGATGTCCCCTGGAGAAAGGCGACTGTCAGACATCCCCTGAGAATTGGCGTCGTTCCCCCGGACTCTATCTTCCCTTTGCACCCACCAGTGCGGAGAACCTTGGCGGAGGCAGCCAGTTTACTGAAAGCGCAAGGTCATCAAATCATAGAGCTGTCGGCCGAGGAATGTAAGGTAATGGAGATCAACGAAGTCGCATGGAATATCTTTACTCTCGACAGTGGAGCTATGGAGCACTTACAGGCGGCCGGTGAGCCACCTGTGCCTGCTCTCGTTCACATCAAGCGCCAGGTGGAGATACTCAAGCAGGCAGGGAAGACTTTTCTCCCTGATTTCAGTCATCTAGATCGGCTAGGGAAGCTCGCTGCTCTCAACGCCAAAAGAGCCGATCTCCGAGAGACCTGGAGGAAGATGTGGAACAGCCACGATCTGGATATTTGTCTCGCGCCACCGGCTCAAAACACGGCTGTTCCGCATGATATGTTTGGACTCGCACCCTACACGACTTTCCTAAACTGTCTTGATGTAAGCTACTCTTTCGGGACTTGGAAGCTTCATCTAACATCTTGTAGTATCCTTCGTGCATCATTCCTTTCGGACAGGTCAACGAGACGGATGCTCAAGAGGCGTTTGAGCTAGCGCCTGGTCAGACTGGGCCGACTTGTGAGAATTTCTTCTGATTCACGGGCCTGTTCGTATAACTGACAATCATTTAGACAACTTCGCGCAGCTGGAAGGCGCACCATGCTCTATTCAGGTCTTCGCTACAACGATGCGAGATGAAGAATGTTTGGAAATGGCAAAGACCATAGACAAGTGTCTGAAAAGCAAGGCATAATGGGGACGTAAAGTTATCCAGATGCAGACTGGCAGGCATTCTCCACCTACACCGCACTGAAATACAAGCATTATGCCTCCGGGCAACCTATTATTGATCGGGCCTAGGCGATCACTAGGGACCGACGTACTAAAGGTGCATGTGACCGATCATATTTGCATTCCAACTTCTCTACATCAAGCTGCATTTAAGTTAGAGTGTACTCAATTATTGAAACCCCTATCAAAGAAGCAATATGATCGACGTGGCATTGTCTTACCGCAGCTTCTGCAGCGTGATATCTCTTCACATGTTGTCCCATCAAATCAGGGAAGTTCCACAGAGCCATATGTTCAAATGTACATGATCGACGCCAATAGAAAGGTGAGCCCGTATGCAAGGGGTACCACAATCACCATCCCTTTCAACTATTCAGTGTCTTCAAAAGGGTCTTGACATCCAACCCCTCAACCTCAACTCCGACGATTTCAAACCCAAGGTCACACTATCCGCGCACAATATCCGCTATCCGCTATCCGTTATCCAGCCATCCAGATTCGCGCCTCCCTCCAAAATGGTTGCCCTCAACTCCACCGTCGAAACACCGGAATCCGCCCTATTTACAGGTACGCACTCCTCGCACCACTCCATCGCAACGACAATACTTACAGGATAGGCGCCATCCTCACCACCACAAAATCCAAATCCGGCACGTACCACGTCCGCCAGAATAAACAATCCTCCTCGCTGAACCTCTTCGGAGGACCACCGAAAAACGAGTGGGCCTCCTTCAACACCACCATCGGAACCATCAATGTATGTTCTGGCCCCCTTGACTATGGTCAAATTACTCAGCTAAGGAACATCAGGTCACCGGGACAATCAACCACCTCAGCTTCGACACGGTCATGGAAGTGAGTGTGGCGGGTCTCTGCGTCGGAGCGTTCACGGGGAATCCGCAGTTCTCGTTCAAGGTCGAGGTTGATCTGGAGTGTGCGAATGGAGAGCTCCAGCTCACGGCTGTGGGGGATGATATCTTTCTCAAGGTTGATATGGACTTGGTGCAGGTCGGGAAGGATAAGAAGGCAGAGCGGGTGAAACTATCCGAGTCGGTTTGTGTGAAGAGTCTGCCGCAGGAGTTGTGTGAGCCGTGGATGCCGATGCGGTAGGATATAGGCTGGGTTTGAATGAGAATGTCAGGAGGTATGAGAATGGAATACAGGATATAAAGTTCATATTTGTGGCCAATTTGTCGAAACGGATTTGATTTCTAATAATAGCTTAGATGTTAGATGGATGCATGCTATATGTCTAAATTGCTTTCATGGAAGACCCCTCGATGATACCTGACAAGTAAATGTGTCATATTTCTTCGCGGTAGCTTTATCAGAACGACTTATCTATGCTGCGGCAACTTCGGTCCAACTTTACGCGACTCAGCCATAAACGCCCTTGAAATCATCATTGCTGCACGATTTCTGATGGTCGACGATATTCGTGATCCCAGGCGCTACTATTCCGTAAATAATAATAAGAACCTGTCATGACTCCATCATAACAAACTCTCATCCAGCCCACATCCAGCAGAGTACAGCCTTCAAGTGGCTCCTCGTCGTCTTCAAACCTTTCATCCCCGTCCCACTGCGAATAAGGCTCCCAGCTCGCATCGATGATGTTGACAAATCCGTCTTTGTTGATCGTATGCTCGTCTGGTGGCGGCGCTTTCCGAATAATGGAATCCAAACTCTCGTCAGTGACCTGGATACAGTACCGGTAGCGCTGGGCGTTGCCCGGACCGGTGCCTTGCTCTTCCTGAGGCGCTGTAGCAGCCCATTTCTTGAAGTGCTCACGCACAAAGGAGGTGGTTGCGCCATCAAAGGTGGTTTGGTCGTCGAAGACGGTAAGGGCAAGACAGTCCATCATGTCTAGACCCTTGTAAAATTCCATAGTTTTCTCGGTGTGGATACGGAGGCGTCTCATAAACTCATTCCAATCAGAGTCGCTTTTGTACGTGCAGCGGTACATCACGTACCCCCATGTACGATGGCCGTCTTCGTCCAGGTCCAGTTTAACGCAGTCGGCGAAGTTGGAATTCCTGGTGAAGTGGGGAGTACGTGGAGATGGGTCATTTCGCTTCCGTATCAGTGCAGCCATTTTTAGCTTCTCCATGGTTGAGAGCCTCCTCATAACTTGTCTTGAAGCTGGTCTGAAGATGCTCTCCGCGCGACCGGGCAGGGTCCCGAGCGAAGAGCGTGGGAGCATGGGAGGATTCTTCAGGCGGATAGCTTTAGAGAAGCTGCTCCTAGCTGAAGTATAGTGAAACACCATCTCTGCGACATTTAAGCTTTGTTTTTGGGCAATTTGAGAAGCTGTATAGTCGATGAATCACATAATTGCTTGCTTTGATGTGTTGCCATTGTTGAAATAGTCCTAGTGCAGGGTGTCATAATTGCCCCAGTAGGATTAGTGGACCTTGGTAGAGACGTTGCCAGTTGACAATTGGATGTGTACCTGGTGCAGAGTAGATAAAATGTAGCTCCATGGCTTCTTGTATGAGGATGAATCCCAATGTGAAAGAATATCGACTGTTAATCTCTCTGATGCATTATTGCTTTAGTAAGATAATGAGTGTAGAAGCTGGTATTGTTAATCTGCTCTGTACAAGGTATTTACGTAAGATATGTCAGATTCCCTGCCCCATGAACTTAATCCATCTTAACTTCCATTGTCAGGAGATCTGCCAATATTTTGTGGGGCGGTGTCTCAATGTGCCCATGCGCTAGTCCGTATAGGGTATAGACAATATATAGTGTCATCCCGGTTTTTGGTGACGTCACTGATGCCAGTGGCGACTCAAAGCATATTTTGAATTATCACCCCTTATCGTTTTCGATCATGGACTCCACCCAGGCTCAACAATGAAATGAATCCAAAAGAGATCCAAAAGCCGTCTACAGAAGTAAGTTTGACCAGTCCCACATCTGCACACTTTAATTCACTCCTTTATCCACTTTAGCCGCTCTCAGAGCGCGAAAAGCATCTTCTCAGCATTTATGGGAAGTTGCCTCACCGAGGGCTACTATGCCCAGGGTCTAAGGTACTTGTTCCTTCATGGATAATGACCATATAAAGAAAATGTCTAACAGTCAAAGCATCGGACCTACTTCGACTCTGGTGACTATGCTCTTGCTGCAGCTCATAAAGTGACGGATGAAGGAAGTATTGAAACTGGAACAGCCCATCCGTTGCGAGAGAGCATTCCACATCCCTACGCTGCCGTCCCTAGCTCTGGTAATGTTGCTGAAGATGCCAACAAGGACTTACATTGTAGGAGGAGTTCAAGCCCTGAATAGGAGAATGATGATCTCTGTGTTTGAATGGCTAATTTGACTCATGCGTGCGCGGAGAATGGTCTTGTTGGAAGCTGCCTACTAAAGTTGGAGATAGGAGTCAATAAGCCACAGATGGTCATGTGCAGAACCATCGCCTTATGGCTATATCCCAGCTCAAACTTACAAGCAGACCCTCAGTCCTGCCCTTTAATGGGTATGAGACAAGGACGGTCTGTAGCATGTTCCGCAGTTAAAATTATCATGTCCTAGCTCAAAAGTTGATTAAAGCAGGAGTGATTTATGCATGGTTCTAGTTGATGGAACCATTCTCGATATTCATCTCCTTCAAGTGACTTATTATAAAGCCGGAATTCCACACTAGGGGAAGCCCCTAAGCCTAGGGCTGTTCGCCACTGCCCTTGATGGCGCTCGCTGAGCCAGTAGTGTTCTGAGCTCTACAGAAACATGGCACATGTGAGCTTGACGCAAGGATACCGCAACCGTCGTTCAGGTGAGGACTGTGGAAGTTTGGACCGCGGAGCCATCAACGGAGCGACAAATACACAAAACAGAAGAATATGCGCAGGTCAATTGGCAGCTTGTGTGAAATCTCAATAGTTCGGCAGGCAAAATGACTTCACTCCTATCGACTATTCTAGGCCAGAACCCATCTGATACTCTACACTTTTAATCTGAATAGAGGGGTATGTGAAATTTCTGTAACTATTTTTTGGTAGTCCCGTCATGCATCATAGCGCGTCATCAGACTCAACATCATAGTCTGGCCTCCGGTGCTTTAAATATCCTTACACTGCTATTGGAGCCTGCACCTAGTAATATTTAGTTCTAGCACTCCCACAATTATACCTGTTAACCCATTGATAGACTATCAACTGCCTTTTCAGCATGCCTGTTGACGATTACGGTATTTGGAAGGCACATCCTGTGCACTACGTCGTTGACCATCACGAAGACGACCCACGGTCCGCGCATCTCTCATTGTATTATGACGACAGTGGGCAACATCGCAAAGAGGGCTCCGTACGCGATCTTCACCGGACAGGGAAGGAAATTCCTGGGCTCTTCCGAGCTGCAATCAATATCAAATCTGGAGACAAGAAAGACTCTCGCCTCGTCTATTGGGTAGACCACGATTTCAACCAGCATCCCATAATCGACAGGCTCAGTGTTTTAGAGCGGGGGTTCCATCTACTCCAGGATACGAAACCAAGCCCTGAAGGTCCGAGGATTGATTTTATCCGGAGTAACTTGTTCAACGTCAACAGCGGCCGGGTTCTGCCACATGACGTTGAGGGCCCTGATAACGATATTATTGACGTGCTGGAACCTGAGATCAGTCAGGCCATTGAACACCAAGCTGAAGTATATGTGTTTGGTTCGCGATTTAACACAAGAGATGGAATCCACGATGTCCATATGAACCAGGGCAACAAAGGACGCTGGAAGGAGGATGATGGCACCTTTCAAGACGGAGCTCTCTTAATCCATTTCACTAATCCTGACCGATGGGTTGGCGTTTTCCTCGGCTTTGCTTCCCAGGCAGCCCACACCGATGATCGGACTGGACATGCCATATCATCGGAGACTTGGAGTGACTACCTAAGCGACCGAAGAGGGCATCCTGATCTTATTGAGAGCTCAGTGGCCATCAAAGAGGCAAACATCAAAGCTCCCGGGCCTGGTGGCTCAAAGGAAAGACGAGAATCCGTTACTCTCACCAATCTCACGAACAAACCTCTCTCCCTCTCGACGTGGCAGATTCATAACTCAGCTGGTCAAATCCAGGTTTTACCCGCTAATGCAGCATTGGACGCAAGGGCAACGAAAGTTTTCGAGATTCCCCATTGTCATGTTTCCAATCATGGGGACACCATCACTCTTGTCAATGAATACGGACTCAAAGTGGACGGTGTAAGGTACAGCGCCGGACAAGCAAAACCCGACGGCCAGCCCATTGTTTTTGCTCATTGAGACTCGGCAAGGAACAATTGATGCCTGAGTCTTTATTGGTGGCCGTGGAATGGGGACAAGGGCGAAAGATGCACAAAAGTCATTTGAGGTTCATTATATGGTCTGTAGTTAATCCAACATTTGACTGACCTGTACGCACTAATGCCGATCAACAGGTTGTCCTTGTCTGATCCAATCTAATATACTTTACATAAACTTGTTCAACGACTGACTACACAGCCAGCATCTAGTCATTTATCCATCTGTCATTCTTATACTTGCGATGAGTGATCATGATTGTGGCCAATGTGGTAACCTTGAAGGGCCCCTCTCGACGCCCATTCTTGAAATTCCCCTCGAACCTACAGTGTACTCTGTGGTGGTGAGCGTTCCAAAGCCATGTCGCAGCGAGCCCTGATTGGCTCCAATTTCTTAAAGGGGGCATTAGCCTGCTAACTCCATTCGTATAAATACATAAAATAGTTACAGGATGGCTCAGAGTCTCATCTACAATATAGACATCTGAATAGGAATTAAAATAACCATAGTATAATACTATGATAATAGTTCAGCTCCCTAATCTATACTATAGATATCAGATAGTCCTTACACTCCGTCTGTAAGGAATGTATCCTCTGCGCTACTATACGGGTCCGGATTTGGGCATCTCGCGGTGATATTACCTCAAGGACTACCGTATATCCATATTTCCTGCTTCTGTCCTGAACGTTTTTATATTGCTTACACTTGCGAATACTACGAAATGAGTCAATGCACTTGGCATTGTACTGTTGATTTGTCAAATACGAGATGCCCCCGCAGTGATTTGAAAGCAAATCTTGGCTGCCAAGCGTACAGATATCAAGGTGGAACGACATGGAAGGGAGAGGGGGTGTATAAATTACATAGGAATTCGCTGAATGCATGCATCAATTAGCACTCCGATCGACCTTTCTCCTCAAATCCTAAGCACAATGTCATCCGTTAGCATTTTCGGTCTGGGGGCCATGGGCACAGCTTTGGCCTCTCGGTTCCTCGAAGAGAAGTACAAAGTCGCCGTATGGAATCGATCTTCAGAAAAGGCAAGCCCTTTACTCGACAGGGGCGCCACACTTTCCCATACAGTAGTGGATGCCATCAACGCAAGTAATCTGATCGTTGTCTGCCTCCTCGATAACGCCGCAGTCAAAGCAACCTTCGACAGCGCTCTTGACCACCTCCACGGCAAGACAATCATCAATCTCACAAACGGAACACCCGACCAAGCTCGGAAACTATCAGACCTGCTCGGCAGTCACGGTGCTCGATACGTCCACGGCGGGATCATGGCCACCCCTTCCATGATCGGTTCGCTTCATGCTCTCATCCTGTACAGCGGGTCACCCGATGCGTTTAAGGCCGCCGAGGCCGATCTCTCCGTGCTGGCCAAGTGCGTATTCCTCGGTGAGGATACGGGTTCCGCGTCGCTGCATGACCTTGCCCTTCTCAGCGGCATGTACGGTCTCTTCTCAGGCTTCCTGCATGCAACCGCTCTCGTGAGATCGAGCACACCCGCCGTCAAGTTCGTGGACCTCCTGGTTCCCTGGCTGGGGGCAATGACCGAATACACTAAAGGGATGGCAAAGCAGATTGATGAGGGGAAGTATGCGAGCGAAGGATCGAATCTCGCTATGCAATTGGTTGCTATTGACAATATTATCGACGCCAGTGCGGCCGAGCAAGTCTCTGCTGATTTTATTCGTCCGATGAAGGGATTTATGGAGAAGGCCGTAGCGGCTGGTCATGGTGGTGATGATATTTCTTCTTTAATTGATTTTGTGAAGTCAACATGACTTGCGCCTGTATGTTAGATTCTTGAGCTTAGAGACAATGGGCTATATGCTATGTCATTGCGGCCTTTAGATCTCTGATTTGTGGTAGTTATAAGAGCATTTAGCTGGCAGGATCGCGGTAACAAAATTCGACTTGTATTTAGATTTTAATAACAAAGAACATTGATTAGAACCAAAGAAACACTAGAGTTTCAAAAGGAAAAACAAACTATAACTTTCTCAACTTTTTCCTGCCATCAGACACACGTACTAGTCCAGACAGAAGCCATGCAAACCACAAACCTAACACTTGGTGGTGTTCTCTTCAACATTATAGTTGATCATCTTCACCATAATCTTCCCCTTCTCACTATCAATCAAGAACGAATCTATACCATCTCTCACATTGATGTTATAGGCATCATGGTAACTCCAACGCTCTGTGACCCATCCCCCATCTTCCTCTACCACGGTGCCCTTGATGGTATAAGCAGTGGTAGGCAACTTACTATTAAGCAGCCTAGCCGACTCCTTGATGCCCTCATGTCCAGTGAAGAATTGGTTGAAAGTGCCCATCAGCGACAGATGCAGGGAGCGGGAGTAGTTCCGCTTGATGTCCAGCGGAACATCCCCGATATAACGCAGCAGGATATGCTCCCAGTAGATGTCTGAGACAGAGCGATCCTCCTCACGAGGGAGGTCACCGGAAATGAGATACTCCAGGACTTCCTCGTTAGGCTTGCTCTTCGGATCCTTAACATTGTCCGAGATCTCTTTGAACTGCTCCCGGAGCCATCTCTCGCCTTGAGGCAGACGCGGGTCCGTCACGGTGAGATCGGGGTACTTCTCAATCAGCATCTCCGCAATGTCGTAGTGATCGTTGTCAAGGAGAAGCTTGAAGATGGTGCAGCCTTCCTTATCACGGGCTGTGGGGTCCGCCCCCTGCTCAAGGAGCTGAAACATGGTGGCTTCCTGGCCGGCTATGGCTGCCGCTAGGAGTGGGGTGACGCCGTCGTAATATTCATTGACGCCGGCACCGAGATAGATCAGAAACCTGATGATGTCGACGTTACCGTTGCGGGCTGCATTCACGAGAAGGCCGCAGGAACTGGTGGTGGTCTCCTTGGTGCTGTTCTTAAGCGAGTTGATAGAGTTTGGGGAGGGAATTTGGCGGCTGATAAGGGCAGGCATTTTGCATGTAAGTGTCGGTAATGAAAGGTTTGGAATAGCTGATATAGTGATTGGTAGCTGCGTCTTTGATGGCCGGTTTTAGCAGTCTCATTTCGACGAGTTTTGCCTCATACTTATAGCTTTGCTTCTTCCTACTTGGACAGAAATGCCTCAGGTCTTGGAAGATCTCGAATGCATCGTTGATGCAATGGATTTTCAGTCCCGGTCAGTCCATTCGTTCTAGACAACGACGAAGGAGACTCAAATTTCCATGATCACACTCTATGAAGTCAGCAGGAGGATGAGTTTACGGGCTTCCAGTGGCAATTATGGAAGACCTTGACGCTTTCAGAAGAGCGCTGTTGCATACTTACAGTCAATTACCCCCTGAATGATACATATGAGCTGCAGTACCAATTGAGAGTGACTTTAGGGTTGCACTTGGGGTGTAGAATATCATGTCTGGCTAAGTTTCAGACTAGGTCCACTGATTATGAGATAATTCCAGACACTCCTGTTGAAAACGGAAGTAGTATTGAGGATCAACGGTCGAGGCCTCACGAGAATATCCATTTCAGAGGCCTCTGATCGTCGATCTCGTCGTCCAGCGCAGCTTTCCACGCATTTCTCCTCGTTTGAACGTTGCATGACCCCGATGGGGCACCATAGATCAGGGCTACATCACGACTTTACTCCACGGTATGTCTTGATGGGGACACTGTCAGTCTTTCTCTGTCCTGCTTCCGGTCAGTGAAGCTGCCTTCGGATAATGGTCTACCCAATTGAATGTAAGTTAATGAGATCTTCGCGTAATTGACCCTTCTGGCAAGGCTTTGGTGCCGCGCTTGCTTCGTCTCAAGCGTTGACTACACCACACTGGGGCTTTTCTGATGATAGACAGCCGGCCTGAAACCAGCTGTATCATTTAGGGTCAATCCTCTCTATTGACAAAGGATCAGAGTCAATGACTCACTGTTCAACGCACAAGCATAGGTCTCTATCCAGTCCGTAGAATCTTCAACATGTAACGGACAAGGCAGACCTCTTCGTAGGCTGGTAAGTTCGGTATTCCTATGAGCGTTTACACAATGGATTCCGTCATTGGTAATAGAATGGCAAAATACATAGTTCTTAAAGCTGACCGTCCTATGCACGATCCATTCAGGTGATGCTACTCGCAATACCGCTTTTCTAGTCGAGTATCTGGTAACTAGACACGTTGTCCATGTTTTATAGTTCCGAAACATTTTCGGGCTTGTGTTGGACCAGTTTTCAGTTAAATCAAGAGGCGGAAGGAAGTGCCGACGCTGTGGGATAATCTCTACAGTGAATGGAAACCAAGGGGAAAAAAAGAAATAGGGAGTTCGGAAGTGCTGATGAAAATACAAAAAACAAAAAGTAATGCATCATCCGTGAATCGAACACGGGCCTCGTCGATGGCAACGACGAATTCTACCACTAGACCAATGATGCTACCAATTGAGCTATTTGATTGGCTGTTGCAACTCCTGTACTTAATAAAATTACAAGAGCATTGTCGTAGCGATTTTCCGGATGTCCTAATGGACATTGAAGATGTTGCATCAATTTGAATATATTGAGATCGATAAACAGAGGATCTACTACTAATCGACTGTTATCCTGCTGCAGGCCTCCCGACTATCTGCATATTATCGTAGGGAAGTATGTACCTGTAGGGGGTTTTGCATGGTTGTATATATATAGTTCAGGAGATCGGCGTAACTCTGCACTGTCGGGGAGTTGATCTCACCTTTCCAGAAGGAGAATTTAAATGCAAAAAGTCGGGTTGAACCTCGATTTAGATAGGAGTGCATGGCTTGGATTAGGATTAGGGTTTACCATTTGTAGGTTTGCTGCCTTGCTTACTGCTGCTAATATTTCTGCTGCCTACGTCTATCACGAGGCCTGAGTTCACGGTAACGGGTGAGATAACCCTTGTCCTGACACCGTCGACGTGGGGTTATATCATTGGGTGCTACTTGGAAATGAGGCATTAATTTTATGAGGTAATTGGCTTGAATTGCCTTGGTGGGATGGGCGTGTTCCCCTCTTAAGCGAATATTCACCTCACCTATGGCATATCGCATTGTAATATAAGGACGAATTGTTCTCGACTTAGTTTCACATCTTCCCTAGATGCCAGATTCACCTATCTTTGATCTTCAGCATGTCTGAGGCAGAAAGTATGATTGAGCCTAATGTCCTGGATGAATCTTTTATTACATCTGGGCTCTCTAGCCTCAGCATCGGAACATCTGAGGGCCCACCAAAATCATCACCACAGACGCGGAAGGCAAGGCTGGTTCTGCTACAGCCTCTAGCCAACGCTAAGATGCTTCAAGCCTGCCGTAATCCGCAATCACGCAGGATTTTCAAAAATAATTGCCTTTTTACTTCCGGTAATGAGCTCCTCGATATCCAACCACTTAGTAGGGCGTGGAGACAGGCACTAATGAATGTCCCGCCCTTTTCACATTTGATATTCGACCTTACTCTACCTAAGGAGACTGAAAATTGCAAGGACACATTCCAGAAACTACACTGGGATACTTTTATGCCAGAAGAGAATGGTCTCGGTATCCCTTTGAGGGACGTTACGACTTTGGTCAGGACTATCGCCACCGAAATGAAAATGCGAGCAAAGGGTGATGCGTGGTTCAACGTTGTCTATGATGAGGTTGAAGGGTCAAGAGGAATAGCGCCGAGGGCAATGACGATTCTGAAGAAACAGCTTCTTGCACTGAGTCAACAGGTCCCAGAGGTGAAAGATGGAGAAAAGGGCGAGTTGGATGTAACAGCGGATGACGGTAACACAACCCAGGCACCTGAACAGTTTAGTTCCTGTCCAAAGACCGTTCAGCCCAATAAATTGGTGTTTTTTGACAAATCTGGCGAGCGCCATGAGATATATCTTCCCAAGGGTACTATTCAAAAAGCTATCGACCTTTCGCAAGAGGAAAACTGGGATGAGCTTCTCAAATTCCCTCTTTACAGTGAGTCAAACCTCAAAAACTTGTTGATCGCCAGCTAATAACTATTCTATAGAGGATCAAGGATATAAAGACTGCGATTGATTGCGACCGCACAAGTACCTGGAGACACCTGAATGATCATTCAACGGTAAAAGCCTTGTAAGCATCAGACAAGAAAATGGTCGAAATTATGGAACATCACTGTCTTTGACAATGCCAACTGTATGAACACGTCTCTTAATACACTGCAATCCATCTTCCTATCTTGTCAAAACCGCTCAAAAGAATGATAGCTTTGGGTCTATTGACATCAAACGGCGTAGCAAGCTATACAGGGCTATACCTCCATTCCTCTCGTTTGATTGGCTCTGGCAAGTGATCAGACAGTTGTAGCCCTAAGTACAAGTCCTTTTGGTTATACCCCGCGACAGCAACCGGTAGGACATATCAAACCGTCATTGATCCGAAGCTGAGTTAGATTGAAATCGACCTGAATTATCCGTCCGAAAATTCGGCATCGGACGTGAAATTTCGTCCGAACTGCTACAGACCATTATCCTATTGCGGGAGATCGGGTATCCGGGAACTCGGGGAATCACCAATACCCGTCTGGCCCTATACGAGATCAACAGCGTCAAAATATTTACGCTCTCTCTTCTACCTATGGATTAATTATCTGTGAGTCTTTGGCTGCTTGGCAGCCTTGGTTATCATCTGACCTCGTATTTGACCGGCAATCTGGTTATAGTGGCGGGATGACGTGTTCCATTAAGACTATATAAAGCGTCATATTCCTCTTGCCAGACCACAATTGACAATTGACAGTGGCACCTCGAGAATAGCACCAAAAGGACAAATCTGGCTTTTAGCAAAATGGGCCTTCCAAAAACAATGCGCGCCCTCCTCCAGCCCTCCTTCGAGGAACCCCGTCTGGTCCTCACCCAAGACTACCCGGTGCCAACCGCCACAGAAGGAACAGACGAACACCTCATCCGCGTGCGCTGCATTAGCCCGTGCGCCAACGAACTGAACTGGGCCAAATTTGACCCTCGTCTCCAAGAACGTGAGCAAATCCCCTGCTACGATGTCGCGGGAACGGTAATCACCGCACCGCCATCCTCCGACTTCCCACCGGGTGCAGAAGTCTACGCACGCTCGAACTATCTCCGCCCTGGCTGCGCACGCGACTACGCCGTTGTGTCTGGTGCGGATCTCGCGCGAAGTCCGCAGAACCTGAGCTGGGCGGAGAGCAGCGCCATTCCGCTGAGTGCGCAGACGGCGCTGCAGGCGCTATTCGTGCAGTCTGGGATTGGGGAGCTGGGAGATGCGGCGTGGAAGGGGAAAAGGGTGCTTGTTACGGCTGCTTCTGGGGGTGTGGGGATCTGGGTAGTGCAGTTGGCGCGGCTGGCTGGTGCGACGGTGATTGGGACGTGTGGGCCGCGGAATGTCGAGTTTGTGAAGTCCTTGGGAGCAAACGAGGTGATCAACTACCGGCAGCGAGATCTGAAGGAGTGGGGACAGAGGACGGAGAATCAGGTTGATCTGGTGGTTGATTGCATTGGCAAGAAGTCGTTGGAAGATGCGTGGTGGTGTGTCAAAGATGGTGGCATTCTGATCAGTATCTTCCAGCCTCCTGAGCAAGTGCAGCCTGAGGAGTGTAAGAGGAAGAATGTCCGGAATTTGTTCTTCATTGTGTCTGCGAATCGAGCAGATCTGGAAGAGGTCACGAAGCTAGTGGAGGAGGGTAAGTGTCGGGGTGTCGTGGACAGTGTATGGCCGCTGGAGCAGTTCGAGGAGGCCTTTAAGCGACTTGATGATGGTCATGCTAGGGGAAAGATTATCTTGGATCTGTCCCTGAACCAGTAACTGAACTACACTTAGCTATCGGGTTTCCGTCAAGAGGACGCTTTCTTAAAGATGTCCACTACGACCAACCTTTCTGCTGATCAATATGCTGAAAAGGCTTGTCTTCATTTATTGGCCAACGTGTTGATGTATCAAAAGTCTCGTTGGTGTCGTCAAAACAAATATGTCTTAAAAATATATTGAACGATGCCATGATAATATCAGATGCATTTTGAGAGCAGAGAATTGAAATATGAAGAGACTGAACACAAGGCTTCGCTACAAGATTTTTACTACCTCTTGTCAACCTACACTATCCAATCTCACATACCAAACTGGTGAGGCAACCAGAGTGGACACCATAAAGCAGACAGAGGTTTGCTTCTCATGCATGAAACTACCCACCAGGTCAATCGAGTTGAACCAGACGGCACTCAATGCAAGCAGCATGTCCGTGACAAGCTTCACCCATTTTGGCAGTGGGTAGTATGCGTAGACGGCCGACAAACATGCGCAAGCCATGGTCACGGCCACAGAGCAGTACAACAGCACAGGCAACAAGCAGATGCACAAGGAGATACGTTCGCGTGGCGCAGACCATCCGCGCTCCACGGTCACTGCCGTAGGGACTCGTCCACTTCCGCAGCTTCAAGAACGGCGTGAGGTTATGGGCGACGGCGGTGAATATCCGCCCCCATGAGAGTGTCGCCTCCGTAACCTGCAGTTTCTGTTGCTGCTCCTTAATATACGTACACCGTGACGCGCGCACATCCATCCTCATCTCCATGTTCCGCACGATTTCCTCCGTGGTCGCCGGCGGCGACCGCTCCAGCATTTCCAGCGCGAAAGCAAGGTCCGCCTCCTGCAAGGGAAATAGATTCTCGTTCGTTTCTTTGACCTTTGCGCCGCAGAGGCTCTCGCTCCGAGGACATTTAATCCAATGTACCATGCTCTCCTGGGAGGGTCGGCGTTTCAGCTGACATCCCACCACGAGAACTTGCCAGTCCCGGCCGGCGGCGAACGTCTCTATTTGCATAGGTACCCGGCGAACTAAGCCCTCTAAATCCTCGGGGGTGCGCCGGCACACCACGGCGATATCTGTGCGGACGTTGTTGGTGACCCAACGCGCGTGTCGAAACCAGTTGCCGCGGGCGAGCGCGGTTTGGTCATAGACCAGATTCGAAGGGCCATACAGACACTCGAGAAGAGAGCCGTTCCTACACTGGCGACCTTGCCGACATGCGCCGCTATGATATGGCGCCCCAGAAGGCAATGATCTGGGAGGAGCAGGCAGCGGTGGAGGAGACGACATATGTGGTACTCATTGTCTTCGCATGGACCAGGGTACGAGCTGGGTTGGATGGTTGAAACTTGCTCACTGTTGCTGCTCAGCACGCCACTCAGTCGTCACCAGGAAAGTCAATGAGTCAACACAGACACAGTTCGTTGATACTTCTCGCAGGACTTGGAGATTCGGCTCATTTATCCTCTCTATGTATATCTCGTACCAACCTACTGATGGGAGTTTTGATTCTGGGAATTGGGGAAAGGAGCTTTGGAGGGAACTTGAAAATTTAAATGCAACCGACTTCAGGCATGAATGTTTGTATCCATTCTAGCATATTCAAATGGATGATCATTAAGAATGATAACGGAAGCCTGTGTAAAGATATCACTAGCCTATATCCGTGTGGACTCGAATGGCATGGGACATGTCTGTTCGTAGTACTTGGCTGCGTTGACTCCTGGTGCAGAAGACGGATGAGGATTGCCGTTAGTTGTAAAAGTGTCGCCAATTCCAACTCCGTTGGCTAAAACGGATCCTGATTTGATTTGACGTATCATGAACAGGTCCTCCCCGTGTTGTTCATTGTGGCAATGCTCTGACTTACACCTGAAGACCGCATAGGGACAAGATAATCCTATCTACGGCTTCTTCCGGATTAACATTACCACAGTAGACTAGATACCCGCTTCCAAGCTGGGCTCCGGCCACTGCGGCCAGTATTCCGTCCTCGCTTTCCTCTTCGTAGATTCCCTGACTTGAGCTAAGCGACTTAGTCTCATGATATGTAACTGGAACCAAGATCCTCTCATGGAGCCGAGCCCCTTTGACATGGAGGACCTTCGTGTAGGGTTGCGCAGGTAACGAAGACGATTTCACACCCTGATGGCAAGACGCAGGATGGATTGACCTCGAAGTTTTGCGGGTATAATCGCTGTGTTTCCAAGGCAACCCAAAGCCAAAAGCAAAGAAGGCGTCGAAGACGTCCATTGTTACGAAGCTGGGGAAATGAAGGCCGATAATCGCAAGGCCACCATAACGGATATATGTTTGTACTTTTCGGAGTACTTCATGGTGCCGCCAGTCAGTCAAGCCTTGGTCTGTGACGATAATGGCCTTGGGATTGTTGTCATCCAGATAGCGAAGTGCCGCGTTCGCGGTCTTTACACGCTTCACCAGGGCGGACTTGACTAAGCTGTTGAACAGTGAAGAGTAGGTATCGTCAAGAAAGTCGAGGTAATCGAGGGAAAGAAGGAGGATCTCTGGGCGGTATTCGGTGGACATTGTTATCAAACTTGCTGGATGCCTTCCAAAAAATGAGCATGGGCGAATTGTGCGTGATAGGAAGAAGACGACATTATATCGACCAAAACTATCTATCTGGCAAAAGATCAGAAGATACTTACATATATGTCTTGAGACCAAGCAGACTGGTCTATACTTAGTTCCCTGAGGGAGGTTTTAGATAGGTGTTTGGCGTCTGCTTGGGGGTATTATTGCGCGAAACGCGACCCCATAACACAAGGGAATACGCTTGGGTACTACTCAATAATCACGGATTTATCAGTAGTTAACCTATTCACAACACGAAGTTCTCTTTCGAGTTTAGCCTGGACGCCTCTCCCGTCAGACCTTAATTCTCTATGACCCGCCACCTTCATAAGGCCCTAAAGCTCCTACTCCCCAAACCACTGCCTTAGCAGCATCTAGATATAGCCTCCTAGCTACGGATCACGATGATTGGAGGATCCCACTGAAGATTGAAACTCCCTAGATAAGAGAAAAGAAGCTCATTTGGCTTCTTGCCGCTATTCCCGTTCTTTTCTTGATCAGCTCAACATACTGGCAATTCTATACTTATTTAGACTACGGAACTGTGGACCTGTAAGAAGCTGAAGCTCCCATTCTGCACGGAGAAGCTTTGAACACTCTTTTGAGCATATGCCTCCTTCTTCCTGTCGATGAGTGTGGTGCCATGCCACGCGCCCCCCCAATAATACGAAGGGTTCGCTTGCTCCTGGATAACAACCGTGGTGGAGTTTCTTTGCTCAAAGCACCACTGCACTGGCGTGTAGGCCCACTTCCCCTTACCGTAGAATTCATACCAGGGCTACAATTCGAATCATTTTAGAGGGAGCTCAACTTCAGGAAGGTCTGTGTCGCCTGGTTGGGCATTGTTAGGGTCTGAATGAGTGCGCTGATGATCAGTTGGTTGCAGAACGATGAGCTGCGAATGAGTGGGTTGGGAATTAAGGGGGAGCAGCACTCTCGAGAGGCGTCAAGAAAATGAGTGTAAGAAGTTTGTAGACCAACATTCTGAATTATAAAGACTTCACCTGGTATACCTGTTGCTGCAAACACTAGGTACTGGGTGCTTCAGAATTACTGACTTATTGCTTCAGTTCGAAAGGGGACGAGTGGTTTCATTTCACATTGTCCTCATGAAAAAGATCAAACCCAGGCAGTTTAGTTAAGTAAATACCTAGTTCATGTGTTACATCATTACCTTACATGTATATGATCTCACTCTGGTCGTAATCTTCTCATCATACCCATACCGCGGCAGACCAGATACTACTTGGGTATTTAAAGTGATCACTGCTGGACCTGAACGGAGGCTGGGAAGGGAGATCTTCTGATAAATTTGCAAATAGCCAATGCCGTACTTATGGTGCACTCTGTCGATGGAACAAGAAAGCCTTTTCCAGCACTAATATAGGAATGTTATTTGCCACCAAGGAATTCAGCAAGCCAGTTTCAACTCATTGATCAGTGAATCATTTAGGATCCGAAAGATTACCAGTAAAGACAGTAGTTAAGATACCAGTACTATGCAGCTCGCCCGCTGGAGGCGTCACCGATGTATCCCAAAGACTGAAAGTCTGGCAAACTCCGCAGCCCCCCGGGCCACAACATACTCGTCGCTCCCTCCAAGGATTTCCGGAACACTACCGAACTCCTTAATGAAGGCACTTTCGAGAACCGAGCGAAAGGTTTCATCTGCCGCGCTCTCACCAAAGAGCAAGACCAGATCAGGGGTCAGAGAGCCGGGCCAGTTTCGCTTCCACTCCATCAGTCTCAAGGCCAGCCGATCCCAATAGCCCTCCTCATCTCGCGACGCATAACCCAACGCCCACTGGTCCTCATCATCCCAGAACCCAAGCACGATGTGAGCGGACTTGACGCCGGTCTGGAGGATCTTGAGTCCCTTCTCTGTGTACAAGATGGAGAGGACCTCGGCGAGCGGCATCTCATGAATCTCAGATTTACACGCCTCGTAGTCTCGATAATCGGAGCAGAGAAAATGGCCATAACCCGCTAACGCTGCTCCAGTGTCCCGTACCCATGCCCATGAGCGCCTACGGTGAATGTCTTCGGGAAATGGAAGGTTGAGGTACTCAAATGCGTCGTGGATGTCTTCCTCGTAGAGCGCGATAAGATGAGGGGTGGAGACGACGATGGGCAGTGTTGCCAGGGGCACTGAGAGCACATCTTCTATTTGGACTTTGAGCTCTCGAATCATGGCCGCCAGGGCCCCGACATCCCCTGAAGCCGGCAGTCCAAGCCATTTGCGGAGCGAGCGAAGTTTTTGGCGAGGGAGGTCCTGAAACTGCTCAGGCGGTTTGACATACGGGGGGCTATTTTAGCTCGATTAGTCGGTCTGATGATATTTCACCCGGGGCATAAATAGACAGACTGGAGGTGTGTGGATGAGCTCAATGATAACCGCCGGATGACCTCCTCATAACGGGATGACCCTTCTACCCTTCCGATGTTAATCATCGACCCGTTGGGAAAGCTTACAGCGGCCGTCCTGAGAGAAGTCATGCTTAATACTCCATAATTTATTCTCATAGAGACAAAAGGAAATACCCATAGAATCCGGTCAAGTCTAACCCAATGCCTGGCGGCTCCGTTGTGACTGGAGGGCTGGGCTTGCCAGGGTTGGTGTCACTTTTAGGAAATAGGCGGAAATGGGCGCCTAGGGTAAGCACAAGGAGGACGAAGGTGATGGCGACAAATGGAGGAGTTGGCCTGAACCTCAAAGTCGGTGCCATGACAGTCGGTAGATTGGCAGTGGAAGGATGAAACAGTCAAGTGGCGCAGGCAGCGAGCGGAATATAAATGCAGGTAACCTCCGGCGCTAAATAGCCCAACCCCTCTACAGTGTGGTAGGGACTGAAGTGCGCTTTCCACTGTCTTGTATCAAACCAATCAGATCATCTTTCACCACTTTGGTTTGTCCCGCAAAATGACGCACTGCCAATTTATTTCATCTGAGGCTTAACCAGGGTTTATCCTGGAGGGTACATAAGTTCCCACATCAAGGGTTGAGACCCTGCGCGTGGTATAGATTTATTGCTTAGAGATCAGAGTACGCTGGCAGATACACTAAAGCTCCAGGTCGGTTTTCAAATTAGGAAGGGTGAAACAGCAACGTTTTCCTCTACCTCCATAGAATGGGTGTAAAACACTCCTAGCCTACAGTCAAATGAAAATAGTCTGTACTGGTACTCCCCACTTTGTCTAGGGCCGCGGCACCTTTTTAACTAAGGTGAACTAAGGTATTGATACATGCTCAGTTGTATACCTACAAATAGCTACTCCTTGCCCTTGATAGCCGCTAGGAGGGCTTCGGCAATGAGGCCATGTCCCAGGCTCTTAGGATGAAAGATTTTTGCTGTCCACCCCTGAGAACCTGAAGAGGTCACAACCAGCTTGTTATTTGTCCAGGCCACTGTCATACTCTCATCTGCTGAACTGGCGGCCTGGGGAGTAAAGTACGCTTCGATTGCAGTGGCAAAGGATGCGTTCGAAGCTGCCTCAATAGCCCACGTGCACCAAATATTGACGAGCTCGTCGGGGTCGTAGATGTTAGCGGGGTTATCCAGGTTGCCTGCACAGGTCTTGGGGTCGACGGAGAAGGAGTAGGTGCCGCTTTCTGGAGGATAAGGCGTAGTACTTGACGGGGGCCACTTATCCTCCTCGCCCGGATAATTGTCTTCTGAGCCTACTGCCGCAAAGAAGTACTCATGAGCTGCTTCATATTTGTTCTGAATAGGTTCATCACTGTAGCCAGGAGTGCAGAAGCGGTGCCCATCCATCCGTGAATCCCAGTCCACATACGTGATGGACCGGTTCTGAGTAACTTCAGTAGCTGCAACAGCCTGTTGGATCTTTTCGTTGACCTGAAGGACTAGAGAGTTAATTGACTGCCGTAAATTGTAAGTAATCGCAGGCTTGTTCCAGAGCATGCCGAGGGTCCCACAATCTGTCTCGCTGCTTGTATCAAAGAACCGACTGTAGCCAGCCACGAAGAGGTCGAATTGCTGGTCAAGGGGGGGACCGGTAAAAATATTTGTATATGCCTTGACGAGAGCCTGTACATATCTTTCGTCGTTAACGATAGCCTGGGAATTGGAGATTTCGCCTTCGCAATCAAACGTCTCGCCGCTCCACCAATGCCCCGACTTCCCATAGGTAGGCGGTTCTGTAAGTCAAACGCAGGTCAGACCGATCAGGTAGTCGTCACCACCATTACTGCACCAAAATAACTTACGGAGAATGCACTGAATCAGAACCTTGGCAAACCCAGCGTCATTGCCACCTATGGTAATCGTACCGAAATTGGAAGAATTGCTCCACGTGAGAAGTTGCTGTTTCATTTTCGGATCATCCGTTAAAGACCCAGAGCACGCCAGAAATTCGAACTTAAAAGCTAGAAGGCGCTTCGCGGTCAATAGATATCATAATTTGTCAACATTTGCACCAACCGTTCGGTGCTAATCCCTCCAGCGCCTTATTGAGCTGCATGGGATACGAGTTATTAGTTCTGAGGCAGCCGCTGAGAAAACTGTCGAGATAATTTCCCGCTCCAGGTCCAGCACTGAAGGAATCCCCAAACGAAACCCTGAGAGAGATCAGTATTCTGCAAGCGCAAGTGTAATATATGGAGGGAACAAGCCATACCACCCGGTGGGCACCAGACTCCCCGAGGACCCTGTCGGTCCACTAGAACAAGCACCTGTGGGGCAGTACCCGTGGCTGCACGCCCAAGCACATAGACCACTGTCTGGACCGATAATCGAAGAACCAACCACATCAGTAGTGGGTGGTGACTCTACTAAGGCCCCTGTGGAAGTGCAGGTACAAGTATGAATAGGGCAATATCCATAGTTGCAAGCAAAGCTGCAAAGGCCTGCAAAGCCGCCATCGCCATGACCCCCAGTGCAGGCAGGCGGATTGAATGGCGACGTTGTGGGGATATAAGGAGGGACTTTGGTTGTGCTGCAGGCACTGGAGGGACAGTAGCCATAATTGCAAGCGAAGCTGCAGAGGCCCGCATAGTTAGCATCACCATTTGCTGGAAAACCTATCACTCCTGTCGCATTTGGTAGTGTCAACTGCCGTCCCATATTCGTACAAACACATGCCCCAACCGGACACTCAATGCGTTGCAAAAGTTAGCATAAAGTTAAGCAGTCATAAAGGGAGACAAAGTGGTAGCATACATATCCATATTTACAGGTAAACTCGCAGAGCCCTTCAAAGTTGCCCGCACCCCAGCCCTGTACGCAGACTTGATTGCTTAGCGAGAGGGGTGGGGGAATCGTGCTGGTCAGCGTGGATGTTGCAGAGCCGACCCAGACATTCCAATTGGTAATGCCATTTGTGCAGGTCGTAGAGATAGCCTGCGAAGGGTTATATGATATGAAAACACCAGAGTCACGCAGTAACTGCATCGTGACGGGCCCGGTTTCTCCATTCAAGGCCATACTTGCATGGTAAATACCCACTCCACCTTCTGGGGTGTAATCCCAGTTGACGCCGTATTCCCCTACGCCATAGTTGATCGTCAAGTATGCCGGCTCACTGAGCAGGGCAGAGACGAAAATACGATCATCCACAATATCCACGGGTCTGTATTCGATCTGGAGTTGGCTTGCAGTGTTTGCTGTTGTTCCGCCATCACCACATGCGCTTGCCAATGTCGGCCGATACCAAGTCACAAGGACTTCTGTATCAAACGTTGCATGCCCATTTTTATAGGTGTCAATCACGTAGGGAAGAAGTTGGCGCCAGCCATCATGTGGCATGTTTTCCACGTAGTTATATGGTGCGTTCCCAACCTTGAAGGCATCGTATTGGGTGGCATCGAGTGGCCCGATATAGTGAGATTCTCCAAAGTCGTTCCATGAAATGATCTCGACGAACTCGGGCTGGAAATACCAGACCTGCTGCCAACGATCATACCATAGGTCATCGCTGCGCCACAACCAGTTCTTGTTATATCCTGGCAAGTTTGTGAAGAACCATGGGGAGACTGGCATTATGTAGGGCTTACCGTTCAGGGTCTGGTTATACGACGCGTCCACGTAAGTGGTCATGTTCCGAGACCCCCACGCCCATGCTGCCCAGCCTAGGTAGATAGCATATTGAGTTAGTTTGACTGAACCACATCAAGGCCTGTCTCTACCAGTACTCACTGAAAAGCCCGTCTGCAATGCCCCCTCCAAGCTTGAGCGCCACTCCAGCACCTCGAGAGGACCAGTCTGGCATGAAGAAGCAACCCGTCTCTGCTTTGATGCTGATCCAGTCATTTGCATTATCGGCGCCTTCAAACGTTGATACGAAAGGCGCACCATTATAATGATAGTAGGCGCCATTCGAAGCATATTTTCGAATAAGGTTATAGACATCAGACTCGGCCCAGGGACCGTTTCCTGCGTAGTCGAAAGAGAAAAACAACTTGAAGCCCAACGAATTGGCCGCAGTAAATGCATTGGCAATTTGGACATCGTTGCCAGCCCATCCTGCTGCGATATTGAGTGCGAAAGCGTCAATATGAGCTTCCATGGCGAGATTCATATTTGTAGTCCAGTCAGCAACACCGAAAGAAACCGTATTGCCTACCTGATCTGGCAGTTAGAGGCGGCAGTAGAATGAAATTAACCTCATTGTCACCATACCATGAAATGGGCAAAGACTGCCTTGGCTTGTACCTGGCAAGAGCCAAGAAGGCATATGAACAGAAACAGCAATAACATGATAAAAGGAATATGGACTGAGGCAGCTAGAAACAATTACAAGGAGAAAGTGGGGTTGAGATATGGAAATAGTGAATGGCAGTAAAACTGAGGATCCAAGAGTGAATGCGTAGATGGATGCTAATCATAGTCACACCTTGACAACAACAGGGTCCTGTCTAGTAGAGGTCGAAGGCTCGACATTTTTATATCTCAAATACAAGGTGAGTTCCTCAGCCAAATTTGAAGCTGCATTTGCATTGCCTACTGCAATATTAAGGGGCAGTCACCACAGAGCAACCTAAGGACTTGCTCTTAGGCTACCTTCGGGTGTATGACTCGTAAAGTGAATATTGCACTTGACAGGCTAAGTAGAGCAATTAGCAGGGGTATAGGATTGTGCCATCCTGGACTTTACAATGCAGCACTGGGTGTCTCATTTTCTACACTCAGTTCCTTCTTTAGATAGTGCTCATTGCGTACGAGTAGATGGTGCTTATTACATAGTGCTTACTGCATAGTGCTTATTGGGTAGGCAATGAACACTCCTCTGTCGCAATTAAAGGTCGCGCATTGGACAAATGTTGTTCTCTAAGCTAAACAATAACCCCACTAAAGAGTACCTAGGTGAACAGTCCAATCGCCTTCCATGCCATCGCGTTGGTAACCAATAGAGGAAAAATGCGGCGCAGTCAGGTACTTTCTATAGGATTTCTCGGTTCCAGATAACGAGAAAGTAGCCGAGGGCTAGAAAGTCGAACGAAATCAGCATCATGCCAAGCAAGGCTCAGTATCCCTTCCTCTGTTTTCTAAAGCCGTTCCTTTGATTGTAATTTTCGCATCTGGCTCTGAGACTACACTAAAAGCTTTCCAGTAGTAGCACGTAATAGGTGTTCTCCAAATCTACCTGTTCTGTGATAGAGAAGTGCTGCGCTTCTGGTCTTAGATGACTGGATAACACATTGGCTTTATCAGGTACAGCCCAAATCCATACTCCGCACTACTGCCTAGCTTCGTAGTCTTAGTTCGTAGGCAAGGGGTACGGCCAATCGGATAAACTCGAAGAGGAGTCAGTGGAAGTGGGCAGTCAATTTCAAGCCGCTACCCGAGACCCCTAATTAATGTATGGATTTGTATGCCAGCGCTTAACCAATGGCTCTGAATGGATAGTATCCCGGCAAGGAAAAACCTGTCCCTTACCTTAGACCTTGACTTTTCTCCGATACAAGCACACCGATCTCACTCCCATGTTTGGCGCAGCCAAGAAGGCTTGTCATCAACGCAGAGGCTTGCTTTCTGCTTCACTTCTTAGTTTTGCTAGAAACAGCTAGATCTCTTATAATCAGTGAAATAACAAGGCAATTGAGGCGAGCACTCTACCTAGATTTCAGAATGTAAATTTGAGTGGTATGGTGCGAATCGTCAAATCTGATCCAACAACGCGACTAATGCGAGAAAAATTGCCCTAGATAATTTGCTGTCCGCTAAATCTTGAGCGCCTGTTGCCAGCACTGAACTACTCCGTAGTACAAATTAATATGGCCTTTCCTGTCTGGAACCCCCGAATCCTTCGCGCATGGATGCGTTGCTGAGTGGGCAGCAAAGTGCAAATAACCATGCTCCATGTTACATCGCGCTAGATATACAATAAACATTACCCTCAACGCACAGGGATATGCATATATTCATCTTATGGGCTAGAACTCCTAAGCAATGTTGACTTACCCCTCATTTAACACACGTGCTGAATACTATAAGGTATGGACGAATGAGCTGGCGGAGTGTAATCGCACACAATGATTGCCTTGCCTACTGTGTTCAATTAGATACTATATCTGATTGGTACTAATGCTAAATCGGTTATTTAGCATTATTCGCCAAAGAACTCTCTTAGATTATGGGCAGCTTAACATGCATGGTGCATTGTGTTTAGCGCGATGTAACATAACTATTTATGTCAAACACCTAGAATGCAAGCCAGAGACAATATATCTGACTTCGAATTGATGCCAGTGTCAGAATCAGGTGAGCAAGCGAAATAGATTCCTATTAGCAAGATTGTATGCATAGGACGGTCATTCAATGCTAACTAGTTAGAAAAGGTTGAGTGGGCTTCCACCTCATACAGCATAAACGCAAACTCTTGTCTGCACTGTTTACTTTCCTCCAGCTGTTATTGTTTAACACTGCTAACTATATCCTGCCAGTCATTCCAGGATATCATGCGTGTAATTCCTAAGGCGGTGCTTTTTCCTTTATACTTCCCAGCTTGGATCACCTGCCACCGCTGCAAAAGGAATAGCATGTGAAGGGGTATGCCACCATACTTAACGGGATTTCCACAACTATTATAGCTAGCCAACCTACTAGCTTTATTTCCTCGCCACTCCGTTATGTTGATTTGAAGTAGATGAAACTGTTGTGGATCCCTATCATTGCAGTGACTTTCAAACTAGGTATTGTTCTGTTAGAAACCGGCTCATCCGGACTCTTTGTATGTGGGGCAGTTGAAAGCAAAAGAATTCCTATGTTCTTAACATGTCTGAAAATAAACGTCGCTCAAGTTTTCCATTGAGCCAAGGGCAGCAGCTTTGACGGCGTATATAAGGATGGTAAAAGTGTACATATTTGGATGCTCACCGAGTCCCAGTGACCTGATCAGATTGCATCTTAAAGCCAGCCCAACTGCAACTCACAGATCCGCGCACAGTATGCCTGCTTGAGGCCAGAGCCTCAAAACAAAATTCCCTCCACTCTCAAACCTGAAACTTTCTGCTCCAACTGAGCACACCGACAAGCATCCGGTAGCTGATCTAGAACCCCCCCACACCGATCATGTTATCGCAAATTGGTTATCGTAGAATTTCCCTCGGGTGGACATCGATATCGTCACCTCATTCAATATCAGTTGCGTTGAGTGGCGCAGACCAAGCTGATTTGGCCAACAGTAGCGTCGAAATAATAACTCCGGACAACATCATTTTGGACTAGTTGTCGGAGAAGAGGCCTGAAAGCATTAAAGCCTTCCACATTCATAGGCGCTGTGACAAGCGCCTCGTTCTCTCTGAGCTATTTCAAATATTGACTCTGTTGGTCTTCTCGACACAAAACTTCTGCACTAATTAAGACAACTTATGAAGATTTCTTACCTCGAGAAGCCCTCCTTCTGGTATTGTCTCTGGTGTTTCTGTCGACATGCTCACAATCGCAGATCATGGCACATCAAGTATGATGGAGATGCTGCCAGTGCTACGTTTCATATGGAGTAGAATAGTTTAATGAGGACACTAGTGTCGGGAGCGTGACATCCGCATACGCACACCAATAAGCATAAGCACATTGATAAGCATAAGCATGTCAATAATGAGCGTGAGCATGTCAATAAGCAATATTCTTGTATAGTTCAGTTGAGAACAGCAGGTCCTTTAGTGTCAGAATGTACTTCACTGGCTGCGCAGAGAACAATAACCTACTCCTTTATAACTCGAGTTTGTATTAGAAACTAATATGCCTACTGCATCAACCCTGGCGAAAGAACCTATGAGGTGGGAGAAATTGCTAGAAATATATATACTTCAAATGTCGTAGTATGAGGGCCGGGCGCGTCACTCAAATTTCGATGACCACTACTCTTGGTAAGGGAACCGCGAGAAAAAGAAGAACAAAGCAAAAGAGCTCTGTAACAAGTCCTCTCCAACTCCATGTCAAGTTTCGTCTTGCCTCGGGAAAAGAACAAAACTTTACAGATGTTGCCCACTCTGGAAGAAGCCCTTGGCAGTCGCGAAACTCTTCGTGTTCACCACATCGCGGCCATCGACGCGGAAGTTTTGGAAGAAGGCTACAACGACGATAACAGGTTCTGGCACAAAGTACGACTATCTGTCAAGAATATATCAACCTGGTACTCCAGGTCCGGCCTTCCGATTGTTTTCTATGAGTATGACTTGCGCGAACTGTGGTATAAGTTGATCCAAGGTGCAAAAATCGCGGACGCGAAGCACCTCGCTCTAGACCGGCTGGCAGCCGAAGTTTTGCACGCCCGTGAAATGGGTACCCTGTCTCGCAGGATTGTGGCTCCAGTCATAGAGTCCCATGAAGAAGCGTCAAATCAATGGATCCAGGAAGAAGCATTGACATCCGACGGCAAGATTTGGGCTGACCTGCCCTTCCTCCTCGAAGAAATATGAGCATTGCAACAACGCCCTGGAACTACCGGTACGCCAACGACGTAATATTAGCGCTTTTATAGCCCGCCTCGCCTCATGGGGAGCTAAGGATCCTGCCTTGTGTTTGTGCGCTCTTTGGATATTACGCGATGCGCTGGAGACCCCGAGACCATTGGTTTCAACTGCTGCGAACTCAGAGAATGATCCACTGCCGATTGCAGACATGGTACCAGCAGCCGTGGTAGGGTTTGAGTTATGTGGCTACAAGATTGAAAGTCTTTGTCTTCTGAATTATGATTTGGATGATTCGACCATTAGTAGCCTTGCAAGGGACGATGGTGTTCATCCGACAACCGGATTCAGCATTTCGCGATGGCACTTCTGGAAAAGACGCTTAGATGAGCTCAGCGGCTGCAGCCATGAAGAAACGGCAGAAAATGTAGGACTGCGCTACTTGTTACTCCTTGCATGAAATTATTTGGCCTATATTTCTTGATTTGCACCCTTCCTGCAAGCATTGATGACACATCCTTGAAAGTGTCCTCGATCGTCCTTGTATGACGTAGGCTTATATCTCTCGGGCAGTCCATCAAGACATGCACCATCATCTCTATTGCTCCAGAGTCACACTTATTCTTCACATCAGCGTAGTTCGGCATATGTTGTCGACCATGGCCCGTCCGCAGCTCTATGGAAATATAGGCCAGGTAGAGTGTCACCTTACCTGGAGTTAACCGTTCTCACTTCCATAACTCAAGGGCCGCCGTTCGGTTTAAGCTTCTTCGGCGGGTGACAAATGGATTGCAAATGGTGCGTCGCCTGTGGGCCTACAACATCCTTGCTATTGTCTGGCGTGCCGAACCATCGCCTCGCACAGGTAGGTGGAGGCGGATGCCTAGTTTTAACTCTTCAACTACGAGACATTTTTCATATACTACCCAGAAGCTTGTCGCTGTATTTCTAAAGTGTCATATTGTTGCAACCAGGAGAATCCAGAAGGGAGAAACTGGAGAAAGCCGACAGTCAAAAAAACTCTGTCGACAGAAACGTTTTATGGGGCACACATGGTATTGGATTGAGCCGTCTTCCCTACCATATTACTAGTGCTAGCCACTCCTCTCTCATATTCCTCATGCCCAGTTACCATAGCTAGAAAAGCCCAATAATAAAATAACGGTCATGCCTAATATAGAAAGTTTGGACGTTATTTACAGGCCCTGACGCTTAGATTCTGGCGGAAGGCAATGGATACTTATTAAGGAGGTCAGAAGTATTGTATGATGATTACTATAATGCTTACAGTGTAAGTGCTTATGATGATTATAGTTCTTATAATTCTTTAAGTGTATATAATAATTTGATGCTACAGTGCTTATGATACTTATAGTGCTTACCATATGTCTAACAGCAGGTGTTACATTAATCCCTTGACATGTCCAGGGAAAGGGCCCAAGCGTTTTCAAAAAGGTAGTAATATCATATACACGCATATGTATATAAAGCACTCCTGCATTTTCGCAGGTGTATTTACCATTATCCTGAAAGCCGAGCCAGTCCACATTAAGATGCTTGTACAAAGTTTGTTCTCTGAGCGGGCTAGGATACACCTCTCAGATCTAATCAACAACGGACTATGCCCGCTCCGGGTTCAGCATCTCAAGATCAGAATCCACTTTGTTACCCCCCTGTGTGTGGGACAAAAGCTTGCTTGGGTGGGAGACATTAAGGGTAATGCAGCATGCGAACATTAGTGCGGCATCAAAAACATAAATAAAGACCTCCTCGCTCTGAAGATACCCGTCGCTTCCTTGCACATATTCGGCCACACGGTATACAGATCGAATCATAATGAGAACGCTAACCGTGTACAGAATCTTCATGTAGTGATTCCATGGTAGCTTTGTGGACATCAGGTGATGCATGGGCGTTGCAAGCATACGGCGATGGAAAATCACCGAGACGATCATGAAAAAGCCGAAGAACAGAATCTGAACAAACAGACCACCAATGATCATATGTTCTCCCATGTTGACTTTGTCCTGGTCTTTGGCACCCGCAAGCAAGCCACCACCTGCCCAATAATGCATCAGCTATGGTGTACGATTGATATTTGGTACACACTTGAAGTCACTGCATACCTCCACACTGCATCAGAAAGGAGATAACATCACCAGTCACAAAGACCTTGGTCAGCCAATTCGGACGGACCAACGAGAGGGAGCCAGCGTTCAGCAGTCGAATAATACGGCCAAGGATCATGTACACAGACGCAGCGAACAGCGCTGGAGCAAGGAGAAGCAGCAGGCTCTGCCCTATATACGGCTTTGTCGTCCAGTCGGGGGTCTGCTTTGCACTGATGTATCTGCAGAGGTAGCCAATAGCCTCGACTATGATCAACAATGGTGTCAGCCTGTGAGAGCCATACCCCGGACACTAGCCTCATGTCTAGCATCATCAATCTCGACCACGCCAGAAGGGAACTACACACAAAAGCCACCGATAATGAAGGCAGTCATAAACCAAGCCCTTGCCTTTGCCATCTGCCATATGTGGAAAACTGTGGTTAACCCGAAAATTACAGCAAACGTAACAGCCGCAATTGCGGAAGGATCGTAGTGGTAAAGCTTGAACGCCATGACCTGGATAGTAAAGGGAAGTGGACGCAGCTGCAGTAGTTAGAACAAAGATTAGGAGGAGACTGGAGTGAAATACTGGGTCAGACGGCTTACTGTCTTTCAAAAATTTTAATTTAATAGTCGAAGAGAAAGGGCAGACATGGAGAACAAATATAATCAGTCAAAGTCATCCACTGCTCCTGCTGCTCCACTCCAGCTACTACATATCTGATTGATGCTAGCTAGCTGGCACTCTTGTATTTGCCACGTTGGTTTGAATGCCGTGAAATCAAAGTGCATCAAACTACTTCGCACAACTTGCCAGTTTGAATCTCATTAGCGGGCACTGAAACATCACTTCGTCATAGAGCGTAGCTAGCTAGGTGACCAGAATCGGCAATTGATACGAACTACGAGCAGTGGATCCCAGCCTTCCATCTCAACTGGGCTAACGCAAAATAGGGCTCCTTTAGTTGCCGCAGAGACTATCTAGTCTACAAGGTCGGTTGTGGATCTAAGAAGTCCTTTCCTGTGTGCCCCAACAAAGTCGAAGTGTCCATGGAGCTTCCAGACCCATCTTCCTCGGAGGACAAGAAGAAAAGGGAGAAGAGCAGGAAAAAAGGGTAGAGATCTGCCCGTATTTTGGACCAACACCAACTCATAGGGAGTAAATGTACAGAAGGATGTGCATTATCAGTAAGCCGACACCATGGCAATATTGGTGCCTGGTCTCCTGCTGTATATTGCAGGATAATAGGCAGATTCTTATTATGAGCACATCGTGCGCGGACGTGCCCAGAAAAAGCCTGTATGGCTGGGACTTGCACCGCTTAACTACTATTTTCGCGTCTACCCACTGGTATGAAACAACGTGCCCAAGAAGGTGAACAGTACGAATACGAAAACCCGTTATGGTGGCTGATCAGGTGGGTCAGAGGTATCGGATTGGCTCCACGTAGATTGCTCCTTTGGGACTCCCAGACATTTATATCCGATGGCTATCTGTTACTATTTTAAGCGTCCCCAACCCCTCTGACGGACGTTATAGATTAGCGGCATGATAATTGTTAACCGTCACCTCATCTCTACTTCCCATACCTTTTACCTTCTACTACTACGCAGTGCTTATGCTTGATAGCCAGTGGTTAAAACGAAAACCATATACACTCGTGAGCGGGCCTATTTACTGTCCAAATAATAAACAGCAGTTATCCAACATTATACACTAACACTATCCCCATCGACTTGGGTCATCTCAGGGCTTGATCCTCGTCCAGAATATCCATTCGTCACAGCCTGTGAAAATTCAGCATCTGACAGCATTCCCTGTGTAAGTTCCTCCAAGGACTTGATGCGTCCCTCCTTGTCTCGGACGTCAGGAATGAAGAAATATGTGATGAGTAGGCCCATGAGCATGAACAAAGATAGACTAGCTAATTGTCAGTGGAAATCACTATAAATCCTCTCTGAAAAGGAGCCTACCAGAGAAGAGCATATCCCAACCAATCCGGTACGTTGGTATAGTCCTCCCCGTTCCCGAAATCCACATACGCCAGGAAACACTGCGCCAGGACAGAGCCGAGTTTGCCAAAGGCGGCCGCGATGCCGTGGCATGTGCAGCGGAATCGAGTTGGAAAGAGTTCAGCAGGGAGCTGACGGTCAGCTTATATTTCTGAATTGAGGATTTTGAGACTTACCATATAGGTTGTGGTGTTGGGTCCTAGACAGCGCGTTAGCAAAGTCAACGACATGGAGGAAGTAGTATACTCACCAAAGTTGAAAAATATCTGGCAGAGAATATACAATACCACCAACGCAGACGGATCATCTTGTTTCACCAGATGCTGAAACGAAGCGCCAATAACTACATTCAGCAAAAATAGCCAGAAGAATCCGTTCAGCTGGATATTGCGCCGACCCAGTTTATCGATCGTCAGGATTGACAGCAGACTACCCACGATAGCGCCGGAGGAAACAACAACAATACTCTGATAAGCTGTCTGGAAGAGTAGCTGATACAAACTAGTCTGTGGCAGCTTGCTTCCGAACCAGATTGTTCGAGTGATCCGTGGACTGATGAGCCCTAGGCCGTAGAAGGGGAGGTCGAGACAGAACCAGCAGAGGGATGTGGCAGCCAGCTTTCTGAAGTTGTCCTTCTGCMTGAGGAAGAGTTTGAAGTCTTTCCAGATTGCCAATGGGGAGGTGGCATCTTGTTCAGCAAATCGGGCAGCTTCTGCAGGCTGGTCGGGCCGTTGATCTGCTGATTGGGTGGGCGATAGTCGGAATGAACCTGACTGCGGAGAGGGTGGTTCTACACTGTTCACTGATGCACTGTCAATACTAACACGTTGGTAGAATTGCGATACGTCGTTGACGGCCTGAAGACTGTCTTTGGTGACTTCTGCTGTATAGCGAGGGGACTCGATGATCGTCAGTCGGAACCACAATGCGATGAAGGCAGGCACTGCCCCTAGCCCGACGAGCAGCCTCCAGATGGTGTCAAGACTTCGGATACAGTTTCCTGTACATGTGGTCATATTAGGGTCGGTGGGGAGACGGTGTTGGAAGCCCACCACCGCAATGAGAGCAACCAGTTGAGCAGCGAGCTGTCCGAGAGACTGGCAAAAGAAGACCGTTGCAAGTAGTCGCCCACGTAGTCGAGTCGGCGCAAACCTGAGATCATCAGCTACGCTTACGAAATGCTGAAGAGGATCTTACTCTGAACAAATGACTGCCGACAGAGGATAATCCCCACCCAAACCAATCCCGAGCAGTCCACGCCAAAATAAGAACAGGGCGATAGCAGACATGGAGTTCTCGGCCCCTGAAGACGATAATGCCAGTCCCAGAGTGGCGAAGATGAGAATAACCAACTCCATGCCGTACATCTTGCTTCGTCCCCAGACATCCGCAGCGACGCCAAAGGCTATCTGGCCAAGAAGAACACCGCCTAGAGTGACTATACTGAGAGCCACCTCATAGTCATGCCGGACTGCATTGGCCTCGGTCCAGTTCGAATGGTTCCAATACACAATGTTCATCATGGGTAGAACCATATTGACAGAGAAGATCTGCACAGTCAGTTGATGATCCTGACCGATGGGTGCGGTCACGTACACCGTATGCATCAGTGAAGAAGCCGATCCCTGCTACGACGACGATCCACATCCATTCCCGTCGTCGAGCGCTTTCGAGTCTACCGATGATGTAGGCATGTCTTTGAGCGGGCTGTTCCTACGGTTAGCAACTGACGCATGGCTAAGCTTTTGGATCCATGGATCCTCACCGTATGGTGCCGGAAGTCCTGATATTCCTTCCATGGGTAGAATTGCAGTCCCAGGGCGGCTAAGCGTGGATATCGCATATTGCTCGTTGGTGTTTTACAACTTAGAGACTGGATCAGGATTCAAGAAGGCAAAAACACAATTTCTTCTACGCTGCCCACTGGCAGCAATCCTGCCCCTAAATCATTATCAGTACGAGGCTGAGGACCCTTCCCCAGCGAGAGCCTCATACTTTTGGAAGGAGCTCGCCCAGGCAAAAATACGAACGACGGGCAACAGCCACACAATCTCCCATATCAAAATCCAGGGGCGGAGTCAAGTTGAATGTGCCCTGTGGACCACGAGGACGGCAGCCCTGCACAGATCCGTGACATCGGTCAAACTGCAACTCGAAACGATAGGCTAGATATTAGCGACTGAATCGAACTTTTCGAAGGTCTTTGCCAAAGACACCGTTGGAATGATGCACGTTGTGTAGACGACGCCGGCTATTGGACCGGGGGTACGAAGCCGTCGGTGCTACTCCGTAGTCTAGTCCCCTTGGCGCCACCACGTGTGATGGATGACAATGTATATGATGAGTGCCCTTCACTGCCACAAAGCGCCCATTGATATGCTGCTGACGAGGCATGTATTTTGCCGCCGCCCGTGGGAGACAGGCGTATTTTGAGCCGCTAGCCTGTCAATGCTTGGGCAAGGCTACCTTATCAGAAAGGGTGGGGACCAGTTCGCGTGTCGATTCTGCCCATGGCCCATGCTCCTTCGTCGAGTTCCACTTTTGCTGATCCATGGATGCAACCTGATCCTCTTCAGCATTACTACCTGATGAAATTCTGAGCTATTGTTTAACTATCACGTTATACGGGATGAGCTTCGGCTGGAGCGCCGGAGATGTGTTACAAGCTGCCAAGGTCGCCTGGGATGTCTACAAGTGTATCGCCGACGGAACTCAAAATGCAAAGGTTGATTTCACACAGTTCAAAGCAGAGTTTGAGTTGATGAGAGCAACTATCGAAGAGTTGCAAGAGGCAGAGAAAGAGGTCCCCGTGTCCAAGAGGGTCGCCCTCGGTCAGTCTTATCAGCAAACTATCATCGAATGCACCGAATTCGTCAAGAAGCACCGAAGGCTAGCGAGCGATATACATTCAGGCGGACCCAAAGAACCTTTACAATGGCACAAAGTCTCGGACAGAGTCAAGACGCTTTTCCACCAAGTTTCGTGGCCGATGGAACGCAAAGAAGCCGAACGACTGCGCCGCGCGCTTGAGCGGAATGTCCAGCTGGCGAACTTGATGGCAACCAATACCGTGATTGATATACAGAAACAGAATAGGCAGGAGAATCTGGAAATTCTGCGTGCAATTAAGTATACTGAAGACAACTCCGCCATAGATCCCGGACTATGACTGACTGAGCTTGCAGAATCATGAGCCTACAGATATCGTTCATCCTCCGCCAATGCATGCCAGGACATAGTTCTAACAACAGAGACAATACTCTGGAAAGCCGCCTCTTGTCCGAACTTGGTCAGCGAGCTTTACCACGGTTACGAGACACGGAACAGCTGCCACCGTCGCTGGAGTTTCCCGGCGCAAGGTCCGACGATCGTGAGTCGAAACCACTTCTTCGCATCCAGGATGTCTCCCAGAAGCTAGAGCACCTTATCATGCGCCGTGATATGCCCGTCGTCGGCTTCCTAGACCAAATCCGAGCGGATATTCGTGGTGCCTTGAATCAGGCTGGGTTCAAACATGTCACCGTTCCTGGTCAACTGGCGTTGAATGCACCTACTAAACCCAAGGAGCCTGCGCGAATCTTGAACAGGGAGATTGATGAGTGGGAAAAGTTCAGCGACTGGGTTAAATTCCAGCTCCTGCACCAAGAGCGCGCAATCACCCCGGCACGAAGGGAACACTCGACGCATGATAATGAACATCCTGGGGAACCGCCTCCTACGCCTCCACTGGATGCGCCCATCAGTACTCGGTACCGGTGCACGAGTGTGGAGACGCAATGTCCTGTAGTGATGTAAGTGTTCAGTCAGGAGCTTTAGGTGTATTTGCGGCTAGCTTACATAGACACAGGCATTTTCCGGATCCGAATCTCAAGAACCACGAATTACACAAACCGGTTAAATGCACAATAAACGTCTTCCTGCATCACCGTACCCGCGATGTTGGCTTCATCGAGGCAACAGATGTGACTGGCGCCGTGACGATAACTCATCGGATACACGAAGACACATTCCGAGGAGCCCAGAGCTCCATGATTCCATATATCGAGAGTGCTCATGTCGTCCACGACCCGACGAGTCCGTTCAGGATATGCTTTCAGGGGTCTCACCGTGTTAAGATTGTGTCGAATGGTGCTGCCGAAAGATATGCCATCTCGCCGGTATATATCTGCCGGAAGAAGGCTGGTGAGTACCACTATTGCAGTTAGAACTACAGCCACTAATCGGACCCAGACTTTGTCGCTTTCCAGAGCATACTCCTAGGGAGAAATATTCTCTACTGCGGGGACGTCAAATATATCAACGCCGATGGCGTCGAGGAACACTGCTCGCTTGAGACCATTCGTGTCCTCCAGGACCCGCTCACATCAGCGCGGAGTTTACTCTACTTTGGCAAACTCAGGCCAGGCTCGAATGCAAAGATGGGCTTTTTGGAATGGCCTTGTATGTACCATGCCTTTAGGAATCTGCTGTGCAGTTACTAAATATGACAGTGGACGGATTCGTTGAACTCAAGTACTCGAAGCTATCAACCAGGCTTCAACTGCAGGGAGGGGCCATCACGAGACGGAACTCGATGGGAAGTATCGGCAGCATGATGTCGAACGATTCACACCACTCAACGATGTCAATGTCCAGTGCAGGTCGCCACATAAGACAGTTGGCAATTGTCTTTCATGATGAAAAAGGTATGTTGGTTTTCACGCAAATTTGTTGTGGATTGTTGACATTTGATAGATTGTGAAGCATTCCGTAAAGCTCTTCGGTCACAATGAATGGAAACGATGATTGCTTCTGCTACAGCAGACTACAACTTTGAATACTGACTGTACCTCATGTATAACTGCTAATAATTCAATACCACAATCGACAACGACATTTGACCAAGACAGCAACCCACCGTCCTTGAACAAGAAGGACTCGGAGTCTAGTTATGTGCAATCGTAGGCCTCGAACATTGGGTGCCAAAAGAGTCATTGATGCGGATGAAGTGTAGAAGTAAATGATTATACTTGAAGCATCTTAGAAACCCAAGGTTTCGACCACTTTACATACTCTCCGCTGAGATCCCTCCTCCTCCCCCACTTCCAATGGGAGAAGGGGCCAAACCGCACCCTACTTGAAAGGCTGAGGTCAGTCTGGTACAATCGTACGCCCTGCAGGCATTATATCATCATGTAGCAATCAACACCCCCATCGCCAGTCCGTCTGTGGATGCTACCATCAGTGCACACTTGAAACAACACGTTCCTCCCTGACGCTTCCATATCACTGCATTGGTTCCTGTATGACAGCACCATGCCCGTGCAAATACCTCGCTGGCTGGGCCACCGGTAGCATTGACGACCAGAATGGCCATTTTTGCGGGTCTACCACCTTTCCTTGAAATCTGTGCCAACTCCTCCACCCCTCGTACTGTGAAAGTGTATTTCTCGGAGGCATGTGGGTCTACTCTGTGTGTGCCCTGACACGGAGGAGCAGCGATGAACACGCTGTTTGTGTAGAGTGTGAATGTCGCCAAGGTCCGACTGCGGGTTAGGCGGAAATCAAGCCGCGCACTGAAGCTTTCTGCATCCCTTGCCATTGTCTCGGGGCTTGGTGGCGCCTTTGAGAGGCGAACAGTTTGGAGTACAGCTGTGTCAGTGGACAACTCGGGCGGTGTTGGTAGTGACCATGCAGCACCATCTCCTGGCATATTCTTGTGTTTTGTCGTTTCTTTGTCTTGGCTATCCACAGATGGAGGTGCGTGGCCTGACAGCATGACCAGTCTACCAAAGGCACAATCAGGAAGAGAGACCGAAGGACATGGCCCGACCCACCCACCCAGACACCGGACCTGAGAGTGACCCGATTCTGAATCAAGGGCAAGTGGTGCCAAAACCTTGCCCAATACTGAGCGAACACCCCAGTAGGAGACATTCGGAAAAGCTATGCCAAAGCAGCCTAGTTTGATCTGAATAGCTCCGACAGGCAAGTGGCCTCGTAGTGTTGACGAAAGGTTGTATAACACCGCAACAAGTATCATCGAGAATGTCCCACCGGGGAGAACCCAGCCGCATATCCAGTCACTAACACGCAAATCAATGTTCATTTCACCGACCTTCGTGTTTTGAAGCTTTATTGCTGCTTGTCGAATCTCGTCTGCAAATGGCCATTGCATCTCATCCGCAAATTTGATAACACCATCAAGCTGTTGCTTAACTACACGGGGGGAGGGCGTATAGCCTTGTTCAGGACCATCTTTGAGCTCCATATGTCTTGCGAATAAGTCAGCTGCCACCATGTCGTAGATGACTCGGTTGGTGATTCCGCCGTACCACCTTCGCTCGGCTCGCTGGATGCGCAGGTTTGCTTCTCGCGCTAGAAGAAGTTGGCGCATGAAATCCACGAAGCAGTATTTCGAATCTGGGTCAAGCTTCTCACGGTATGCCACAAGACTCATACTACCGACTTCTTCAAGGTTGGGCAGCATGGAGCTGCTTATGGCTCCGAGGAGGTCTGTGATCTGGTGCCGTAGCTTGATGTTTTCATCCGGGTCGAGCCATGTGTGTCTAAAAAGATATTAGAACATACGTCCAGCTATGATCGTAATTGGAGCCCAATAACATACTCGGCGGGACCAATAAGTTCCCGCAGTCTTTCATATCCTTTTTTGTCTGTGAAGTCCTCTCCGAGGCCATTCTTGACTATCTCCCTCCATCTCTGGTCCACAAATTGCGAAGAAAGTGGCTTTGTCTTTGTTCGGGACCACCTCAGCTCATCCTTTTTACGAATACTATGCGCCATCTGCCACAACGATATCTCCCTAGCGAAACCGGTTAGGGAGGTAGATCCGGGTGACCATCCAGCATATTTCTTGTCTCCCGCAACATCAGCCTCCAGCAAATCGTCTGCAATGCTCAAAACAGCCTCCGGGAAAAATTGAAACTCTTCTTGCAGTATTAGTAATTGAAAATTATCCAATCCATACAGCGGGAAGTGCCATACCAAAAATGGGGTGAGACAATGGTTGCCTTTGTGATCGTATCTCTGGGCTTTCACCCGAACCAACAACCCACGAGAAGCACCTAAAGCATTCCTCTTTGTAATATGCTATGTGGATAATGAGTGCCCCGGAATCATCATATGAATCATCTAACGATCCTGGAGGCGCGGAGATAGAGCTCGGAGTAGCATCGAGAGATGCAGTAATCAAACTTTCCACCACGGACTTGGGCTCGGGAGCTGGTGGGGGTGGGGGTGCAGTCGCCGGAGTTGCCTTCGGCGTAAGGGTCTTTGCCCGCGGAAGCTCTAGAGCCTGAGACCTGGTCTGGCGTCGGTCRGATGCAGACAGTATGTCCAATCTCAAGCTAGCTGTCTCCGCAATGAGGCCCGTAATATCATCCGCAGCGTTTACAATATTTTGGAGCTGGCCAACATCTTTGTTCTTCATGATTTCGGAACGCATCCGAACCCTTACCTTTTCTCCAATAGCCGGCAGCAATGATACCAAAGAATCATTGATGGCCTTGATCTCGGTAAGGAGAGCTCTGAATTTGCGTTCATCTGTCACGGCCCACACAGCTTTCTTCAATGGTGATGTCTTTTTCTGGGCCTCCGATGTCCGCTCTTGGAATCGCAAGTATGCTTTCTGGAACTTGGATAGTAGCGTTCCCCTTGTTGGGGCCTTACCCGGAGCGGGGCTCTGTCGGGGAGCAAGGCCGTATCGTTTCTGTAGCTCTTCTATGTCCTCAAAATAGTGCGCAAAGCAAGTCAATAAACCTGCCACAGCTGGACGCAACGTGTTGCTCCGAATGGACTCGTCCAAAATGGCGAGATCATTTTCAGTGATCTCACTCTCTTCGCTCTCGGGGTTAATCTCAGCGAGCCCGACAGACTCTCCCCAGACTTTAAGTCGGAGTCGCTCGACTTCTATCCTTGTTTGCAGGATCTCTCGGTTGATGCCATATCTTGCTGCGGATGAAAGTATGTCAAGTGTTTCGATGCAAGTGCTGAAGAGAGACGCCAATCCAATCACGCTGATTGCCGTGCTCGCGATCTCCATTGGGACAGCTGATATCGGAGGAATTTGCTTGGTGCAGTTCGCATTTTTACAAAAGCGAAAGTATTTCCAAGCCAAGTCTTAAGGCTTGACTATTATGTCTCGGGGAATAACCCTGGGTGCCTATTCTTGCGCCAAGCTCTTGAAACTGTAAATTGTGGCGAAGCAGAAAGGGTTGGCTCAGGAAGTCACATAAATGAGGACTCGAGGTCTGTGCAGATGTAGCCCACGCAATGTAAAATCGACGCTAGAGTTCATTCAGTAAGCATCGCTCGTATTGGCCCGGGATGATCAACATGCTTGCATGATAATGTAGCCAAGGCTGAATTCGGCTTGGAAGCACACTGGACGAGCATACCCTATCTAACTCTTATCAGTCTGTCTGTCAGTACACCTATGGACGTCATATCACTGAGGTATCTCTACTTATCAGAAGGTCCTGTTATGGTTTAAATATCCTATATATCTGCTCAAATAATGTCTCCGCTACGAATATTGATCATCTTTACATTACACGTTAACCTGTCCAAATTAGACATCCAACGGCGAGAGCACCTTGACTAGCAGTCCTGACCGCACATGCAAAGCAAGTCCCATTGCCTCTGGCCAGTACTGCATGTTGTCCATTCTGAGAGCACCACGCTCGTGCGGCCAGCTCACACTCTCCTTGTCCAGTTGCATCAATGATGAGTACCCTCTTGTCATTATGAGCATGTCCTGGTAGCTGACTGACGCTCAAGATATTTTGCATCTTGGGTAGGTCATCTTCATGCGCAGCGTGTGGTCCGTCAATACACTTTGGCGCAGTAACAAAGACCGGATTACTGTAGAGAGTGAATTCGACAGATTGGTTGTTGATTAGCAACTCCAAGGTTGCTCTTTGCCGTGGCTCTGTCTCCTCTTCATTAGGGTTCTCCTCGATTGTCTTCAATTTTATAGCACGAAAGTCAACTTTATCGAGCGATTTAGAAGGCCCAACGGGAACAACCCATTTCGAACGATCTGCAAGCCCCCGAAGCCAAGATGACGCGTTTGATTCCTCGTCACGGTGCCGGAACATGAGAAATCGTCCACTATCTCCAGACTGATCTTCGGGCAGGAGATGGCCGTTGAAGGTCACGTCTCTTGCATGGACTTGCGACCAACCGTCTGCAATGTCCTCTGCTTTTAGCCCCACTGGCCTTGGAAACGGCCCGACCCAGCCATTAGCTGCCCTAGTCTCCTTCATGGCTCCAAGGACGCGGCCCAGCACGGATTTCGCTGGCCAATATGATCTATCTCCGACCACTAGGCCTGAAATATAGTATCTAGCTTCGCCAAGATGAGCGAGAGATGGAGTCGCCGCCACCAGGGATGCCATAATGGTATTGACGAATTTCTTTCCAGGCAGCATCAAACCGAAGAGCCAATCGTATAAAAAGCGATTCGTAGATCCGCCCGACCTGATATCAGAATAGACCTCTTCTGTAAATCTTCGCATCTCCCCGAGCGCGGGCCATGCCATGGTCTCCGCGAATCGGACAAGCCCCTCAACCTGCCGCTCATGTACAAGGCTGTGTAGCTCGAAATAGGCAGGCCGTCCTTTAGGATCGGGGTATCTTAAATCCATGCCATCAATCCACCTCTCGGATGCCTGGCAGGCTGCGACGATTCGGCGACTCACGTTGCCGAACACAACGCCCGGTAAATGGACCATGCGCATGCGAAGCTCGTGCGCCAGAATAACTTGAAGCACAAAATTGGGGATGCCCCTGTTGGCAGTAAGCGCTATTTCGATGAGCGAGGCTCCGTCTTCAACATCTGGAAACACGCGACGACGGTTGAGATTGTTTAGTATGTCGGTTACCTGACCATGTATTCCAGACCCGCGGGGTGGACCAAGGAGTTCGCTAAGATCTTTATCTAGGGAACGGCTGTCGAAGTTCCAGGATTGGTCACCTTGGAGTCTTATACGACGCACCCGTTCGACCAAGACATCGAGCGGAGTACCTGGGAGCAATCCATTGGTGTTGGAAAACTGCTGGGGAGTCGCGTTGCTATTGCGTATCCACAAGTTGAATTCAGCGATATAGCCGTCCATGGTGTAGGTCCCTGGATATCTTCCATGGGACTTGCGGTCACTCTATTTTATCTGAGTTGAGATGGTGATTTAATGGTTGTGGGAATCGTCCGTGCTTACCTCGACGTCATGCTGGCTGAAATCAAGTTCCAGGGTTCTTTCTCTGTTTGACATATACATCAAAGCTGTTTCATGATTAGAAAACGAACCCGTGGAAAACATTGAACCTTTGACGGATCACGTACACCATGCTTGATACGGAGGGTTCACATATTCCATCTCTTTTTGTATCTCCACGACATAATCGTCATAGGGGATTCCAAAGAAATCATACCGAAGAAAGATTTGACCCCCAAGGCTCGAAAGTTGAAACTGCAGCGATCCACGTAGCTCCACTCGCTTGCTCATGGTAACTTCCATCTTCTCCAGCTGCCGGCTTATACGTTCCACATTGACATCAGCGACGCTATCATTCGTGATTTCCGTCGCTGCTGTCTCTGCCACACTTGTTGAATATTTTGATATCTCCGTAATGCGTGAGCTCGCCGCCTCGACAAGCTCTTCACCCCCGGTCAGGTCAGAAACCGCATTCTCGACGAGCTGAAGACTGTCAAGATCTGTTGACTCTTTGATCTCGTTTATCATGGTTGTACGTGTATTTTTCTCCACGTCCGGAAAAAGCAGTGTCAGGCTGTCGTTAAAGTCACGCAAATCGTTAACAAAGCGCTCAAACTTCTTCTTGTCTTTAATCGCCCACCGTGCTGCTGCAACCAGTGGCGTTTGCTTCTGAATACGCGATGCCGACGCCTGTAGACGGGCATATGTCTTCTTAAATGTCATTTTGACTGGGTTTTCGATGGTAAGAACCGCAAGATCATCCGAAGCCAGTTCTTTTAGCCCGTACTTCCTCACCAGTGATCCACTATCTTCAAAGAGGCGCCGCATGCAATTCAGAATATCTGCAACTGCACTGGCAATGCGCGGATCGAGAAGTCGAGAATCTAGCACATCGTAGTATTCGGCGATGCCATCTCCCTGAGAGTCTTCATCTTTTCGCAAGTCATAAAGTCCCACCAAACTTCCCCATAGTGCCAAGCGAACACGTTCAACCCCAACCTTCGTGACAAGTATCTTGTAGTCTGTGCCGAGATTTCTACCGGATTCGATAGCATCATACAAATCCAAGCAAGTCTTGAAAAGAGTGACGAGGGACACGGCCCCGAGAACAAGTCCTCCTGCTGGATCCATAGTGTCCCACGTATGCCTGAGATATGGATAAACAAGCCAAAACCACGTCGGAGAGGACTTGATCGTGTTCAGCCGCCCCCATGTCGCCAGACTTGATCCACACTCTTATTTTTATTTGACTTTGGGGGCATCTCGTATTCAAGAGAGCTAGTCTCCAATAGGATACAAACAAAACCAGATGATTGGTTTGGTATCGCCATCCCGCTCTGGAGGAAGCACTGCCCCCTCATGAACGCGCCAGCCCCGTTGAATTAGAAATAAGGCAGATTCGGACGCAAACAAGCTGTGGAGCCCCCGCTGGAAATGACTGCTCGAATAAAATATCAGTTTTACCAGATTGATGGCAAGTCCTCATATACGGAGTATAGGGTTAGTGAAAGGCTCACAGCCATTATAACCAATCTCACACGATCCCGTTCAAATGAATGTCTCCCTTCCGTTGGCTCTGCACCTTCGCAGCCCCATAACATTCGACTGGGAAACGAAACAGCGGTTGAAGCCTGGCACGGTATATCCCACTTCTGACCGCACTCGTATAATTTGTCGTCCAGAAGCTGAGACATGGCAATAGCGATTCAAAGAAGGCTTCTCGCTAAATGAGTTCTTCTTTATCAACGAACATTCCGCTCGGGATGAGTCAACTGTGCTCTTTGCAAACATCCTCCGCCCCATCTTCGATCACCAAGATTGGTCCCAACTATATGCTTTCTTCACCAAACGCTATTCTGAGGAGGAGGGATCGCTTGATGCTGAGATTCGTACCGTGAATTCACCCGACAAGCGCTCAAATTTGAAGGAACCGGCCGTTATCTGCGTTAAGACGGACCCTAGCTCCGTCGGCCTGCCTAAGGACTTGATAAGCCTCCTTGGAACAGCAAACATCACTTGCCGCTCAGGCATGGTGGGAGCTGATACACAGCCCTGCGCTATCGGTCCCGCTATCAGTTTTGCCTGTGGCCCAGGGGCATACATGGACCTTACCTATGCCGGTCAGCGACCTGGAGAGTATTCGAAGTACCGATACGTCGACTCCAAGCTGGAAGGAACTGTAAATTCCGAATACCAAGTCGTGGCTGAGCCCATCGAGACAACGAAGAAAGGCGGCCGAGGACGCTATTGGGCTGAATGGGCTCGTTTGTGGACTGCCATTGCGGAATGGGTGTGGGAGTACGAGAGTGAGGTACGCGCATTAGATGATTTGCCTGAGCACTCCTTTAAATGGGACCTCAGTGCTGAAGTAAAGCACTCTTTCGATATATGTGGGAAAGTCCCCCGCGAATACCTCAATACCGATGCCATCAATGCTGCTGATGCCATCCGTGATGTCTTTGTTCAACTAGCGCATGAACCTCGGCGCTTCCAGGGAATCGAATGGGACTTTCTTGATATAGGGGTGCTTCAAGAGGTGCAAGACGCGTTTCATGCACGCTTCGGGATGAAAAACCCGGACCCGGCAGTTAATCGGAGCGACTTGCTGCGCCAGGTTGCGCGCAATGGCTCTGTAGCGTATGATGGATACTCGCTCGCGTATGATGAGGTGAGCCCGATGGCGATCAAGCATTGCCCAGAGAGCTTCTTGGGAAAGAGCTGGGAGACATGGCTATTAGCGATTCAGGGTGGAGATGTTGTCGTCGTCAAGACGATCTTCCAGGTGAGTGGATGGTCCATTTCTTCGCCATTCTGTTCGGCTGCCATACTGACCTTTCCTGCAAGGCGCTCTGGGCTGTTTTGCTGTTATCCCACATTCCGGTGCATATCAAGATAATCAAGCCCGGTGAAAAGTTTCCGAAGTATCGAGATTCGGAGACTGTTTATATTTAGTGCAATCACCTGATGTATGCATTTCATTTCATTCATTCGACCGATACAGTTGTTAAATTAATTAGGTATCAATATTAAACTAAGGCATACATCCCTAAATTAGCTATGGCGTGCAGGGTTTTACTAGAAATGGGGATAATAAGGAAACCACAATATCTAAGCTCTGCATTGACGATGTACCAGCGCTCCCTGCTACATGCTAGATCAGGTCAGTCAGATTTTTATCCGGTCAGTGGCCCTGTTTTGCGATTAGGCTTGTTAATTCCGCTTTGAGATACTACAGATCTGCCGAATTTGAAATAAAAGCTAGTGCGAATGAACGCACTACAACGCCTGCTGGAGTTGCGCCATCAAGGAATCAATTTCAGTTTGATTCGGCTCTTTTCTTTGGAAAATCTTTCAAGATAAGATCTATTTCCTCATGCAGAATGCCGATCCCTTTTTCAAGCCTCATGTTCCGCTGGGGCCGAGAGTGCGAACACCTTCCGCTTTCGGAAATCATGACGATATACCCTTTTTGCCGTTCCACCGCCAAACTTTTTCAAAATTATTAGATATGTCAATAATCCCAGTTATCTCGCTTAGAATAAGCGAATAAGGTCCAATGGTATTGAGGGGAGTTGATATACGGTTAACAGTATAGAAGAGAATCAAAGCCTTCTCAAAAGGTCCAGTAGATATACTTGAGCAACATCGTATTCGAGACCTACTGTAGTATATCATCATTATGACTTAGTCCAGGATGTATGCTATTAGTAGACGGGTACCATTACAAGTCACTAACAGTCAAGGACAAGCAATAATATATCCATGGCCCAATGGCCATTGTTTTCTCGGCTGCTCCACTTGGAGGTGCCTGGCCTGATCGTTAGTCACCAGCCAATGGTGATCGCCAACGCCCGACACATGCTAGCCCAAGCTTAACTGAAGCTCTACCAAGATAGGAATATAATACCACTAGGCCAAAAAGGGTGTCCGGACTATCACCGGACTCGAAGGTCTCACATCCACAGATACAGCGGTATTACCTTAGATATTTCAACACCAGGTTATATATCTGGATACGAGCTCACTAGTACTTCCCTGTTAGTCTTGGCCAATTGCTGATCTCGGATCTGCACGTGTGACTCGCTTGTTGACAACGGTCTTCCGTCGGAGATTGCTTCTCCAACTGATGGATAGGCAGCCGGATTGATTTAAATCAGTCCATCGCTTCGATGGATCAAAAATCCGTCAAGCGATCAACGCTCTTCATTGAGGTACCAAAATGAAGACAACCACCGCTTCGGCTCTGCTTGTCGCCCTTACTGCGACGGCCGCTCAGGCCCGTCCCGTAGTGGACGAGAGCTATCCGTACACCGGTCCGGCCGTTCCCGTCGGCGATTGGGTCGATCCTACCGTTAATGGCAACGGTAAGGGATTCCCCCGTCTGGTGGAACCTCCTGCCGTGAAGCCTGCGACTGCGAACCCCAAGAACAATGTCAATGTGATTTCGCTGGCCTATTTGCCCGATGGTATGCACATTCACTACCAGACGCCGTTCGGACTGGGTGTGACGCCTTCGGTGAAATGGGGCAAGGATCCCAAGCACCTCGATCAAGTCGCTCATGGATATACCCACACGTATGTTCTTGCCACTGAATTAGAAAATTGAAGCTAACTCATATAGGTATGACCGCACGCCATCGTGCTCCCAAGTCAAAGCCGTCACTCAGTGCAGCCAGTTCTTCCACGAGGTCAGCCTCGACAAGCTTGAATCCGGAACAACGTACTACTACCAGATTCCTGCCGCCAACGGCACCACTCAGTCTGAAGTTCTGAGCTTCAAGACCGCTCAGCGCGCGGGAGATCGTCGCCCCTTCAGTGTGGCTGTCCTAAATGACATGGGGTACACCAATGCAGGCGGCTCGTTCAAACAGCTCGTCAAGGCCGCCAACAACGGCACTGCGTTTGCCTGGCACGGAGGTGATATCAGGTAATACCTCCTTCGATTTATTTGTAAACAGTGACTAAAAAAGCGCAATCAGCTACGCCGACGATTGGTATTCGGGTATCCTGCCTTGTGCCGATGACTGGCCCGTCTGCTACAATGGTACTAGCACGGAGCTTCCAGGTGGAGGTCCCGTCCCGGCCGAGTACAAAAAGCCTCTGCCGGCGGGTGAAGTCCCGAACCAGGGTGGTCCCCAGGGAGGCGATATGAGTGTACTTTACGAGTCCAACTGGGATCTGTGGCAGCAGTGGCTGGGAAATATCACGCTCAAGATCCCCTACATGGTTTTGCCTGGTAACCACGAGGCTGCGTGCGCCGAGTTCGATGGTCCCGGCAACACGTTGACCGCATATCTGAACAAAGGCGTCTCTAAAGGCACTGCTCCCAAGGCCAACTTGACCTACTACTCCTGCCCTCCGTCCCAACGGTAAGATCCGTCCCCCGCAATCCCTGGCCCAAGCTAACCCAGACAGTAACTTCACCGCGTACCAGCACCGCTTCCGCATGCCCGGTGCCGAAACCGGCGGCGTCGGCAACTTCTGGTACTCGTTTGACTACGGCCTCGCTCACTTTATCTCCATGGACGGCGAGACCGACTTCGCCAACAGCCCCGAGTGGCCATTCCACGAGGATATCAAGGGCAACGAGACCCACCCCAAGGCCTCAGAGACCTACATCACCGACAGCGGCCCCTTTGGCGCCGTCGACGGCAGCTACAAGGATACCAAGTCCTACGCGCAGTACAAGTGGCTGAAGAAGGATCTCGCCAGCGTCGACCGCAAGAAGACCCCTTGGGTGTTTGTCATGAGCCACCGGCCCATGTACAGCTCCGCGTACTCGAGCTACCAGAAGAATCTCCGTGCTGCCTTTGAGCAGCTGTTCCTGCAGTATGGTGTCGATGCTTATCTGTCTGGGTATGTCGATCCTTCCTCCACTCACCGTCAACGCAGATACTAACCGATGCAGACACATCCACTGGTACGAGCGCATGTACCCCCTCGGCGCCAACGGAACCATCGATAAGGCGTCGATTGTCAACAACCACACTTACCGCACCAACCCTGGCAAATCCATCACCCACATCGTTAACGGAATGGCTGGCAACATTGAGAGCCACAGCGAGTTCAGCAAAGGCCAGGGACTCCAGAATATCACCGCCTTGCTGGACACCACGCACTTCGGTATCAGTAAGCTTACTGTGCTGAGTGAGAAGGAGGTCAAGTGGGAGTTTATCCGCGGTGATGATGGGTCCATAGGCGATCATTTGACCCTGCGTAAGGAGAAGGCTAAGACCGGATGTAAGGCCAATTAGGTGCTGGCTGAAGGAGTATAAGCTGTGGGAGCTGTATATAATTTAGTAGCCTCTGTGTATCTTGATATAGCGAAAGTGTATAATCATAGTAAAGGTTATAATAAATCATCTAGGCAGCTATGATGCTACCCCATTGACAGGAACTGGCTATTCAACCTTCCATGGCAACCATGAAGCTCGGCAAACTTCCTAGAACAGTGATTTTTTGGAGATTTTATTACCCCTTCCTTGCCTTGTGTCCGCTTGTAACTCTTACATGCTAGAATGATATCATAGGCGTCTTCTTGATTCATCAAATATACATGGTCTGACAGCATTGATTCCCTTAGCTTCCATCTGCAAGCAACATGAATCCCAATGTCCTCAGCCCAATTATCCTTGGCCCCTTCAAGATATCGATCATCAACAATGTCATGTCCAATCTATACAATTCAGTCAGTCAAAACATCCCGTTTTCCCTCTCTTCGTCTGCGGGTGGCACCAGATAACCCATCTTCAGCATTCGTTTCCAGCCGTAAAAGAAGCGCATCAATACATATCAATTAAATCATCGCGCTTCCTGTCGTCCTAGATTCGCTTCTCATGTTGTTTCCTGCTTCCTTAGTGAAGTTTTAATGTCGGATAATAATTTCCAGGATTCGTCGCATTGGTGGTACCATTCCAACAGTAATTCCTGAAACATGTCGAGCAGACATCCGGAAAGGTTGTATTTGTACGTTCAAAGCTCCGACTTAGTATAGCGCAAGCAAGACAAGACGGCCAGTTGGAGTCGAGTGTTCCATTTCCCAGTGTTGCCACATCGTAGCCATTCTCGATAATGGCGTTGCGTTCACTGGTATTATACTGAAGATCGAATGTGGACACATTTGACAGGTATATATAAGGGGCATTGGGAATATAGACGACAAGAGGGGCGGAGCCAGTGATGTTTGAGCTGTTGCAGCCAAAGAATGTCGGGCGGTTGTTCAACCCAAGGTTGACGAATGTGTTCTGATCAGGCACAGAGGGGAAAGCTAGGCCACTGTTCGTTCGCGAAGAGCCTACATTTCGTTCATACGTGGCGACCATGGACGTTCCGTTGGGCCACCTTGAGGTGGTGTCGGCGGACGAGTCGAGAGCCAAAATCACGTCAACGTGGCGCTGGGGCTGCAGAAGGGGATCTAGCGGGATGTTCTGGAGATCTTCTCCGCCGTCAACCAAGGTCAATGTGGCAGAGGTTGTGTATTGGGACGAGCTCGCATAGCCAAAGAAAGGGTTAGGCTTGTAGACGGCAATATCGTTGTTCTGGGACCCAATTCTCCCCAGAATGCCACCAATTGAGTTCTTCACTGCTGCAGGCGCGCCGGTGTTGTTTATCTGGAGGAATGCTTGATTGAAAAGGGACGACGACGTGCCCATGACGAACCCGGCGTTATCGAACCCTCGAACACATTTCTCGCCTGTCGGTAGTGTCCCGTTCGAGAAATTTGATCCCAGGAATTCTAGGGAGACAAAGGCGGACAGCGATGCGTCCCAGCTCCCAAATTCCCAAGGGTTAAATTCGAACACCGTACTGTTCGCGGGTACTAGAATCTCTCCTGGAGCTCGACCATCAGCGATAACCAAGGGCATGGGCATCGTTCCGGCCTGGAAGTCCTTGCTCAGAGCAATCGACGACCAGGTATAACTGACACCACCTTCAGGCGCGCTGATGAGTTGGTAGGAGAGAGAGCGACCCCTGATATATGACAGTGAGCTTTGCTTTCTTTCTTCAGAACTCACAGGCAACAGAAGCATACCAGTAATCTGTGATAGACACCTCGTACCCGGCGTCTGATTTCCCATTCACCGCACTCAACAACTGTGAATAGTACTTGACCGTGCTGATGTTCCATTCGGTACTTTGAGTTGGACCACTGAAGACAGAATCCTGAAACTGCCACACAGAACCATTGTCCTGCAGCGACGATACATCAGAAAAATTGTTCATATAGATCGACCCAACCAACCAACTTCCACCACTCAGTCCTGAAAGATAAGTAGCCGACTGTAGGATACCTCCCACCTGGCCTTTGAGAGTTGAGTTCGTGGTCCGATCATCAAACGCCTGCAGTGCACCCCCGCCATTCATCAAGGCTCGATAGCCACCACCAGACACTGCAAGTCCGATAATGGGCAAGGTAGACGCATTAGATGAATGGTTATCAACATAGGCAGACCCATTGAAAGAACCGAGGTCGACTCGGCTGAGAAACGCTTTCAGGGCGTCTCTGGTATTGTTGCTTCGGACTTTCAGCCAGGAGGTCTCGGCAGTCGATAGGGAAGTGGCATTACGGACTGATGGCCGATTCGAAGGGCAGACCTCGCCTTCGGGGGTGTATCCGTTGGGTGCATTAGGCAATGCCCGATTGATAGGAACAGTGACCAACGAAGATCCTTTGGCACGGACTGATGATTTGGTTCTTAGCACATATGCTGCCGTAGAATTAGTGAAGACAGGCGAAAGCTACTTACAATGAGGTAGTAGTAAAACTATGAGGAAGAACAGATAAAGCAGGGCAATACTGGGCAGATTAAGACGAAACTCATGCATATTGATAATGATGAATAGATACGCTGGTGAATGAAGCTTGTGCAAATTGTAGTATACTAAGGTATTTAATGTCTATTTGGTGTTGACAGGCTTCAAGATATATACCTAGCTTTGAGCTAAGAGTTGGGTGTAATGATTTGCAAACAATATGCTTCTCGTGGACGGGGTGACCATGGTGGACTAATATAATGTTATTAAAGCCAGAAGCTCAATTTTCTATTTTAGGGTGTCTTAAGATTTACATCTTTAATGGCCATGGCTGGAAGGGTCCAGTGGTGACATAAATTCAATCTAAGATTCAGCGCACCATGGTTCATCAAAACCCATGAGTCGTTGACTATATAGATTTGGCTCATAATGACAGCATACCGGCCACATGGAAAAGTGGAACATATATTGAATAAGAAGAATCCAGATCAAGTGATTGAGGAGTAAAATAAACTTTAGCTCCCATGATGAAAATCTGTCTATCTTGTCTGCCATAAGATTCAACATGCTGGTAATGAAAGGTGGCACGATACCCAGACCCTTATCCAATATTCTAAATAAATATATAACACAGGCTACTTGGGAGAAGAATTACAATAATTCTTCCTTATTGTGTGCGTCTCTGCATGTCTCGTCATTAATCATATCGTGGTATCTAGTCTATACGCTATGCAATCATTAAACATCGTAATGGTTCTTTGTCTCCGGATAGAGAGGAGCACCGGCCGATCGACTCTTGCTTCTCAGCCAGGGGCCGTACACCATGAATGCAATTGGAATTGGCACCATTACTGCAGCGATGCACCCCAGCATCGTACCAGCCCACTGCACGCCAAGATTCTCCATCATCTGTCGAGAGAAGAGGGGAAATGCGCATCCTACAGCAGAACGGAGAATAGTGTTTGCCGCGATCGTGGAGGCAGCCCTGGCAACGTTAGTAGGAAGAAACATGTAGTGAAGGAGCAGACTTACAAAGTAGGATAGCAGTCGACGATGTAGTTGAAACATTGTAGGAAGATGCAGAAGATGCCGAAGCCAGTAAGAATGCCAGATGAAATAGGCACCATCCAGTGAATAGACGAGGTGTAACCAGTCCAGCCGAACCTGCAGCAGTCAGTAAGAGTTCTTCTATACGTCGTTCAGTAGGTAAATTCATACCAAAACATGCCCGCAGCAAAAGTGACTCCTCCCACAATAGCCGGGGGAAGACGCCACTCAGGGACGGGAACGTCTCCGTTGGCAGCCAGCTTCTTGATATACGAGCCTTGGAGAAACAGGATGAACACGCCACCCAGTAATTCTCCAACGATCAAGCCGACGAACGCCAGTCCTCCATCACCCATATTCATCCCGTACACCCCTTGAAAGACAACAGGGTATGCACCAAGCAGGGCATAGATGAGCCCGTAGATAAACGAGATATAGAGCGAGATAAGCAGCAGAATCGGCTCAGTGAACAACATCTTCAACGGGCGGGTGAAATTATTCCGCACAAGCTCATGAAAGTCAACCTCAACCTCATCCTGCTTCGCATGGATGCCCCAATTATGCGTCTGCCGACGCAGCGTCGCCGCTTTGCGCACAAGGATAACAGGTGCATACGTCTCATCCAGGAACAGCACGACAAGCACAAACCCCACCAACACCATTATCGCAGAGATATACATCGTCCAGCGCCAACCGAGCGCACTCATCGTGATGAACCCGCCGACAAACGGGGCCGCAAACGGACCGATAAACACCGCCATACAGAAGATGGACATGACGATCCCGCGCTGCGCATTGTTGAAGAGGTCCGCGAAGACAGCAGGCACAACGGCAATCGGACTCGCGGCGAACAAGCCCGCGAAGAACCGGCAGATCATGAGAGTCTGAAAGTCCTTTCCCGTTGCGCAGCCGACGGTGAAGATCCCGCATCCCAGGAGGCCCAGGGACAGCGGCCAGCGCCGTCCGATGAGCTCCGAGGCGGGGGCCCAGATGGTTGGGCCGGCAGCGAAGCCGAGCACGTACAGTGTGACGCCGAGCGAGCCAACCTCCTGGCTGACTTGGAATTCCTTGCTGGCGGAGGCAATGGCAGCCGAGAAGACGGCGCTGGCGAATGAACCGGCGAAGGTGCCGTAGCAGAGAATGCAGACCAGGAAGATTCTGTTGATCCAGCATTAGCATCTTCGTAAGACATATATGTACGAGTCAATGCTACCTTCGTGTCATGGACCAGTTGTATGGATGCAGGGGATCCTCTGCTCCATCGAATTCGACGACGTATGTTTCCGGATCGGGAAGTAGGGGAGGGTATTCCTTGCCGGCGCCCATGGGTAGCCATGCATCGCGGGGTGCAGGGCCGCGTGTGGATCCCACGGTCGTCTTTTGCTGCAGTCGGTAGGTGTTGATGCGTGTGAGTTCGAGGGGTTCGAGATGGTCTACCGTTTCGTCGGAGAGGCAGTCGCTGGCGCTGTCGAGAGGTTGGCTGCCATGGTGGTCATCATGGAAAGCCTTGGGCGAATGCGAATCCAGAGTGGAAGACTCTGGGTTGTCCATTCTCCGATCAGAGAGCTGCCGCTTTGCTTTGTGATCTACGGTTCTACAGCTCTAGGGAGCTTGTCTCTAGTATATAACTCCATCATCCCACCTTCAGGCCCGCGGTGGATCACACAATTTTTTCATGGTTGGGTGTCAGTTGCCATCAATGGCTGCCAGATGGAGCTCATGGTGATGTAGGAGATCCATACTTTTCCGAAGTTTTATATAACATTTATAGAAGCTGGCCAGAACGCAGGCACACCCGCCAGCATCAGCCACAAGGGACATCCCGATGTGCCGCATTGCCCAATGGCTTTTCGCCAAACTGCCAGGCACAGTTGATAAAGAATCGGCTATGGACGGCACTGTGGCTGGTTAACCCTCCTAAAATGGTGAAAATTTTCCATCCAAGGCACGTGCGCGAGGATAGCCGCGTCTGTCCGAATCTGGCCGAGGGTATCCGTTATCAATGCAGGGCAGAGCATCCAACTCTTGTTCAAGATATTTCCTTGGAAATATCCCGAGAATAAGACAGAACCTTCCGATCTGGCCATAATCGATGCCGGGAATCCGGTTGGTGTACGGAATACTTCAGTCAAGGATTTCGCTGACGCCTGCTGATCCATGACGGCAGGGTTTTCTGCTGTCCTCTTCCGTCATGCACGACATACTCACCTGCTAAGACGAGTCAACGCCCAGCCATTAGTCCAGTATCTATAAATAAGTCGGGAATCAAATCGAGGGATATACCAGCAGACCATCCTTTTAAATATATAGTTGTGTTGATTAAGGGTTAACGTAAGGAAGAAGTGGTCTCATCCATAGAATATATTCTTCAACCCCCTTGGAAAAGCAATTGCCCTGGACAAGTAGGAACATATCAGGCTCGCTGTCAGGGCAGAAAGCATCGTGCCAGATACTGGTTTTTAATGTTTGGATTGTCCATAGTTTTGGAGGACTCACACTGCTCTAATTTTCTGAGTTCAGAGTAGCCTCACCTGCTCCCAGCAAATATCAAATCAATATCCGTAAAAGACGCTTGATTTCTCTGTATTCCACATAAAAGCCCCACATGAAGTAGATTAAGATTTAAGATCACAACGCTGATATTCAACTCTGCACATATCACGTCATAATCTATTCAGTTTAACCTCTCACTCTTTTGACATGATTCTGGGAAAATAATTCAGAAACACGCTAATCCTGTTTCAGGTCACCACTGTGTACATAAGTTAGGCAGAACTGTAATGGTAACTAATGGGCATACCTTCATTGATTCACTGATTGCTTGGTAGTTAATCGGTGATCAATAATAACCTGTACAGTAAGCAAGCGGTCGTGTAGTGTCGCCTCCCAAAGTTTCAACGGAGCCCACATATAACCCGCGTCCGGGCACCAATCGAGACACGACTGGCAACCACATTGAAATCCTAGGAGAACATCATGTTATCTACCTCCAATGTCGAACATTCCGAGCGGGTGCTCTAGAGCAAGGCGTTACAGTAGTTGAGTCATGGCCATAATACCGTGATTAATGCCCATGGGATCACGTTGAATCGCTTAGTTGGTAGTTGGGACGATCTGGCAAGATCGCCCCAGAGGGAGGGCGATGCAGACCTGTAATCTGGTTGCCTATTTGTCGACTCCTCCTACAGTACCGCTTCTTCTCCCCTTTTTCCTTCCCCATCATCATTATCACCCCCATTTCAAAGGGACAATCCCCATCTAAAGATATTTTAGGTACTATCCGGAGGGATATTTAGATCGATTATTATAGTATTAGCCTAACGCAAAGCATCTGTGCTTTTAGACTAGCGACTCACTTTCGCAACCCACGAATCATAGTGCTTACAGCATGGCACAGTCTGTCGATCGTCACCTAGCTTCCAGCATAGACAACTGCGAACTGCTAATCGCATTCGAGTCCGAGTATATGAAGGGAGTGTGTCGAACGGTCCAGCCTTCTAGATACCCACACCTTCCAGAACCATCGAAAAAAAAATTTCTCGGTCTGTTTGGTCAGGACCAGGTCTCGTATGTCGGCTTCGTTCTCCATAGCGACACGCCTATTCTACCAACTTTTGATCGCCATGGAGGGGTCCTGGAGCCACTATCTCTCGACGAACATCGGTATATTCGTCAACAATTTAGAAGGCGCCCCGAGTCTTACTCATCGTCAACCGGATACCTGTCCTGAGGACTCCAGCCGCCCGAACCCCGAAATCCTCGATATAGCAATGTTATATCGTGTCGTTGCGTCCGAACAACATCGCAAGAATATTTCACGTGACCTGTTCAAAAATGGTCTCGTCAGATCGATAATGGTCAAGTCAGCGGTCCTTGATTCCTCTTTCTCTTGGTTGAAGCCGCGAAGTATTCGTACTTCCTCGTACGCTATTCTCTATCTCAAGGGAAATGCGTTGGTCTCGGATGACCCAGACCCGGTTGGAGCAGCCGCGCTTTCAGGTCTCTTATGGGAAACCGGCACAGCGCTTCGCGTCCTCTTTCTGGAAGGAAGCAAATTCGTCAAAGAGAAAGTCCAGTTCTATGCTCGAATATGGGAGAAGCATGCCAACATAAAGTTCGTGTTCATCGATTCTGGACCGTCGGATATTCGGATTGCTTTTCGGAAAGGTGAAGGATCCAATTCATACATTGGCAGGCAAAATCTTCAAATCCCAGAAGACCAGGCAACTATGAATCTAGGCTGGTTTGACGAGTCAACTCCAGACACAGAGTTCTCTCGCACCACTCTTCATGAATTTGGCCACGCCTTAGGTCTTGTTCATGAGCACATGAGCCCAGCCGCGGACATCCTGTGGGACAAACCAGCCGTCTACCAGTACTACATGGCCGAGCCGAATAATTGGACGAAAGAAGAAGTTGACCATAACGTACTCGATAAATACAGTCCTAGCGTCACGCAGTTTACCGAATTCGATCCAGACAGCAACTTGTGTTATGACATCTGCAAGGAGCACACCCTTAATGGACTTGCGACGTCCCCTAACGCGGTCCTATCGGATTTAGACAAAGAATTTATCGGACAGGTTTATCCTTTCAAGCCTGCCGCAAAGGTACATATACAGAACGATGAGACCATTGGCTGCCAGGTAATAAATTAATTACGTTGGCATCCATATCGCTTGCAGTGGCTTGGCCGACTGGACATGAATTTGACAGGGTTTTTGTTAAGATGATAGAGGGGATGCGTCTGGCTTCTTGACTCCTACTTACCACAGCTCCTCGTCTCATCCTGAAAGGCTGTATTTTCGTCTATGATATGGGAATCAACAAGCATAGGGCGATTTAAGAAACATAGACGTTGTATGCGTTAGGGAGGACTAAGGAGACAAATGCCTCTTAGTGTCGTAGTGATCACAATAGCCAAGACAAAATTCCGGCCAGGTCCTGAATGCGTTCAAAATAGTAAGGAACAGGCAAGTTCCCGCGGGATGAAGGCCGTCGGAAGCACCAATGACGAACAGCAGCCAAAAATCACATGCGCCGCCACAAACACCATTCTGATAATGACAGGCTGGAGTTCCATTCATGGTCTGGCATTCATCCCAGAGGAAAACAGCTATCTTATCCAGGTGGAGACCACGCTTCTTATTCAGGTGGCCGCAAACCACGTATATCAACAGCGGTGTCTATTTGTGATTGAGGCGCGTAGATCTTCCAAGTTCACTTCATAACAGAATGTCCACAGCCACAGACATATCTTGTCTTCATTACGCTGATGCATGGCTCTTCGCATTTCACCACAAGATCTAATACGCACAGGTAGCAGTGTCCTGCGTCGCAGACTAATTTCAAGGTATCTACCAGGAAAAACAATACCATAAGGTTGATTTCGCAAGGTGTTCGAGCGCGCCCAGAAATAGGGCTGCCACAAGATTATCCTCACCGTGATGGCATTAGTCGGGTGCATGAGAACGTAAAATGGTCCAGCAGTTATCCCAACATCTGCACAATGGCCCTCTGGGAGCATTTGTACCATGCTGCCGAAATCCACCACGCAGACGACAAGGCATACGTCTTTGTAGAGGGGCCAATCCTCCTGCCCGCTAGTCGCCCCGGGCGAGATCGGCTAGACTTTGTGCATCTCGAGTGCTCGGAGAAGGAGACGGGGCGGCGCGCGTTCAGCGACCAGCTGATGTTGATGTTTGGAGGCAGCTGTAGTTCGCCTTCTTCCTGCGTGTGTGGGACTTCTGCACGGACCTTGAGGAGATCATCACTCCGTATCTGGCGAGACTGCCGCGGGGTGGACTCGTTTCGCTGGGACGAAAGACGAGATGCTGCAGCTTGTGGCGCTGAGACGGGATCAGTGTTAATGGGGTTTCGTTGCGGACGGAGGAGCAGTTGAGATGTGTGAGGACTATTCCGCTTGACAGCTTACAGCTGGATAATGATGCGCCTTGGTGCGAGATTGGTGAGCATGGGCTGGTCATGCCGTTACTGGCTCGTGAGGTCGTTTCTGCCAGCGTGGCAACATGGTGAGTGTATCAGGGGCAGATGGTCAAGGGTCGGAATGAGAGTTGTAGGCTGTGAAAGGTGGCATTGTTTGCGACCGGTTTGATGGAAATCTCGGTGGAGGATGTGACTTGGGCTGCGTGGGAGAAGTATATACAGACGTCTGGGTTAGCTGCTTCGGGTGGAATATTGTGATAATGAACTATCATGTATTTTGGACTCCATACAGTACGTATAGCTGAGAGTGCTGACCGTAAGCGTGGCGACTCACCTCCCCCCTCTCCAGCTGTATTTTCCTTTCTATCCGATCGGAATCCAACCATGTCCTCAATGGGAGTCTCCAAAGGATGACAGAGTCAAATCTGTTCGGGGACATCCTTATGAATACTGCCACGCATGCGTCCGGATTGACGGCCCTGTTGAGGCTCCTTTCCTGGATAATTTCACCAACTGTTATAATCAGTAGGACCTCATAGCGGTAGGGATTTCCCGAAAAGCTGACAATCCGGTCGAGCCACTGTTCTCTTTACCAGTCTCACCTATCCCAGACAGGAGGAACGTCTTTGTCTCCAGGGTTCTTACTACTTAAGTCAACTATGGGCTGCGCTCTCGTCAGAGGCGTACATCGACCATCGACTTGACCTCTGCCAAACAGATCGGAGAAGTTTGGATTAGAGGGACTGCACAGCCGGGGAAAGGGATAGAGGACTGAGGTCTCAGACTGATACTTCAAACCGAGTGTCGTATTGCTGGAGGTTCTCTGCGTGTTGAGGCGATATCTGGGAACGACTCGCTTACCAGGTGGTAGAGTCTCTGTCGCTGTTGTCAAAGTATCGGTCAATCCACAGTCTAGTTAGTCACCAATATTGGAAACCTTGGGAAATGAATTACCCACCTGAACCCCTGTACCCCGGCTCGGCCAAAAGCAGCGCAGATGCTAGGTCGATAACCCTTGCGCCGATCATACCAACGTCCATTCCACACTCAATGAGGGGTTTCCCTCGTCGAACAGACGAGAAATACCCACGATGGTCATATAGAATGGATCCATGGCCAATCCATGGCCAAGTAAGAGGACTCCAAGAGTAGGCGAATGCATAATCAAGCATTCCAGAAGCGCATGGAGCAGAAGAGCAGGAATTTCAGTATCTTGAGCGATATTACATGCTGAGTTGACCTACTCGGGTCAGTTGCAGTCTAGCTGTTTTACCATATCCGCGTAAGGAGTTAACAACTATTATCAGATGGTGCTATAGACGGTCCAGAATAGCCATACAACAACTAAGCACTGTTCACATGGATTCAACTCATAATAAGGCAGCCTGGCCAGTCAGCACGTCAACGTCGCCTGAAAACCCCAGAGTCGTACCATGGATAGTGATACTCCACCGCGCGGGAGAGACCCAAGGTGCCACAAAACTCAAATGAAGAAGACATTGTAACCGTGCCACGTAACTTTGGATTCGTAGGCCAAGGCAACTATGACATATTTCATTTACAACGGCTTATTTGCCGCGACATCTCCCGTTATCTTCGACTCTACTCTGAAGTGGACTGGACAGTGGGCCTCCTGTCGGGAACAAGTTGCCAAAGCCCCCTCAGTCAGAGAAAAGACCACCGGTAAATGTCAGTATCAGTATCATTCTGAAGGACCAGAAACTTATCATTGATGATAACCGTCAAGTTATCATTGATGGTCAAAAGTCTGTGGATATGGGTTATGGAACTGAACGGAAGAGGAGACCTTCCGGAGCATGGCAGCATGAACCCGAAGACAATTATGCACCATATTATCATGCCATGAGACGGAAGGCCAATCAAACCCAGGCAAAATCAGAGGATCAGAAGTACGAAGCCAGAGGCCAGCCCCCGGATAAGTTCAGCCCAGCCCGGAACGGGAAAGAAACGCGACGGATCAGTGGGTCGAGACGCGGGTTGGCCGGATGCTCATCGTAATTAATAATGATCATAACCAGAGATGGGGACAGTAAGTGCGTTTGCTGGTTTTGTTTTCTATGCAGGCTGCAAATGTACATATCTCGACCCTGTCAATATTATCATCTTGTTTGACCCGACGGAATGGTTATGATGTCTCCATCCATGGCATTCAGTACAAGTGTACGCCTATCACGCCCTAACAAAAGGCTAKAGCCACACCGACCAGGAAAAGGAAGAGGGTCAAACGTCGTTAGCGTCTGTTAGCAGCCGGGGATAAAGCTATTGTTGTCCCAATAGGGCAATACTTCACTCCACCCCGGTCCCGAGCCAACGCATGCACGGTTTCTGACTGGCTAGAAACAGGGCCCGTGGCACTCCAGGAATCCACTATGTCTGCACTGGTTCCCGGAGTCTCCATCCGGTTGCCCGTCTGCCGTGAAGAAAAAGCACGGGCATCCTTCACTGCACCTGTGTCTTTTGGGGAGTCTGGAATAGCCTTGGATGAGTTCTCATCATTGGAAGTTAATGCACGGCCGTCCTCCTTGGTCTTCAGTCTCCACTCATTGGTTCCCTCCGACGGAGCAGACAGGATGAGACACCCACCAACAAGCCAGTACGACATGGAAACTCAAACTGAATTCACAGGCACTGTGCCCCCTCAGGCCAGTCTGATGGGTCAGAGCATTGGCCACAGCCTGAGTGAATGGCACTCCTCGACTTTTTTTTAAAACCTGTCGACGACCAACCCGACCCGGCACCATGGTTCTGGTGAGCTGGAGTTCCCCTTCTGCATGAACCACACCTGCAATTGACTCCCTTCCACTATGGAACTGCTACGTCTCCTGCTTTCGCATCCAGTAGCTTCGGCCGTCGCTCTGGGGGCAGTCTACTTGCTCTGGGTGGTTCTCGACAGGCTGTATCTGTCTCCCATTGCCCGTTTCCCTGGGCCCAAACTCGCTGCGCTGACACATCTGTACGAGTTTTACTGGGATACCGTCTGCTGCGGACAGTTCACCTTTCAGATTGGCCGCCTTCATGAGAAATACGGTAAGCCCCTAACCGTCCGCTGCGTTTTGAATCCAGCCCGTCAAGTTCGATAGATCACTTCTTGGCACTGATCCTTGTCGGCTTGACGTTGTACTAATGTCATACAGGCCCCATCGTGCGCATCAGCCCAACCGAGCTGCACGTCAACGACCCCGACTACTACGAAGTCCTCTACTCGCGCGACAGCCCCCGCAACAAATATGAATACTACCAAAAGACCCTCAACGCCCCCTTGGCGCTCCTCAACACGATCGATCACCACCTGCACCGCCAGCTCCGCGCCCAGTTGAACCCCTTCTTCTCCAATGCGCGCATCCGCAGACAGGAACCCGCCATCAAGGCCCTCGTCGACAAGCTGTGCCGCCGCCTCGAGGAGCTCAAGAACACCGGCCAGCCCCTCAATATCGAGCACGCGCTCACTTGCTACACCACCGATGTCATCACCGACTACAGCATGGGCGATGGCTACCGCTACCTCGACGCCCCCGACTTCATTCCGCAGTGGTACGGGACGCTGAACGGCACCGCCAAGACTATGGTGTTTATCCGTCCGGTTGCCTGGGCGCTGCCGTTGCTGCTTGCCTTGCCGGAGCGGGTGACCGCGTGGCTGAACCCCGGGATGGAGCTGTTTTTCGATTTCCAGCGCCGATGCCGCAAGATGATCAAGGGGATTGTCGCGGCGCATAAGGAGAAGGGCGACCAGGCTGCGCAGAACGCGGCGTCGGTGAATATCTTCGAGGATATCCTCCGGAGTGATCTGCCGGCGAAGAACAAGAGTGAGACGCGGCTGGCGCAGGAGATGCAGGTGCTTGTGTCTGCGGGGGCGGAGACCACTGCCAAGGCCATCACCTATATTCTGTTCTATCTGCTGAATGACCCCGAGACGATGGCGAAGCTCAAGGCTGAGTTGGAGACAGTGGGCGAGGATCCGCCGCTCATCCAATTGGAGCAGTTGCCTTACCTGGTGAGTTATCATGGCAAATATGCTGGGCCGTTGATACTGATACTGTCACAGACTGGTGTGATGTTGGAAGGAATCAGGTATGCACTACACTGAGTCCGCCCAGAGTGAGTCTAATATATATAGACTGTCCTACGGCGTCTCTGCCCGTCTTCCGCGAATCGCCCCCTACAACGCCCTCAAGTTCAGAGACTGGACCATTCCTCCAGGAGTATGCGCCTTGACCTCATTGGTGACGAGTACTGACCTCCACAGACCCCCGTGAGCATGAGCTGCCTCCTAATGCACCACAACGAAACCGTCTTCCCCGACTCGCACCGCTTCAAGCCCGAGCGTTGGCTCGACCCCGTGGAGCGCAAGCGCCTGGAAAAGTACATGGTCGCCTTCTCCAAGGGATCGCGCCAGTGTATCGGAATGCAGTATGTCCGTCTTGTCTCCGGATATACATCTGCTAACTGAATCGACCAGTCTCGCCAAAGCAGAAATCCTCTTGTCCGTGCCGGCTCTCCTCCGCAGAATGGACCTGGAGCTGTACGAGACCACGGTGGAAGACGTAGCCATCAAGCACGAAATTTTCATTCCTTTCCCCCGGATGGATAGCAAGGGTGTGCGCGTGTTGATCAAGGGATGATTTGACGTCAACAGCTGATAACCATTATCTGGCACCTGTACCTACCACGTTCACTTACGATAATCAGTAATGTCTTTTCAAACTTATTTACGAGTACGATTGCAATGACAGAGATTACATCACTATCCAAACATCTTCCCCTCCTCGAGAAACTTCCTCTCCTCGTCGCTCGTCGCCCTCCCCAACGCCGCATTCCGATGCGGAAACCGCCCGAACAGCGCAATGGGTTCATGATGCTCCCTCTGCACCTGGAAATGCAACTTCAGCTGCTCTTCCAGCCCCGCCCGATTCTCCAGAAGAATACGACGGCACTCCGCCTCGTCACCTGATAACCCCGTCGCATCCCCGTCAAGCAGACGGGTGAAATCCTCCGCCATCTCCTCATACTTGACCCGCACAAGCTCCTGCATGTCTAGATCCTCGGCATGGATAAAGGGCAAATTGAACCACATGCGCTGACCCAGGCGGTAGCGGAAGGGACTGCCACTGCCAGACGGGTATCCTGCTTCCGCGGCTTTGAGGACGATAGTTCTTGCGAGTGGGTCAAAGAATTCAAAGACGGTGCGGGAGGATTCGCCCCGGTAGATGTTGCGGGGGAGTTGATCCAGCAGGATGATGAGCGCTAGCCAGTCTTCGGGGGTAGAGGGCTGAGTTCTAGACAGAATCTCCTCTGCGGAGGCGTTGGCCTCGCGGATGGCGGCGAGGATGGGCGAGAATTGCGACCTAGATGATTAGCTGGAGTTATACATGATGGGATAGGACGTACGAGCAGGCGCCGTCGAACTCGTCGGATTTGGAGAACCATTTCTTCAAGTCTTCTGCGGAGGGGAGGACCAGGCGCTCGTTGGAGGGAATGTGCTGGAACCAGAACGTGTAGATCTGCGGGAGAAGGGAGGGGATGAGGAATTGATCCAGCGTCGCAGATTGCCTGTTTGCCATTGTAGAAGACGCTCTTCGATATTGTGATGTGGATTGGCGAATGCTTGTATATGAGGCAAGTCGGCTGGGATACTGAATGCTGCTGTGCTGGGTGGATAAAGCGGATGAGTGCGTGTACCCCGCGACGCGGCTTTCCCAGATCAAACAGCGAGGCAACTGCCTCCTAATTAATAACCTACGCGAGACGGGCAACATCTTTGAATATTTAGGAGACGTTAGTCCAATGGATTTTATACAAGGGTGTCGGACGCGAAATGTCGCGAGGCCGAATTCCTGACTAATTATACGATGTTTTGAGGGGCCAAACGCATGCTGATTGGCGGAGTCAATCTTTAGACACAGTTTGGTTTGCGGATCCATACGAGGTAATACAGGGTGGTTTAATACTCTAAAATGGAAGTGTAGAAATCCACTTATCCTGTACCATGGACCCGGTAGCCACAGATATGGTCCTCGCTAAGCTAGCTAACCGTTGCAACTGGCAAATGCGGGGAAGTTGATCATCTCTGGGACATAATACTCTATAAGAACAGCGACCGCAACAGAATCGTCTATGAGCATACCTATGTAAGCCGTGATGACCTCGATCCTTTCCGCTAAATACATGATCTGTCGTCTTTAGCGAAATACACTCATGATCCACTACGTTCATTGATGAAGGTGCGGCACAAGTAGATTGAGGAAGTGGAGTTGTAAATATTTACAAGATCCCTAGAGTGCCAGTTAGAAGATCCTTCACAGGGTTAACATGGACATCAGGGCAGATCTGGTGGGAGAATGGTAGTCCGCAGTGAGAGGATGGTCAAACTGTAGATGACCATGTTGACAAGTAGCTTTCACCATGATAGTGGTGTTGATATCAGGATCCTGAACGTATAGTGAGCTACTGATCCTTCAACGAGTTGATATTATTGCAGATTTGCAGTTACTACGTCATCCCATTTTGTACTCCGATCGATCGATCGTGCATTTAAAACAGCATTGTCCGTATCCAGATAACCACTTTCTTCCACAACATGACCAACCCCAATGGCTCCATTATCCCGAAGATTCCTCTTTGGAGGAGACCAGTAAGTTAATTTCCATAGTTCCTGACATATACTAACGGCATAGACCATGGTCCCACACAGACTGGATCTCCTCCAACGACCGCGTCCGGGGCGGGTCCTCATATTCCAGCCTCAATATTCTCCCAAACAACACGGTCCAGTTCAACGGACATCTAGATATTACCACCCTTGGTGGAGCAGGGTTTGCATCGCAGCGCACAACGGGCGATGTATCCTGGGATCTGTCCGACGTCGACGGGCTCGAGCTGGCCATCGCCGGTTCCGACGGAAAAGTGTATACACTCACCCTTAAAGACAAGCTACTGCACAAGCGGCCTGATGGGCGTGAGCAGAGTACGATTAGTTGGGAGTATAATCTCCGGCCGGCGGACAAGGCAAATGTGAGAGTGAGATGGGAGGATCTACGAGCAACGTATCGCGGAAGGGAAGCTGAGGGTGCGGAGCCGCTGGATTTGAAGAATGTCAAGCAGATTACTATTATGATTCGCAGGTATGTGTTTATTCATGGGTATGACTGATATTGACCTGTGTAGTTTCTTCGGGACACAAGAAGGCGCCTTTTCGCTGGACATTGCCTCCATCGCTACGTTCCGTAGAGATGTATGAGATGACCGAGGACTGCGAACCCCAATTGACGAGAGACTTGCCGGTTCAGCAAGCCGAGCGGATGGCAATAGCCATTTGGCTGCTGAAACTAATCCTTCTTTGCATCACGCCCCAATTCATCCAATCCCGTCCCTTTCGCCAAACCAGTATCCTACAAGCATCAGCATCAGCTGCGGTAGCCAAAAAGGACAAAAACTCACCATAACCCACTGCGGCAAATATGTCGAGCCAAACCAAACACTCCCAGCCATATTCCCACACCAGAATTTCCCCTGCCGCCCGGCCGTGATCTCCCTCACAACCTGCGCTGCATACTCCTCCGCGGGCATCCGAGTCGCTCCATCCTCGCCGCGCGCTCTCGCAACCACAGTATCCTCGATGGGCTTATACAGCGAGTCCTCAGGGAGCCTGAGATCATCAAAATACGTCTGCCCGTTCGTCCTCACCGCCCCAGTAACAATCGACAGGACTTTGACGTTGAAGGGGGCCATTTCCAGCCGGAGTGTCTCGGCGATGATCTCCAGGGAGCGCTTGGAAGCGCTATACACACCTACTTCTATTGATAAATCTTCGCGCATACAGAATTGACAAGACATACCCATGTACGGCGCATTCACATAGCCCGCAATCGAGGTGATGAACACCATGCTCCCCCGCGCGTTGATCACCAGCGGCGCGAACGCCTTGGTAAGCGCCAGTGGGCCGAAGACGTTCGTCTCGTAGATACGGCGCGCGGCGTCGAGATCCTCGTCCAGCACTGGCATKAAGTGGTTTCGGCCGGCGTTGTTGATGAGGTAGGTTAGGGAGCCGGCTGTTTGGTTACGGACTGTGTCTACGGCGGTGGTGATGTGTGTAGGGTTTGTTACGTCGAGAGTGAGGAGGGTGATGTTGGGGATGTTGTGGAGAGCGGTCATCTTGGAAGGATCGCGTGCTGTTGCGAAGACATGGTAGTTCTTTGCTTGGAAGGCGAGGGCGAGGGCGGAGCCGATGCCACCGTCGCTGCAGCCGGTTATGAGGACGGAGCCGTTTGTCATTTTGGGGGTGCTTGACGATAGTCTTTGATGGGGGACAGGTCAGTCAGCATTAGTGGTTACTGGATGATGATGATGATGATGATGATGTTGAAGTCGAGGGGTGCGTTCCTTGTCCAATAAGAGGTGCCTGCGCGAGAAGCCAATGAGATGAGTATCCCTTTGACGCTGGGACGAGTTACACAATCAGAGAACTGAATTGAATTTTTGGTTTCCAAGCTTCTAGCGCAATATCGTACGTTGTACGATAACCAGATAATGGAATGGTAAATAGCTGCCTTACACAAGAAGACCAATCAGTCCAGCAAGCAGGAACGCCGAATGACTCGTAGACATAGTAATCTATCTACAAAACGTCTCTCTGCCTCCCTGTCAACTAGCTGATAGCCCTTCTCATCTCAGGCAGTTAGATCCCCTAGCAAGTATCCAACATGCTAACAAGAGCACTCTTCTCATCCGAGGTAATGGTCAAACTATACACATACTTGACCTTCACCCACATCTTCGCATACGTGCAATAATACGAAGCTAGCCAGTTAGCATCACCATCCACACGCGAAACGAAAACTTACTAAGAGGAGGCTTCCAGTCCTCGGGTCCAGAATCGCTTTTGGCCTCGTTGGCGGTATGCGACACCGCAACCAGCTGAGGGTTCGTCAGGTCGTTCGCAAACGCCTGGCGCTGCGCGGTTGTCCATGCAGATGCACCGGACTATTTAGGGTTAGCAGATGCTGCCATCGGAGGATGGGACCGTCACTCACTCTCCAGGCGTTGGCGAGGGGAACAAAATGGTCGATGTCCACGCTACTGGCTACCGTCAAGGTGACTCCGTCGTAGGGAGAGTACCACGATCCACTGGTGGGATAGCAACTGGAATTCTCGACGACGTCGGTACCGTCGCGGGCGAGCACGACCTCGCGGGTGTTGCAGCCGCTGAGCTGTTAGCTTGGCGTGCAGGGAGAAGGGAGGAGGGTATACGTACCCCCCTTGGCTAATCCAGTGGGGGAAGAGCTTGCGCGAGTATCCATCCTCGGAGCCTTGAGGCGCGACGGTCAGAGCAGCCAGCTCGGACTGTGCGGTAGCGGTAGAGGGGATTCCTGGGGGAGTTGGCAGTGCAAAGGGCGCCGGGATGGCTGCCACGAGGGGGACGCCCAGAAGGACTGAGAGAAGGAGGCGAGTCATGTTGTTGTGTCGAGATACTCTCTGTTGAATGGAAGAAGCGAAAGAGCTGATCTATCGGGGGATCAAGCCCTTTATATATCTCGAGATAATATATCTACGAGCGACTTCATATCCCAAACCCCTCACAGCCTACCAGTCAAGTCTTCACAAGCATCCCCTGCAGCATACCAGGCCTCTTGGCAATATCCCTCAGCGCGCATACCAAGAATGATTGGCTGTAGTGCAATACTACCAGTCTATTTGAGGATGCATCTCCTCGTTGTGTCCGGCTGTAATATATTAGTTATAATGTATCTTCAGGCAAGCGCGGCATCTTATTGCCTTATCGCTGGATCTTGGCATCAGTATCTTAGCCACGCCCAGCCAACACCACAGCTGATTCGCCAAATGTTCGGCGATCGACATGTGCACGTTTAATATAATTAATAGGTATAGAATGGGAGGGGTAACTCTCTCCGGAGACCGCCGGCAGTCTCTGTGATCGTCATGAATGTAACCCAAGTTACCTAAGAAATTAAGCATTAATCCATGTCATGACGATCATGCTATTATTCAAACTATGTACACACACTTGTCAATTGCAGCAATCAAGCCTCACCCAACGCCCTGAGAATCTCCTTGCCAACTCCGGTCGCACTGGCAGGGTTCTGGCCCGTAATGATCGTAGCGCCCGTGCCAGCAGCCCTGGAAACAACCACCTTCTCACCCCATGGCTCGTCGGCCTTGACGTACCGATTCCCCGTCACCTTCTGCAGCTCATCCTCCAGCATATACGGCATCGCAGATGACAACTGCACCTGGTCTTCCTCGGTATTGGAGAAGCCCGTCACGGTGCAAGTCGAGAGCAGCGGCACCCCCGACGGCGCCTTGGCCTTGAGCAGGACGGCCGGGCCGTGGCAGACGGCTGCGATGGGCTTCTTGGCGGCGGAGAAGGCTTCGATCAGAGCGATAGAGGTCTCGTCGGAGTGGAGGTCGAACATTGCTGCGTTCGTTAGCCACTCTGCAATTTCTGTAAGTGAAATAAGGAAACATACGACCGTGACCACCAACGTAGAAAATCGCATCGAATTCAGACACCTTGGGTAGCACATCGGAGAGCTTGACTGTGTTTGTCCAGAGCGACTTTTGCTCCTTCAGGAACTTGGACGCCACGGGGTCGTTCTCGAACATCTTGACGGAGGCAGGATCCAGGGGCGCTTCACCACCCTTGGGGGAGGCAATGACCAGCTCGGTCTTGTCGTGGAGGACTTCCCATGGGTGAGCGAATTCGGGCTGTAGGTGATCAGTCAGTCATGTTCTGTTTCGCGTTGGTTAAGAGACATACCAGGTACCATCCCGTGGGATGACCGTTAGAAGGGATCTTGTCCTGAGAGGTCAGGACGACAAGGACTTTGGGAGCCATGTTGCTGATTATTTTGATGAATGTCGACAGTTGATCAAACTGTGAGGTGTAGATAGAGGGTTGTATAGGTTATATACTGATTGCGATGATCATCGATGACATCACTGGTGGACAGCTACTGCGGGGCTCGTTTTCGGTTTAGAATGCTCTGGATGCTACAATAAGAGGTACCTACTGGTAACGGACGGATAGATGGTCTGAACTGAGGACGCCATTCGTTCAAGCTACAATAGCTTGAGGTTCGGCTGCTCCACTGTGTGGCCTCAACCCGACAAGGTTGCCCCGACACCGACAAAAGTCTCCGTGACCTGATACACGTGGAGATGGTCTCAATTTGATACACTGGTTTGTGTCGAAATTGTGATGAATCTGTCCAAATGGTGACCTCGGCAATTCGGTGCTTGAAATGCAGAATTTAGCCCGATTTTTCAGGCATCGTGGAGGGAAAGTCTTTGCGGATTGCAACCATGCATTGAATATTAAATATTATAGAATTATGGCTGTATCTAGAGACTAACAGTCTTCGTGTCCATTAAATGCAGATATAGTTGCCTATTTTCAGCAGAGAACTCAGGCGATAAATGTACATATGTCTTCTGAGCATACAGATTCTGAGATGACAGACCTAGGAAGTTACAATGTCTGCGTCGGTGCCATTTCTGTCAAATATCGTCTTCGATCCATAGTAGACTGCGACTTACATTCACTCACAGTTATAATCTAACATCCATACTCATTGCACATCTCTAGCTAGGCTATACATCCATAGCTTACAGCACTCCCATGATCGCATACATACACTACCACTTCACAGTGTTTGATTGGAGATGGCCGACAGCAGTAAGTTATTCCAACGATGTATGAGCAGTTGCAGGATACATCAATAACTACACAACTCTATCGCCCCCTTAGACCCGAGTGACGGCCATCACAAATGCGCCAGAACAGCATCCGCACCGGAAACCTACCACAATCAGAACCCTCCAATAACCAGAAAGACAAGACACATACCTTGACAGCCCCCCTCTCCGTCTCAATCTGCGCATAGGTCACCTTCCCATGATCAATGATAATCGCATACCGGCCCGTCCGGCCCCCATTCGCCCACCCAATGCTATCCGAGAACCGCGCCTGGGGATCAGACAGAAACAGCTACAACATCGTTAGCCAGCTGTCTCCCCTCGAAGTAAAATAACCGTAGCACATACGATATCATCCCCCTTGACCTGATTCGCCTTGCCCCACGCACTCATCACAAACGGATCGTTCGACGCCAGGACAGCAACAATCTGCACGCCCTTTTCCTTCAGCTGCGGGAGGCTCTTGATGTACCCAGGTAGATGGTTTTCCGAGCAGGTAGGGGTGAATGCGCCTGTGCTGTTAGATCTAGTAGCAATTGGCGACTGGACTAAACGAACCAGGAACGGAGAAGAGGACGACTTTCTTATCGGCCCATTCTTTGGAGGCGTTGTAGTTGATTGGGATGCCGCAGGCGTTGATCTCGCTGCTTTCCTCCGCGTAGGGGATGTACCTGTCGCTGAGTTAGAATGGAGTCAATGGGGAGGGGAGAGACAAGACGGACTGGAAGACAACGTTGTCCGGGAATTTGTCGCCTGGTTTGAGGGCCATTTTGATATCTCTTGACAGTGTAGGTTATTGTTGATGGATTGATGAGAGGGTGAATCTGTTAATGCTGTGATTGCGGGGTGAGGGGGCTTTAAGGCGTCATGGCGGGGCTAATGCAGTGCATAACTGGCTGAGTCATCTGTGCATCGGAGGGCTCCGATCAGGAGGAATATATACAAGAGTATTTGGGTCTCTGCTATATTGGGAGAAATGCTTATATTTATCTTCTATCTATAGATCAAATGGCCCTACCAAACTGCACCGGGACAGTAACCGGCACGCCCAACTTTCTCGCCGTGGAAAACACCCATTCTGGCTCGCGCAGGAACTGACGGGCTATCAGAATAGCGTCGGCCTTGGGCTCAGGTCCTGACAGCATTGCCTCGGCGGTAGTCGCCTCGTCCGATCCTTGGACAAGTCCGCTTGCCTGTTCCGCCTCGGTAATCATACCCACGGCACCCACGAGAGTCGACGCTCCGGCCGCTCGAATGGCCTGGCGGATCTGCCCGGCCAAGTCAGTCTGGTAGGCCGTGTGCAGGTTAATCTTCTGATCCTCGTGATTCCCCGCGGAACTGACATCCACAAGGTCAATGCCCCATTCGGGCAGCTTCTTGACCAACTCCAGCGAGCTCTGCATATCCCAGCTGCCAGACTCCGCCGCAACAGGCTGACCCTCCAACCACTCCGTGGCACTGATGCGCAGAAACAGCGGCATCCCCTCGGGGATAACCTCACGAATAGCAGCCGCAACCTCGCGCACGATCCGCGTCCGGTTCTCAAAGCTCCCGCCGTACTCGTCCGTCCGCTTATTCGTCACCGGACTCAGGAACTGGTTGATGAGATAGCCGTGCGCCCCGTGAATCTCGATGACATCTACACCAGCCTGCACCGCTAACCGCGCGCTCTTGGCAAACGCCGCCACTAACTCCCGGACCTCCGTTGTGCTCAGCGCCCGTGGCGCCCAATATGTATCCGGCACAGTACTCCAGGTATGCTCCTCCCCACCGGACGGGCCCACCACATCCGCCGGCCACCCGCCGACGCTCTCGTCCGCCTTGAGACTCAGCTTGCCAGCCTCCGCAGCCAGCCTCAGCCAAGGCGCAACGACACTCGCCTTCCGGCCAGCATGCGCCAGCTGGATGCCGACCTTGGCGCCCTGCGCGTGCGCGAACTCGACGACGCGCTTCAGCCCGAGAAATTGTTCTGAGTTGGTACCTTCCTGCCAGAGACCGGAGTCGTTGGGGGAGATGCGCCCGTTGGGCTGAACGGCGGTGGCTTCGATGAAGACGAGGCCGGCGCCTTTCAGGGCGAGGTGGCCCAGGTGCGCGAGGTGGTAGTTTGTTAGGGCGCCGACGCTGGCAGAGGACGGGTCGGACTCGCAGGAGTACATGCACATGGGCGAGACTATGATGCGGTTCTTGAGCGTTACATTGCGGATTTGCAAGGGGCGGAAGAGCGTGGGAGTCTTGGGGTCGTCGGGGTGTAGGGCGGCGCCTCCGTTGTTGGCGGGGGTGAAGTAGGGGGTCGCGGGGGACTTGGTGACGGCGGCGGATTGGAAGGCGTTGGAACCCATGTTGCTGTCAGGTATTGTCGTCAGGACAGCGGTGGGAGTGTGTAAGTTGAAGAGAGGGAAGGGAAGACATGATTGCGTTGTATAAATACTCGGCCGAACTGTCTTCCACGTATCGATAGATAGGTAGTCTACGGAATATCGGATATGGCGACGAGGGGAGAGGGAGCTGACAAATGCCCCGATGTGGCCCACTCACGTCACACGTGCACTGCCATTGGTCACTTACCCATTATTAACCGCCATTGGCTGATATCCATTGCTGAAAAAGGAAATTGGTCTCAGTGATCGGGATTTGTAAAGCTCACATCAACCACAAGTAAGTCTGTGCAGTTGATTTGCCATTAGTCCAGTAGGCCGTCAGCATATTCTCCAGTCTTCTCATGGTGCCATTATTGGTCGCCTGCCAGAATCCCTGGATCTGTGACAGCAATATGCTCCGGTCTGATTGCTTCTCTGCACAGGTCCCAAGCACCAGGAACGGCCAACTGTAATACTCGGCAAAGTAATCTTGTGCTGGCTGTAGTTGAGTCACAAGAACCATGGCATGTGAAACAAGTTCACTGATCAAATGGTCTGGTTGATTGCCGGCAAGATAAATAAGACGATTGAGAAGGATTCGTGCACACAAGACATACATTTTAGGTCCTGCAAGTAGCTCTGGAGCAGCCGTGCCTGCCATTAGTGTATCCCACCGTCTCAGATCCTGCTCCAGCTCTCTGCAATGGCGAATTTCAACGCCGTCGGGATACTGTTGGTACATACGAGCGATGGTGTAGACATACTGGAACAGTTTCGGAGCGACCCCGAGGACTGGTGAGGTGGCATCCACGGAAATATGTGGTCGGCAGAGGACCTCCAGTAAAGTCTTCGCAAGGGAAAAGGCAGAGTCGATAGATGCGGATGCGGTGGATGTAAGCTGAAAGGGTATGCTCGTTGCGACGTGAAACATGAACGATTCCAGAAATAAGCGCGGCATCCAGACATCTGTTGCAATAGTGCTTGCGTCGGGTGTTTTGTGTCGAAAGTACGTCTGAATCAGTTGTGCTGCCCCGTTGAGATGGACATCAACGCCTTGCGAGTGATGGGGTTTGGATCGCTGTCATTGTTAGGTTTGATCAGAAACATTGCTTCTTCCGCTCACCTCATAAATGCATAAAATCAGCACTGTCCACAAGACGACTGTCCGACTCGGGCCGTGCGCTTGTACAAGGCTCTGTCGTAAACCAGCAACAGCATTAATATAATGCAGCTCGGCCGTTCGGCGGTACTGCGGATTGTTGACAGGTATCTCCGCGGCAGCACAGGCGAGTAGTGCATGCATACAAAAAGGAGATTGGAATGCCCATCGAAGGCTTTCCCTAGTTACCAGCTTGTTCACAGCCCCTTTGGTTACTGGATGGATAAGCTGTGGCAGGAAGATGGTTTGCAAGAAGCCGAATAGCTGGCTGTTCGCCGGACTTAGGACGGAAGAGTAGCACGCTGGTCCATTCGAGAAGGTGACTATAGACGGTGTCCGAGCATTGGCAAGTTGACATTCTGTGCCTGAAACGGACTCTGACGCTATGCTGCTACTGTCAGAATGACTCAGTTGATCATTGGCATGGCCAGCTCTCCTGTCAGCCCAGATGCATTCTATATTTCGTTTGAGGCAGTTTTGACACGGTGACCCCCTCTCATCGCACTTCTTCTTCCGTGATCGGCCTTAATTATTAGCACATCTCGGAAATGCTTTGAAGGGCAGCCTACAGGTCAAACATCCAGTCTTCGTCCGCAAATGAGCCGGCCGCCGTCGAGGTGGACGGTAGGACTTTTGTGTTCTGGCGGTGCAATCTGCCATTGCAGGCATATATTACAATGGCTCACATATCTTCATGTAGATAATGAACCAACGGAAGTAGCCTTTACTAGCAAATAAATGTCAGGGGGGAACTAGTTGATCGTCTTGGTTTCATCGCCGCGCCAGTCACGCGAGCCCGGTGGAGCTCGGAAATTGCCGGCGTACCTTATTGACCTCCAATCTATAGATAGGCGCTAACTACGAAGTCCTAAAGTACTATCAAAGGTTCTGCTTTGATACTCCATTTATGGACGGTCCGGTCCTCGCTAACGATGACTGACACCTAATAGGCTACTTTTGCGTCTGGTACCGGAAATGGATGCTTGAATGTAAACCCTACAGGAATAGAACCTAGACTACAACCTCGGCGTCTCCATCAACTCCTTCGCCTCAACTGCATTCCTCGAACTAAGATCCCTCACTACATCCGAAGGCGGCACCCACAGCGCCGGATTCTTCTCGAAGAAATTCGACGCCCGCAGCATCACACTCACTGGCTCCGCCGGCATGATCGGAAAGTCCTCCGTGCGCGGGAAATGCGTCAGTCCAAACTGGATATAGCATACAATATCCGTATTCTCGATGCATTCGTCCCTCGCTGCCCAGTCGACGATCGTCGGGTTGTGCGGATGGTCCTCTTCCCCTGTTGACTGGCAGACGTAGTGTCCCGCAGGGAAGACCTCGTGATCACGGTAGGGCAGGACCCAGAGTGCGTGGCGCGCGAACCCCGCGCGCTTGTAGACTGTGCTTCCCGGTTTCGCGAGCAGCGGGGGGCAGTTGTTGTTGAGGATCTTGTAGGCGATGGGCTTGCGGGTGGATGGGTTGAGGCGGGTGGGGTTGGTGATGTCCCATCCGCGAGTGGTTTCGTGGCAGTAGTCTGCTGCGCCTTCCAGGGCGGTCCGCAGGGGTGTCTTTTTGGCGTAGAAGCCGTTGCCGTAGGGGTTGGCGGGGGAGCCGACGGGGTCGGCCATGGGGACGGCGTCGCTCTGCACGACGGTGTTGTTGGGGCCGTCGATTTCCGGGTCGACGCGCAGGGAGAAGATGTGCTGGTGGTTCTGGGCGTCGAGGCCGCGGGCGATCTCTGTGCCGAAGGGGGCGGCTTGTTCGGAGGCGTGCAGGCAGTAGGTGTTTAGCATGCCTGTGAGCTTGACTTCGAGTTTGTACGTTCCGTCGAGCGTGAAGGTGTGGTAGAAGGCGTACTCGTAGTTGGCGGCGGTGATGATCTGGGAGATGATGAGTTTGCGGTCGCGAGCTGAGATGACGCTGCCGTCGCGGAAGTCGGTATGCTTGTAGAGGAGCCCGTTATCTTCTTCGTGAATGCAGATGGCGTTCTCGATGACGGTGGCCTCCCCGGTGGATGTGGCTAGAACGGCATCCAGGTAGTGGATGGCACCCTTGCAGTCGCAGCCGAGCTTGAGGGAGTTGGTCATGAACCCAGAACCATATTCGCCCACGTCAAAGGCGTGCTTCTTGTGATGAGGCGGCTTGGGACAGCCGTACGGAACCACCATCTCCACCACGCTGACACGGTGGAAGAGCTTCCGCTCGCGCTGCTCGTACGGGTCGTCGATCCGGATGTTCGATAACACGATGCCTTCGCGGTAGTTGAACCCAACGTGCATTTTGAGTCCGGCCCATTCGAGCTCATTGCCATTCATCCTGAACGAGACGCCCTCTGGCTGCGTAATTTCAATGGGCTTTAGGCGCTCCGGACGATACTGATCTTTGATAAACTGAGGGAGATAGTTATGCTTGTCCAGAGGCACTGGAGTTCGTTCTCCATTCACACGTCTGACATCCACGCTGAGGATCTCCTCGGTCTCTGTGTCGGCGACAACCGTGAAATCAAGCGGGTGCGCATACTGATTGTCATGTGGGGAGCTGCGGTAATAAGGCAGTGCTTGTTGCAGACGGCGCTCAAAGCCCCAGCGCTCGTCAATCCCAATGGCCCAGGCGTCAAAATAGACACGGGACATGTCCGTTATGCCAATTTCTCGGCATGCTTCAATTACCCTGAGATCTTTGCTGGCGATGCGCTCGATGATATTGAGGTCATCCAGGGTCAGCGTCGGCATAACATCTTTGACTCTCTTCCACGACTCAACCTTCCTGGTGGTCAGATTGACAACAGCCTCGGAGATCTCCGGAGTGCCCTTCTTGAGCATGATGGAAAAGACACGACGGGCAGGACGGGGCCCTGTTCCACCCAGAAAAGCTGTCAGCTCGGCTTTGAGCGGCTCGTGGAGGGTAATGCAATTAAATTTGAGGGCGGTTGGGTGCGCATGTTGGCGAAGGAGCGTAGCAGCGGTGGTAATCTCGTCAACAGACAGAGGGTCTAACATATCAGTATGACACACTCTTCTAGCAAATTTATGACATACCTAGCGGGTGGGTAGACGATGCAGAAGAGCGACGCTTTCCAGCGCAGCATTTGTCAGCCATGATTACAGAAATTGCTATCAAGTATGGGTTGGATTGACGTTGAAGTGAGGGCATATAAGCCTCTTTATATCTTTGCAGATTGCACTGCTCGGATGGACATGCTGGTTTGGGTATGGGTCCTACCGGCAGTCAGATACTTAGTTTTCTCCAGTTCAACACATCATGAGTCTATTCTCAGACCAAGTGAGGGTATTCTGCTAGACAGGGAATATCAATTTCAAAGAAGCTATATGATGCAGTATAGAATCAGCCTGACCAATGGCGTCACTTTCCGCGGTACAGTGGGGCTCTCCATCAACAATTGTATCCCCTTATCAACCAATCACAGTTGCTAACATGTATCAAGGGATCTCACCGTTCAGCAACACTCAAAAGGGCAAGTGGAAGAGAATAGCCTTATCCTGAACATATAGCAGAAGAAAACTGCTTATATAGGGCAAGAATAGTTCGATTCAAGAACAGATCAGTTCACTGGATTTGTCACATTTGAACTGAAGCACAATGAAGACCACATTCACGAACGGCCGCATATTCTCCCCTTCATCGAACGACCTAAATGCAGACAATGAGTTTGTGGAATCGCTGGTCATTGAAGATGATCAAATAGTCTATGTCGGCCCACACAAGGAGGCTCCATCTGCAGACAATACAATCGATTTGAAGAGTCGCATTGTTCTGCCCGGCTTCATCGACGGCCACGTGCACATCCTCAACTTCGGTCTGTCCTTGGGCAAGCTCAATTTGATGGACTGTACAGGTCTAGAGGACATTCGGTCGGCAATCAAATCCTTTGCAGCGAGTCACCCTACGGTCCCTCGTCTTCTTTGCCGAGGATGGATTCAGTCGACAACCAGTGGGATCGCTCTGGCAAGTATGCTGGATGATATGGACCCGCGGCCGATCTACATCGAATCATTAGATCTGCACTCAGTCTGGTGCAACTCGGCCGCCCTGGAAGAAATGGGTATTTATACTGCACCCGATCCGCCTGGTGGAACGATCCACCGCGACCAGAACGGAAGACCATCAGGTCTCCTGAGCGAAAGTGCCCTGGTCGACATCGTCTGGCCATTTCTCGCAGGCACCACCACTCAAGAAGCTAAGCTCGAGGCCCTTGACCAAGCTTTCACGGCATACACACAAGCCGGGTACGCCGGCCTCGTCGACATGGCCATGGATGAATCCACCTGGGACGTTCTCCAACTCTACCGACAACGCAACAATCCCCTTTTGCACATTGCAGCATACTGGCTCGTTCCCTTCTCCGAGAACCAAGAAACCAACTTCCACCACGTGGACCGCGCAATCCAGCTGCGCGCCGAGTTCAACCCCACCAGCTCACCCAATTTTTGCATCATGGGCATAAAGCTCATTTGCGATGGCGTCGTAGACGGCTGCACAGCGGCGCTCAGCCAACCATACGGCAACCGCACCGATCCCGTGGAACCCATCTGGCCAGCGGACATGCTCAAAGCCGTCGTCCAGCGCGCCGACCAAGCAGGTCTGCAGTGCGCCATCCACGCCATCGGCGACAAAGCCGTGAAGCAGGCGATCGATGTCCTAGCGGAAGTGGGCACGCCCGGCCGCCGGCACCGCATCGAGCATCTTGAGCTTACTGCTCCCGAGGACGCGAGACGGCTGGGAGAGTTGGGGATAACGGCCTCCGTGCAGCCGGTGCACTCGGATCCGGTCTTGTTCCGTGCGTGGCCGGAATTAATTGGCGATCGCTGCCAGAGGGCTTTTGCATATAGGGAGTTTGTAGATGGAGGGGCGAGGCTTGCGATCGGGACGGATGCGCCTACAGCGGCGCATTTGCCGTTGCCGAATCTATATAACGCGACTACCAGGCGTTCGGCGCTGGATCTGGGGGAGTCGGCGGCTACGAATCCGCATTTTGGACTAGGGCTCGCGGAGGCTGTCGCGGCTGCGACGGAGGGGGCGGCGTATGCGAGGTTCGCAGAGGGATGGACCGGGTGCTTGAGGGAAGGACGCAGAGCGKATTTCGTGGTATTGGATATGCGGTGGGAAGCGGAAGAGCTGTTACAGGGCAAGGTGTGCGAGACTTGGTTTGGAGGGAAGAGGGTATACAGTGTATGATGAGTGCGTTCTCGTGTCGTTATGTATTTCTTGTTTCTCCATGTTCTATTCAGTCATCTTACTCGATCCACGTTCAACTTCAGCCTCAGCCGTTGATACCCTCACGCGATGCATCTAGATATTGCTCAAGAACTCATCGAAAAGTGTCACAGGCAAGAGATTACTGGAGGCAAACGCAGGGAATCGTTGTCTTGGGGATTGCCGAAAGTCAATATTGTTCATCAACGCAGATCTACAGGATAACGGCTGATATTGATTGGAACTGGGTACAGGACAGTACATATGCTGAGGTCATAGCTAGCTGAAATTTGGGCTTCAATGCAAGTTAACTACCATTGCCTCAGAGACGGTTAACAGACACGGCTTTTCACGGCATACAACAAGCATGAATAAGCCTTAGCGCGCCTTTAAATCATATGATGAAGCTTCTTTGAAAAAAAGCGAGGCCTCAGAGTGAAATAGCCGCTAACCCTCGGTAGCTCGATTGGAGATTACTGGCACTAAAGGAACACTGTCAGCATGCCTGGCACCGTTGGAAGTCCCTTTTGACCTGTAAGAGAGACTAACCACATTGTTGCTGCATCGACGGTTGTTGCAGCAGAGAAAGGTCCCGCCATTGCAGTACTGACCCGGTTGAGAGCAGCCAGCATTGGGAGCAGGGACAGCGGCGAGAGCCGCAGTGGCAGTGGCAGCTAGCAGGAGAAGAGTAGCAAAGAGCTTCATCTTGAGTTTAGTGTTCGAATTTCAACGATTTAGAGCTCGGTAAAGATGACTGAGAGACATTTCCTTCTCGCTGAATTCGACGTGTATTTATATGTTGAGAACAAGGTCTGTGTAACAGTCAGCTCTCAATATCGAAAGTGATACGGTCTGGGCACCGCTGCCAGTCACCGCCAGGATGAGCTTTGTTGGAGTATTGCCAAAGATTACTGGCTCATCCGAAAGTCGACGTTGCATCCATTTGACCATAAGATCTCACTCCTTGCATAGTGCTGACGGATTTCCAAGGCTCTTTCCTGACGGAGTCTGATGTGCATTTTAGCGATACTGTATAGTTCCTATTTGGAGAATTAGTTACATAATACCAAGTCCTGCAATGCATCGTATGATGCATTGGGTATTTAAGTAGCCAGACAAGGCAGAGACGAGGCAGAACAAGACATCGATCAGGATAAGATAAAATGAGGGAGGCAGATAAGGTTATCTCCACGTGCGATAAGCCAATCCCACAATTCCGCTCCACATTCTCCTCAGTCCTCCCCCTCTCCGGAGAAGTAACCTCAACCTGATCACTCAATTCATCACTAATCCCCTAATAGCACTACCAATGACTTCAATCCAGATTCTCGACGGAGGACTCGGAACTTCCCTCCAAGACCAACATGGTGTCACCTTCGACTCTTCCACCCCCCTCTGGGCATCCCACCTCCTCGTCTCCAACCCCACCACTCTCCTCGCCTGCCAGCGCAACTTCATAACAGCAGGCAGCGACGTCCTCCTAACAGCCACATACCAAGTCTCCATCGAAGGTTTCGCACGCACCAAGACTCCCGAATTTCCGCACGGCATCCCCCGCAGCGCTATCGGAAAATATCTCCGAACCGCACTGGAGGTCGCCGAGCAAGCGCGGGGCACCTCCGCCGCCAAAATCGCACTGAGCCTGGGACCGTACGGCGCGTGCATGATCCCCGGACAGGAATACAGCGGGCGCTACGATGCGGAGCATGATAGTGAGGAAGCCCTCTTCCAATGGCACCTGGAGCGACTGCGGCTATTCCTCGAGGCGGATGGGAAACTGGCGGAGAGAGTGCAGTATGTGGCATTTGAGACGCTGCCGCGGTTGGACGAGGTTCGTGCGGTGAGGAAGGCGATCCGCGCGGCGGGCTTGGATGTTCCCTTCTGGGTGGCGTGTGTGTTCCCCGGCGAGGAGGCTACGTTGCCCGATGGGAGCTCGATCAGGCAGGTTGTGCAGGCTGCGCTTGCGGAGATGGACGGTGCGGCGGTGCCGTGGGGAGTGGGCATCAATTGCACCAAGATCTATAAGCTGGATGGACTGGTTCACGAGCTAGGCGAGGAGATAGCGAGTGCTGTTGGCACGGGCCGGGCAGGGGCTGTGTCGAGTCTGGTGCTGTATCCGGATGGTACCAATGGGGAGGTGTACAACACGACCACGCAGACGTGGGAGAAGCCGGAAGAGTATACAAGAGATGAAAGGGTATGTGGTTATATTGCTCTTCCATACTGCAATTCTAACAAGAATAGGGTCCGTGGGAATCCCAGCTCGCGCAGGTGGTCACGAATGCTCGCGCAAGGGGTCCCTTTACTTCATTCCTGGTCGGAGGCTGCTGCAAGGCCTCTCACAACGATATTCGAAAGCTGGCAGAGCAGCTCAAAGCCGAGTGATCGATCAACAAGCCAGATGTTCTATATATTATTGGGTATCGCCTATATGCATCTATGCATCTATATAGTATATACAAAAGACAAGCACTTCAGAAAAGCCAATCGACGATGCGACGCCACCATGTCATCGGCCTGTGTTTCTCGATGATCTCTCCCTCCTGGAGACGACCTGACCATAGATCGATATTGGCCGCGCGAACAAACTACAACTGTTAGCTACGTTTCTGAAAAGCAGGGACGTGGAACGAACCTTGGTGCGGTGCCACAACTTCCATCCGATGATTGGTACGATGAAGATAGGAATACCGATATACGAAGCGACAAAGTTGGAGGTATTCCAGTTGCCCTTGAGGAAGACGGGGAATCCGGCCACGAGGGTGATGATGGTGGATCCGATGAATCCCACCCACGCCGCGTACGGCTGCAGAGGGCCCTTCCACGGCAGCGTGTCGCGGTGCACGCCCTGCGCCTTGAGACCGGCATAAAAGCGAATGTAGCAGAAGGAGAGCGTGGCCCATGCGATCAGACCAGCAACGGTGCTGAGATTCAGAAGCCAGGCGAAGGCCTGTGCGGCGCCACCCGATCCAAGACCTGCCCCTGTTAGTTATTGTACTATCAGCTGAATTAAAGAGACTTACTAAGATAGGCCAATGGGCCAAACAGCCAAGCGGCGATGACAGCCACATAAGGGACACCCTTCTTAGTCACCTTGCCGAATACCTGGGGCAGCTGGTGATCGGTGGTCATGGCCACGATCATCCGCGAGCCGACCCAGCAGTACGAGTTGCCCGCGGACCAGGCAGAAATCAGGATACAGGCGTTGATAATGGAAGGGAGCGCGTTGATGCCGGCCTGGCGGATGGCAATCACCCAGGGAGAGCTGTTCGCATTTCCAGTTCCGGAGACAAGATCGGGGTTTCTGGGATCGACAATCATGCCGATGAGCAAGGCGCCGAGGACGTAGAAGAAGGCAATACGATAGGTGACGCGTTGAGCGGCCTTGGGAATCGCCCGGTGCGGGTCAACCGACTCGGCCGCGGTGATGACGACGGTCTCGACGCCGATAAAGCTGAAGGATGCGTTGACAAAGGCAGACAGGAAGCCCAGGAAGTGGCCGGTAGATCCGGTGATGCCGTTGTAGTTGGTCCAAGCGCCGGGATTGTGCCAGTAACGGAAGCCGATAGTCTCGTGGTTCGGTCCTCCGCCAGAGGTGATGACAATGGAGACAATCACCAGGCCAAGGAAGCAGAGAATCTTGATGCTACCGGCGAGGACTTCTGTCTCACCGTAGAATCGCACACTCATTAGATTGATCGCCAGAATCAGCGCCAGGCCCACGGTGATGACCACCGCGGGCGTTATGTCCGTCCAGTAGGAGACAATCACCGCAGCCGCAGAGACTTCTGACGCGATGGCAATGGTGTAGCAGTAACCGTACGAGATAGCCAGCGAGAAACCAACAGCGGGATCGATGAAGCGTGTCGCCCAGTGCGGGAAAGATCCGGCGGTGGGCAGCAGCGTCGCCAACTCGGCGATACTCTGCATCACGCACCACAGAACGAGACCAACGACTGCATAGGCCAGTAGCAAACCAGCAGGACCAGCTTTGGCATACGCCGCACCTGTTCCCACGAACAGACCAGTGCCAATACCACCGCAGAACCCGATCATCGTCACCTGGTAGTTCTTCAGGCGGCGCTGGGTGGCACCCCGGCCCCCAACATTGAGCTGCAGCTCATCCTTCTGAGAATAGGGCGCAACCTCTTCCCCGTATGGCTGGGAACGATCCGTCTCAATCTTGGAGTCGGATTTCTCCAAGGTCTGGCCGGTATGGGAGATCATCTCGTGTCGGTGTGCGGTGTCTCCCCACATGCACAACCAATTTAGTTACGGAGGAGATGTCAAGTTTCAAGAAGAACGTTCGCCATGGGGAAAAGATGGCGGAGAAAATCCTTTAGTATTCTGGCCTGGAGCCCGGAATCACGACATCGGGGCATTCTGTCGCGCCATTGGTGGCTGCCTTCTCCACAGCGGCCATTTCTATCTAGATTCGGTCTTTTTGCGGGTCCTCGGCGGCTTTCCGCTGTCGCTTTGTCTAGGGTTTTACTCACACATGGCAGACCTGCAGAGCCCCTTACTTGTCGGAGATGTGAAGGCTATAACTAGCATAGGCATAGCCCATATGTCCATCTCTAGATGGACTGCAGCAACTGCTAAGTATTGCTCCGTATGCTGAAAATGTCTCAAGTCTGCAGACCCTGCGGATTAGTCAGCGGCCGAATAAGGTAATAACCCCTTCCCCTGTCAAGCTTTTGCCCGAGATCGGAATCGCCACGGCAAAAATACCTAGAATAACTTTGCAAAAACTTTATATAGAACGCCACCCCATTTCTCCAGCAAATGATTCACGCATGTTAGTCTGCCACATGGCACCATTGAGCAAATTGCTGTCATCATTGAGACTGATATGAGATAGGCTTTGTGGTGAAAATTGCAAACACATCCATCAATGTATTATTACTAATCTCACTAGCTACATTGCACATTGTGCAAATACATATATATACTTTTCGGCTTACATGGCATCATTTTCGTGCGTAAGGGCTCATTTATGACCTACATCACGTTATATTCCCAGGCCAGGTGAGAGCTCACTGGACACAAGAAGATGCCTGTGACAATCACAATGTGGGTGTGTCTTATTAGATGAGATGAATGAGAACTATATTGGCACCTGTAGCAACAGCCCCATTTTATCATGGTACCGAGAGTATGTCTTTCTAAAGTCAAGCATATACAGTCTATTCACGGTCTATAATCTATATCATCCACCATTTACTTCTTCTCTGGTGCCAGGCCCGGAGTGGACAATGGAACGTCTGCAACACCCTCTTGGACCGCTGGAGCTTCCCCCACACGTTGGGACAGCTCTTATGGTGGGCTCGCTTCGTTTTCATTGCTACTACGCGCCTCTCTCCATCGATGCCCCCATCTAAACACAGCCCACAAACACGGACTGAAAAGAACCCACAGAAACGCAATAAGCGTGGCCGTCCAACCGATCCCGATGCGCTGGATCAATGGATCCGCAACCGCAACGGCTCCGGCAGCCAGCAGACACCGGAACAGGTTGTTCGCAGCTACTGCAGTTGCAGGGCTCTGCCGATGGAGGTCCACAATCAATGTATTAAGAGTGCTGAAGGACCCAGAGCTCAGATGCCCCATGAAGAAGAGCATCACGACCGGACCGGCAAGCGCAGTCTTATACTCCATGACCCAGCCGTAGGCGATGATACACAGACAAGCGCAATAGACCAGGGGGATCGTCACGGCCAAGCGGGCGACCTCGATGTTGAAATGCTGGATATCCTGCTGTCGGTTCTTTTCGATCGGGAGGCCCTGGCGTCGGGCTTCTCGGCGAAAGTTCCAGTCTAGAATCCGTCCTACCGTCCAGCGGGAGGTCAGACTGCCTATCCCCACTGGGAGGTAGCACAGTCCGATTTGGATGGAATTGAACTGGAATCTGCTCTGCAGCTGGGAGGTTAAAGTGCTCAAGACGGCCATGTATCCGGAGAACAATAGCGAGCTGTAAATCAGAATGATGAGCGCTTCCTTGTCTCTCGCGATCAGGGCCGACGCCAACGGATTGGCGCGTCGACGCCGTTTCTCGATCGTCTGATAGTCTGGCTCTGGCTTTTGCTTTCGGGCTCCGCATTTCCGCCCTAGAACCTGCCAACCGGATTGGTTCCACCTGGCGGCAGGGACAGAGCCGTTGCCCACAACCGCGCGGCAGGTTTCAGGCAAGAAGATCGCAATGATGATCCCAAATACACCGCTGAAAATGACTAGAAACCAAAAGATTGCTCGCCAGCCCATGTAATGGTCCAATAAACCCCCAATGATTGGCCCCAAAGCAGGCCCCAGGGTCACTCCCATACTTGCGTATCCTATATACTTACCTCGCTCTGCTCTGGTTGACAAGTCAGCGACGACTGCGCTTCCCAGCGCGATTGTCCCACTGCTGCCTGAGCTCTGCAGGCAGCGGAGGACCAAGAGTGACGCGTAGCTATCCTGGACCGCGAGGCCTATATTGGCGGCTAGGTAGATGATGAAGCAGATCAGGTAGGCGGGTCGTCGCCCGCGGGTATCTGCAAAGTTCGCTATAAATGACGGAGCAATTCCTTGGAAGATCTACCAGCGTCAGTACGACTCTGTTGACTGCTCCCTCTCAATGGGTCGATTACCTACCAGATATGTTGTGATGGTTATGTTGATGAGCGAAATGGAGACATTCAAGTCCTGTGCAAGATTGTTCAGAGCCGGAAAGTAGATGCCACTGGAGATGGGAGAGATAATGGCCGCAAATGAGACCAAGAGTATGATGGAGATTTTTTCGCCTTTTGGCAGTATGCAGTACGGTGGCTCTGTTGATGTGCTGATGTCTGTTGTTGCCGCGGGCGCAGAAGCGTGTACCCCGTCAACCTCGACTGTCTCCGGTTGATGATTTAAATTCTGCTCCGTGTCCCCCTCCTGTCGTCTAGCAGCAATTCCTGCAATCGTGGTGATCTCATCGTCCGCTTTCATGTGATGGCCTCCTTCTGGTTCAGTGGCCTTGATGCTATGTGCATGCTCCTCGGCAGCCGAATCGTCCTGGTTCCCCGACAGGACACCAATTTCATTCATGCCATGAATTACCTCAGGCATACTAAAATGTCCCTGGTTTATGTTTGATGTGTCTGGTAGTTTGACATATCAAAACATCTTTTATATCCCTCGATAGTGTGCCGGTTCCGGTTAGCCAGCCGGAAGCGGCTCGGGCGCCCATTGGCTACTGGCCAGTGACCTGTCTACTATATGCACTTTTACTACTGTGTAAAGCTGTATAAGGTACCTTAGTGTTGACACGCATCAGGAGCAAGACTCGCCATATGATAGTAGAATTCATTCGTCCCAGGCCTGGCTACTTACGCGTTTCTCCACTTGTCTGTTTTCTCCTTCCTTCGCTGAAAGCCTGGATTTTAAAGACACAGTATACTCACTAGTCTCCTTTCAATGCCCAATCAGTCGTCTATAGCTTTCCTAAGACTCCTGCGCATTTTGTAGGCTTCTTCGAGAAGTGCCCGACGGAGATCCTGAGATTCATCATCTTCAGAGGTCTCAATACTGTTTGCCTTAGAAATCACCTGTTCTCCGATCGTTGTCGTAAGTTTCACATAGTTTGAGACGCGTGCTCCAAAGTTAGTCGGAGGTTCTCTGATGAAGGAGTCACACAATGGTACCAGCACCTTCTGCAGGTGCGAATCTAAGGCCAACAGTTGCTCAGCCGCAGTTTTGAATGAGCCGAGATCGGGAGCCTGCGGTGGAGAGGGTGCCTGCGAAGGGGAAGATAATGCAGACTCGTCAAGGCCAGCATTTCCCGTTCTGTCTTTACTTTTGCCTTCGTTCGAGGACCCAGTCTGGGCCTTGCCTTCGCCGAACTGAAGCGGCTCCTCATGCTGTCTGCGTCTGCCTTGGGAATCGCATGTATCATGAGTCTCCTCTGCGCCGAGAACTTCACAGTAGATCGTTGACTGCGATTTAAGTCCTGCATCTCGGCAAGAGAGCGAGTCGTCTTCCAACAGCTGGCCCTTGTGGAAGAGCTTTATACAATCTTGGCTGGTGGCTTGTATTGCTTCCATCGCGTGTTGCTTCAACTGCTTGATGTCTAGCACACCATCCCCTATGGAGGATGATGGAAAATGCAGCACATGCCTAATGCCGCCATGATAGAGGGAGAGTGTATCGCCATCATCGCCCCACCTTTCAGGAAATTGCGGCATACAAATGCCCCATTCTTCAAAACTGACAGGATCAATAACAGGAGAAGAACGTTGATGAGGACGGCGCAAGAGAGCTTCATCCTCCGGTATCATAGGGTTGAGGCTGATGGAGGCAAGGCTATCATTCCCAACAATCTTCCGCTTCGCGGACTGAGTCTCCGCAGATGAAGCATATCCGGAAAGTCCGATTACCTTCCCAGATACCAATGGGTGATGTACAGGCTGGAGAATGACCATGGTTATCTTGAACAAGCAGTTGATAGTGTCGCGTAGAGAATGATAAATCATTTGCATTTCGGTTCCATCAACATCATCCTCCTCATCGGTGTCCGCATCAGACATGGACTCCTCAGCCGTATCGTTTAAGGCATCCCGCATATCGGTAAGAGCTCGTTGTAGTCGATGTAGGATGCGCAAGAGCTGCTCGCGAATATGAAAAGCATCACGCAATCGGACCTCCAGAGACGGCAACTGGACCTCCTTTGCCCAGATCCGGAGTCGACCAAGCTCATCTTGCCAGAGAACTATCGGTACCTCATTTTCATATGCCGTTATTCGGTCGGATGATATTAGCTGACAAAACTGCCCCACGCATGTCTCAAACAATGACGATGTTGAGCGAGACATTTTATAGACTCATGCGCCCCTCGTCGCTCACGTCGGTTGGATGATATTCACCACTTCATCAAGTGATAGTGAATGAGAGTGGCTAACAGCCTTGCTGCTTGCTAGTGCGGGGTAGTTGCAGATATACAGTTGTCGACAGCCTCAGCATCACCCTCACTACCCATCTCTACAAGGATTTCCTCGCCGCGATCATTGATCCCGCCTGGCAAAATGGTGACTGGAATCGAGGCTACTGGTCTCGTGCTGGCTCTCTTGCCCTTACTTGTCAACCAACTTGATAACTATGTGCAGGGTTTGGAGACACTCAAGAGCTTTACAGCAAAGAGGTACCTGAGAGAGCTGGAGAGCTATCGCACTAACTTGGGAACGCAAAAAGTTATTTTCTTCAACACATTGGGTCTCGCATTAAAGGACACTCTGATAGACGATGAATCTATCATCAGCACGTGGATCAGCAATCCACAGGCAGACACTTGGGTGGGACGGGTTATCCACGAGACACTGAAAACGAGGCTTGGGACAAGCTTTGAACCTTTCATGAGGACAACACAGGAATTGTCCAATTTATTGGAGGATTTATCCAACAAGTTAGGCTTGATAAACCGAGGCACATTGTTGTCGGTTGGTTGCCCTGAGTCAAACGTGTTGACCCATTATCACTGACCCAGGCCCTGTATAGTTGAACTCTCAGCCCGAATCCCTCATCAAGAGTAGTGTCAAAAAGTTCCGCAATATATTCTCAAAAAGCATATATGCCGACCTCCTGAGCCGCATTCACACTACAAATACCATCCTGAAAACACTGGTAGACCAGTCCATTCAACACCACACGAATGACAACAAAAAATGGAGGTTGCGACCGCCACTCTCAGTGCAGAAAAGCCGGAGAAAATTGGCCCTGAGTCTCTATAGCGCCATTTTGAATGGAGCCTGCTGGAATTGCCCATGCAAAGACCTGCATTCTATTCATTTTGTCCTCGATGGTAAATTGTCTGCCACAGCACGCGAGCCATCAAATCATACATTTCGAATGACGTTTACATCGAAGGTATGCACTACCTCAGCGGACGTCAAGGACTGCTGGCACGAAGTGGAGGCCGAGTCAATTGAGTTATCAGATCCAGCCTCAAAATGTTATATCTCCCCCCGTCCCAGCCTTTGCTCCACGATATTTGCCGTGAACTTTGATGACGAGCAACGAGCACTCCTTGGGTGTATCGCGGACAAAAGATACCGACACCATATGTATCATGTCCGGAGCATTGCCGATGACCTAAAATCACGTTCACAATCCCTTGAGGAACTCATAGCAACTTCGTCAACATTTCCACAACCTCCGCTGCAAGGCAAATACATATTCAGTCGCCGTGATCGACTAATTCTCGCAGTGAACCTTGCATGCAGTGTCATGCAGTTCCATGGCAACTGGCTGCGCAAATATTGGAGAGCACGGGACATCATGTTCATCAAAGAGAAATTCGACCCATCCGAACACCCCTATGTCGTGTGTGACATTGCAAGCCAGCCGAGTATGGACAAGAACCAGGAATCATCACCGCTCATACGGAGCGAAGTTCTCTTCCCCCTGGGGCTGATTCTCGTCGAACTTTCGCTGTGTCGGAATCTTGAATCATTGCGTACACTGGAAGACGCTGATCCTCTGGAGGCAGTGACAAATCTCAAAACTGCTGCTCGATATCTTCCAGTTGTGGAAATGGAGAGTGGGCTGAGGTACGGTCAAGTGGTAAAATGGTGTCTCTTTGGCTCAGATACGGGGAATACTACCTTGGAGGACGAAATGCAGGAGGAAGTATTTCAAAATGTAGTTGCCAGGCTGGTTGAGAACGTCTGGGACGTTTCAGGACTGCAATAGCTGAGGAAGTCGGATCTGGCTGGTTATTGGGAAATCGTCCATCTTCCGGTCAGACGAATGACCTAGGTTCGGTGCCTAGCCTAGGGAATCGCTTCGGTTTTGATTTAGGTAGGGTGAAACCAATTCGAGTTCAGTTAAAACCGTTGTTATAGTTAGGTTTATCCTTCGGCTTAGTATTAATCTAACTCCTAGGCAGACCTTAGGGCCACTAAGCACTGTATATATATTTAAGATGATGCCCCCTCCCCTCTCCTTTATATATCGTTCTCTTAGGCTTAGCTAGTAAGAATATTAGCTTATAGAGATGGCTCCCGCAGCACAGCAGCCCCTAGAGAGGGCAGCCATATGGGTATGAATACTACTGCTACTACTACTACTACTACTACTAGTAGAAGTAAGTAATTACAGCAGTTCCTGCTGGGCAGGTTATCCAATGAGTACACTCTTATGGAGACAGAATAACCAGGTTCAGCATTCTAGCATCCAGCATCGTCAAAGTTTCTCACGACGACTATTTGTCATTAAATGCCCTGGGCTGACGCTGATGTCATGGTATTCATTGCGGGCTGCCCTGAGACAAGATGCACCATATCAGATCGATACAAGGTATCCAACCCGATATAAGATTTAACCGGATCTACCACTCCTGAACTCCCTCCCTCCTAATGACCCTCCCCACGTCAGCATCCCGATCACCCTCGAGCACCGACCGAATAAACGGCCCAGCTACATCGGCATCTTCCGCTCCGTGCTTCTTCATCTCCTCCGGCGTGCCACCCCCCAACCCAGTCGCCAGGTGGCCGGGCGCGATCCCCCAAACTTTTACCCCGTCGTTCTTGAGTATCCGCCCCCACTCGCGCAGCACCATGTTGAGCCCCGTTTTTGCGCTGCGGTACGCAGTAGCGGTCGTCCCAGCGGGCTTGGGCCAGCCGGCAGGTGGCGGCCGGTTTATCGCGAGACGCTGGTCGTCGGTGCCTGCGAGTCTGGCAGCGCCAGATGTAACGAAGAGGAGCCTCGGGTCAGAGCTTTTCAGGAGGAGAGGCATAAGGGCGGAGGTGAGAAGGTGCGTGCCCGTGACATTGACGTCCCAGGTCTTGTTCCACATTTGGCGTTCGGTCATTGTGGTGTTGGCTTGTGCATCGAACCAGGCACCTGGGGAGTTAGGATGTTTGAATTGGACTGAGGAGGTTTTGCAAGAGTCTCACCTGCGTTATTGACGAGAGCGTCGAGTCTTCCGAACTTGGCGTTGATGTCTTCGTAGGCGTGTTTGATCGAGTCGTCGGATTCGAGGTCGATCTGAAGGGAGAATAGCTGGCTTTGGGATTTTGGGAACTCGCTTTGAATGGCACTAATGGCGTTGTGGACTTTTTCAGGGGATCGTCCGCCGACGATGATGCTGTAGGTTTGCGTGCAGTCGTAGAGGGCGCGGACGACCTGGAAACCGATTCCGGTGTTGGCGCCGGTGATGAGGACGATTTTGGGAGCCATTGTATTCAGATCACTCTCAATACTCATGAGGAAGTCTGTACGATTGCTTCTTCTTTCCCTGGCTCTTGTTGTAGATATACCTCCCTAACTCCGCACTACATCCGTAAACCCCGGTGGAGCAAACATCCAACGGATATATGGACTTTGGTGGATGTCAATCCATATTACTTGTAAAATCGCAGGCAGGTACCTCGATACGCTGAGTGAAGTGCTCGACTATCCCTATCCCATCCAACAAGTCATTCCATTTATAATATCATTCCTGCGATTGCACCGTCGGAGTGTGTTGCTGAGGGTTTCGCTCGATCATGGATAGTAATGCCCGTCTATTGCTGTGATAAAGTGAAATACCCTGTAGAGGGGCTCGATGATGAAGCTTTCAGAGCTGGTGATTGGGCGACAGGTTTGTAGCGATAATCTTCAGGGTAAGGGTTGGAGGCTTTGAAGTAGGGCCCGGAATGGGAGATGGCTAGGGGTTACCTTATGCCTGGAAATGAGGACAGCCTATCTCCCAAAATTTAGCTCTTTTCACGACCATTCTCTGTCGCTGTATGATAGTAATTAATGAGTGCGACTATTTAACTTGTATTGTGGTTGATTTCTCGGGCGTTGCTGAACCCGACCAACATAGCGATCTCGGGCTTTTCTATCCCCCGACAGGCCATTCTCTGACAAGAGCCATCCGAAACGACCCCGAGGGAGGAAAGTCTCTCAAATATAAATAGAAGAGCTTGTCTGTGATCATAAATGTCTCAACTCGATATTTGTTTCAATTCTCTCTGCCTATCTGCAACTTTATATCTCCCTGGCTGCGAGCAGAAACTTACCTTGTACGGTCATGACGAAACCCGAAAGCTCGGGGGCGCCTCAAAAGGAGGAACCGACTGAAAATCTATCAGAAATGAAGACGACGGAGCGCAGTGAGACCTGCGACGATGGAGAAACCAAGCGTGCTACGAGTGACCTGGACGACACCTATCAACAACAATCGGCCACCAAGGTCATCCTTCTTCTTGTCTCGATCATGATAAGCATGTTTCTGGTGGCTTTAGATCGAACGATCATCTCAACGGTATAGCAAGCTACAAAAAGAATACAGCCGATATTAAGCTGACTGTCAAGCAAGGCAATCCCTCAAATCACGAATGAATTCAACTCCCTCCCCGACGTTGGCTGGTACGGAAGCGCATATCTGCTGACATGCTGTGCATTCCAACTGCTATTCGGAAAAATCTATACTTTCTACCCCGTGAAAGCAGTTATCCTGTCTAGCATCCTCCTGTTCGAACTTGGCTCTGTCGTTTGTGGCGCTGCGCCCAGCTCCACGGCTTTTATTGTTGGACGGGCTCTGGCTGGTATTGGTGCCGCAGGAATCTTTGCTGGATCGGTGAGTGGCCTTTCTATTTCGGACAGCAAGTGCTGACAGTCTAGGTTGTATGCGTCGTCTATGTTGTTCCTCTCGAGAAGCGTCCCAGGATTCAAGGTCTTTTCGGGGCCGTCTTCGGTATATCCTCGATTGTAGGCCCGCTGGTTGGTGGTGCCTTTACCTCGAGAGTAACCTGGCGATGGTGCTTCTATATCAATCTCCCATTTGGTGGCCTGGCAATGGCCGCTATAGCATTTTGCCTCAAGGTGCCTGACAGAAATACGACCAAGGTTCCATGGACTGAGAAGCTGAAGCAGCTTGATGTCCCTGGAATGTGTTGCTTGGTTCCTGGAGTAGTCTGTCTGGTGCTAGCACTGCAGTGGGGTGGGCAGAAATATGCTGTGAGTTTTCCAAGACATGATTAGCATCCGTACTGACAACGAACAGTGGAACAATGCTCGTATTGTCGCCTTACTGACGCTCATGGGCGTCTTGCTGCTTGCTTTCGTTGCTGTCCAGATACTTCTGACAAGGACGGCGACTGTTCCTCCGCGCATTTTCAGACGTCGCAGCATCTTCGCTGGAGCTTTGGCGACCCTCTGTATAGGTTCATCGCAATACATATTTGGTAAGCATAAATAGAACCCCGCCTGTGTAGCTATACTAACGTCAACTAGTCTACTTTCTCCCAATCTGGTTCCAATCCATAAAAGGTGTCTCGGCCGTGGACTCTGGTCTCAGACTCCTGCCTCTAATGCTATCAATGGTCATTGCGTCCATTTTCTGTGGTATCACCACCCAGAAGATCGGATACTACACCCCCCCTGCAATTATCGGAACCTGCATTATGGCGATTGGTGCTGGGCTTCTCACGACGCTGCAAATCGACACCGGTCACGGCAAATGGATAGGCTATCAGATCCTCTATGGCTTCGGCATGGGCATGTGCTTCCAGCAACCCAACCTCGCTGCGCAGACTGTCTTACCGAAGAAAGATGTGCCTGTCGGAATTGCAGTCATGTTCTTCAGCCAGCTGCTTGGTGCTGCGGTGTTCGTCCCTGTGGGCGAGAACGTCCTGGCTAACCAGCTTATGCTGAGGCTGTCTGGTGTTCCGGGAATTGACTCCGATATTGTTACGTCGGGCGGTGCGACATCGCTACTTAGCTTGGTTCCTTTGGATCTCCGGGGGACCGTATTGGTGGCTTATAACGAGGCGCTGCGGAAGGTGTTCCAGATTGGGCTAATCGTGGCATGTTTGACCATTCTGGGGAGTGCCTCGCTTGAGTGGGTGAGTATACTCAAGAAATCGGAGACTAGTCCTGGTGTCGAGAGTGGTGCTTCCCCCAAAGAGGAGCAATAGCACTGTCTAATGCCTTCCTCGAGATGATCTGAAAATTTCCGTTCCTTTTTATAGCCGGCATCCTGGTTACATTGTCGGCTATGAATACAGTTAGAGTAGATATAACGTGTATTTTAATAAGGTCACCATCTCTGCTTATATTGACTATGTTACAACATCGACTGCGTCACTGTATAGACCACAGCTCAAGTAGAACAGATGAAGATAAATAAAACTCTGGATAGCCCTGAATATACTAGCACCCTCACAATCAAGCAGTGTGGCGATGGGCGACAGAACAACCGGACACCGGTGCGTAGAACTTCTTCCCCCTGCCTCGCCAGGCGAATAACAGCAGCAGAGTGCCCTAAAAGGTCAATAACACCATCTGGGTGTCGGCGTCCCGGATGGCTTGATGGTCCATGTCCAACGCAGCCGGCACCTGGTCGCATATCCCAGATGATTACACTTAGCAGTTCGTCGGCCATCAGACGTTTCTGCCGACGCGCAGTCCAATGTGACGCGGTAGTACCATTGCCCTACCCCAAGACAATTTTGAGATTATCTTCCAATGTAGAAGATTTAAATGAAAGAAAGCCCTCAAGCACCCGTACCTGACATGTCATGTGTCTATGGCATTGAGCAGTAATATTACAAGGGTGGTGTATGATGTCGTTCAAGAAGTGCAGCCAGATCCTAACTGGAGGGCCCCCTCGCAAACATTGGTGTGAGAATGTATATAAGGATAATCTAGATGGGAAGGCTGGAAGTCACTCAGAACTCCAACACAGTGCTTCGATACCTAATCATTTCCACTCTTTGTTCTAGAGTAACATTCGCCGCACATTCGTTGCATAAGCCTCAAAAATGTGTTGTTATGCGCATCTTCTAGGATTCGAATCACTCCTTTATTCTCGTTTGCAACTGCCCAGTCCAGCGGAGTGTAGCCCTGGTTGTCTTGTGCTGAGCTGTCGACTCCTTCTTTTAGAAGCAGTTTGACAGTTGACTCGTGGCCCATTATAGCTGCTAAATGCATTGCGTTGCATCCATCATAGCCCACTGCTGAGATATCTGCCCCAGCCTTCAGAAGAAGTTGAAGGGCGTTATCTGCTCCGCAATGTGCAGCCTTCAGCAGGGCAGTGTGGCCATGGAGAGACTCCTGCACATTAACATCAACACCAACATCAAGTAAGAGCCGCATAATGTTAATGTGATTTCCTGAAGCAGCTCGCTGTAATACAGTCTCACCACTCTCTGTTTGGATTGCAGGATCTGCTCCAGCCTTAAGAAGGATCCTGGTAATGTCTTCTCGACCCAGCCAGGCTGCATAAAAAAGAGGGGTTAAACCTCGTGGCATCGGTCGGGAGCTAAAGACAGCGCCGGCTTGCCACAGCTTCTGGATGATTACTGAGCTACGTCGACGCGCGTCATGCAAGAGGGTTTGTCCGTTGTAATCCGCCGCAGACGGGTTTGCTCCATGGTCCAGGAGGAACTGGGCAATCCCAACTTCATCAACGTCGCATGCGAGATGAAGGGCAGTTCTTCCTCCATTATCCTTAGCTGATATATCCAAACCTGCATAAACCAGTGCTTTTGTCATCTGTTTATCACTGTTCCTGACCGCTTGATGAAGGGGCGTCCATCCTCCGTTGTCAGGGACGGAGCTGTGTGGGATCCATTTTGTAAGAGGTTTGAGGAGGTCTTCAAGCCCTTGTTCCACAATATGATGCAAGATGGTGCATCCATTATCGTCCTGGGCCTGGATATGCCGGGCCTGTAGAAGGGGGGTGAGGTGGGGAATGCCCTGAATCAAAGTTAAGAGATCCAAAGGTCCCAAATAGCCCGCGATGATCAAAATGAGCTCCAAGGGGAGGGTGCAGGGACTATAGGCAGCCATGATTGTTATCGAAGCAACATACCAGACAGAACGAAATGCTTTTGAATCCATGCAGCAAGGAGGAAATGCAACGGAGTCATGTGACGGCGCGGGGCAACATGCCAACGGGGCAACGGGGCAACTGTGGCGTAGAGTCGTCCAACTGTTCTCCAACAACTATCAAACCAGTCTCGATGGATCTGCGTAATAACCACGTGGCTGCCCATCCTGTGCTGGCGGAACGGCCCCTGGAAGACACAAGCGTCGTCTGTAGCCAATGAACTCGAGCCCTGACTTGCTCGGTTGATTTGGACACGGATCACAGAACTACGAGTCAATGACGATCGTTGTATCTATCGCGTCCAGAATGGACTTCGCTGTATGCAACACGTATTGGGGAAGTGGTTTTCAATGATATAAGGGTCTACCGATTTCACGTTCCAAGGACTGATGGTGTTATCATTATCCAAAGCCCAGCATCTGGCCATTGTGAGAGTAATCATAACTTGTGAATGTCACCTCTTGGATTGTCCATATAATTCCTAGCAGGTGACACCAAGTCTGATCTAATCGTCAGAAGACCTTAAAGAGGGTGGGATATAGCCAATAGGCACCTCAAATTCAAGTCATCCCTATGGCCAATAATAGATTCAATAGAAACCCCCGAAGGAACACCACTACAAATCGTGACACTGAAACATATACTGAAGATCACCTCTGCCATTCACTTCAAACATCACCTCTTCTGAAATGCCCTCTAAAACCATAAGAACACCGCAGACATCAACCCCAGGCCGACAGAACTCCACAAATTCACTGCCCGAATCCCAGTCGCCTCGAGGGAGTTCTTTAACGTGCTTGTATAATTCGGTCCCGCAACTGTCAAGCACGTAAAGTGGACGTCAACCGGCATATCTCGCTGCGACGACGACGAGTTGGGGTAAAACACCGTCATCACAGGGGTCAGACCATGCAATGTCGCGTTCAATTCCGGAGTTCCGTACGGGACCGCGGTACGGTAGCTCTCTACCATGGAGACGCTGTAGTTCTTCCCAGTGGTGGGACGGCAGGAGCGCAAGTCTTCGATGGGCCGGGAGGCGGACGGGCCGGTCAGGACTATAATATAGGTAGTAGGTAGTACCTCATGATGCACGCAGTATACGCTACGAAGACGTACCATCCACATGGATACTCTCCTGCGAGCGCCCCAACCATAGCGGACATGACTTTGGGGTGTGGGTGTACAGCGCTACAGCAAGATCGCGACAGAACTCCTCTGTATCGAGGGTCCGGTTGTTTGACATGGAGCTGTCCGGGCTCGCCTCCTGCTTAGCTAGGGATATCATATCCTGAACACAGTCTGTACCAATTATATCCTGGCATGTGCCATGCTCTGGGTCTGTGAACTTGAACTTGAGCAGGGTAGTCATGTCTGTGAAGAACAGAGCACATCCGCCGAACGCGGTGGTGTCGCTGAGGCTGATGTTCTGTGGCAGGTCGAGATAGAAGGATTGGTCTATGAGGTCTTTGGACCGCTGATCGGGGTCCTGTGTCTCTTGGAGGCCGATGGTCCAGGTTAGGGGCATTGTGCCGTTGTTGATGTAGGAGGAGTTGAAGGACGCTTGGCCCAGGGCACTCAGGGTGCGGTTCTCAATCTCGCAGTCGCACTTGAGGGTGCCACAGCCGAAGAGTTGGCTGGTGGCAGAGGCGATGTAGAGAACCATGAGAAAGTGTAGAAGAGGACCATTTGGGCAGAACTGCTCATAGACTGTGCCATGATGGTGGGAAGTGAGGGGCCTGGGACTGAGAACGGAAGCTAGATTTTATTTGGGACTTCAAGTTCTGCGTCTGGGAAGAGAGCGCATATTTGTGCTGTACAAGATGCATGGTGGGACAACAACAAGAGAGTATCTCTAGGCACTACAGCATTGACTGCCTCCATGTGATGCGATGTAGGATCATCAGGCTGAAACACTACCTTCTCCTACGCCGCAATTCTGTACCTAGTAGCAGGGCCGCCAACAGGACGTGTTGGACTGTAGATGAGCGGAGAACCAGATTGTATTGGTTGTCATGGATTGGAATTCATGCAGGGCAATCTATAGCGTCCACTTGGTGAGAGGTTAATTTCAAGGACATTCACAGTCCCAGTCATGTTGTCACTGCGGCGAGGTTGTTGGGCGGCTACTGTATGTACCCACCCATGCACAGGATAACAGTAGCATACTTAGTGTTTTAAAGTGTCTACATTTCCCCAATTAGAAAGTTGGGATTTGCGTTGGATGGCTACTAAAATTCATGCGCATATCTAAGCACACTAAGTGGGCGCGGAAGCTTCATTTCACTAATTAATGTATGATTAGATGCTGTAGCAAATGAATGGGAGTTAACTCTAATACAGTGATTTAAACCCTTTTGAAACATTAATGTTTCCCCACACTCAGTGTCCTATGTGATGTGTGCTGCCTCAAGATTCCTAGCTCCTCAGTTAGCAACAGGAATTGAGTATCGGCAGAGATCCAGAGTTCATCAAAGCGCTGGATCATACCAAGATTGCTAGGAATCCTCACCTTAAGTCAACAGATGCTTGACTCTATGTCTACAATGCTTGACTAGTTAATGAAGCAGTTATTAAGCATTCAATGACAGAGCAATAAACCACTTTAAACAACGTCACCTCTAGACACACAATTGGCTACTATGTGCTTGGGAGAATCTATCCAACAGAACAGCTCTACCCAGGCGCGGAAAATACTTCCCAGACTCACAGTGCCCATGGCCACCCTTTAAAGGATCCTCCTAGGTGAACTCTAGTTAACCAATTAGCTAGCTTATGGAGCATATATATTTTAAGAAGACTGCAGCTCATACATCTCCCTACTGGTATTTTCCTACGCATAGTTTATATTCATATTCATGTTTTCTTCCCTTCTTTCTCTCGTTTCTCCTCTTAGCTTACAATTTAATGGAGTCGGACTTAATACCAGGGCAGAGTTTGTGATACTTTTTTGTTCCCATATCATATTTACAGCCTGTTACTGATGTAGCTTTTTCAGTCAAGTAGTACTCTTTAGCATGTGCAGTATACTCAGCAGCCTTACATCTCACTTCTTAGGAGACTTTTGAAGACCATAAGATCGATTGTGTGCCTTGAGTATCTACTTCATCCATGGTCCGTGGGAGGTGACCAGTGGCTGCCCTGGTTCCTTCCTGCTGGCCAGATGTTTCTTTCACGTTTCACTTCTCGGTTATCGGAACAGGGTTGGCTTTGAGTTCGGCAGGAACCAGATTGTCAACTTTGAAAATATCCGGCATGACAAAAATGTGAGCTCTTCCCCGACTAACTGCTTCAATATCTGAGCTTGGGTAGGTTTGTGTCCCGATGATGGTGGCAGGTGAGACTATATAGTTGAGTAGGAGGATGAAAGAGCAGTATTTGCAGGTCATAAACATGTGATATTTTGGAATACAGTAACCAAGTAGAAGTTCGGATTGGTAACTATACAGTCTCCTGTAATTGAGGACATTGCTCATCACTGCATAGGCCAGCTCTGTAATTCACGCCTATCAACTGTCCGGAACCTGTAGTATAGTAGCTGTGATGCTTCATTTTATTTCCTTCAGATAGTGCTTATAGAAGGTACTTGTCATAGATTTCTAGTCAGGGTATAATGCTTCTTGACTGACAAATTCAAGTCTACTAGGCTGATGCTGATAGCTGCCAATATAGCTGACTAGGAAATTTGTGCAACGTTCCCTTACATGAACTGCAATCATTCTCTTCACCAATAAACCGATAGTTGCTGCACTATTGATAAGGCTCTCAAACTGCCGCCATTGACTAGGCACCCCTTATATACTTTATATAAATATGCTTGTCAGACGGTGAATGAGGAACTCAGTGATCGGCAGGCTGAGCCATTTTCAGCGACGACACCGAAACAGGCCGGATGATCAGCAGCTACTTGACTAGGACGGGCCGAGCCAAGAGCAGCCGTCTTCAGTTTGGAGTTTGGACAGAAATTTTGGGATGTCATCACTATCCCACAAAAACATAAAAGGAAAAGAAAAAGAAAAAGGAAAAAGTTTAGTAGTCCATATGTTCGGAGTTTGTGCAGGATAACATATGTCTAAACTCTGAAGAACAGTGGACGGGATACATTTCGTAGTCTTCAATGGGGACAGCCACTGACAGCACAGCGATAGTCCACATGCAGATGAAATGATACTGGTGGATAGGCTTGGTAATGGCACTGTTCCAGAAACTGCTGGAATGATGTTGTAGGACTAGGATGTTGATCCTTCCGATAGGGCATTTTTCTTTTCGCTGGTGTGATGTAAATGCTCATGACGCAATTTAAGTTAGTCTTGCATCAGTAACTCGTTATTTATCAATCAATTACTAAGAAGGACTGATCAGCGGGATTGTCTAGGTCTGGATGAGTAACCTACTCATGCGTAGACAGTCACCTGGGCGATACCACCGGGTCTCTAAAACGCCTATTTGATTGGATTTAGGTTCCTGAAAAGAGGCTTACCGTGGACCCAGGTTGCCAACGTCGTAAATGATTATGCTGCTATAGTACAACGAGGTGTATCAACACCCAAGTCTTTGGACCATGCGTTAGATCTACCTCTGCAATTACCACAGCGTGGCTTCAATGGCGACAGACGTCGGACGGACGCAGCCGCTTCTGTTACTGCATCAGGAACAAAACTATGCTGCTGCCTAATGTCGAGTGGTAAGCCTGCGGGGCCTACTACATTGCTTATCTGTCAATTATCGCTACGTCGATCTTGATCCGATTGGACGGCGTACACCTCAGACGCGGAAACAACCTAACTTCCCGAATCGGCACGTTGCTGATGATTCTTTTTTATATGTTGCATTCAATTTCCTGGCTTCACATGTGATCTATACAGTTGCCCAGAATTCCTAGATCCACTCGCGCCGAAATTCTGACGATCATGCCAGGCCGTCCCCTCCCTGCTCTACCTTTCTCTGCGCTTGCCATTTCCTTAGCGGTATCGTCAACAGACTACTGCCAGATATCTGAATAGCCTGGAATATGACCATTGGCAGTCGAGTCCGTGATTGCTCAGCTGCAGACAGACCCACAAACATGATGGTAGTGAGTGGCACACCCATGGCAGGGGTTTTTGTAGAAACCAAGTACGATACTGCGATTGTATCCTCGCGAGAAAGCCACACTCGAGATACTGCAAAGGCGATAGTAATCCAGACGCAAAATAGGGCGACGAGGATTAGCACGGTAAAAACCATGTTGTTCGACGGGATCTCAGCGAACGCATTCGAAGCAAATGCGCCGTCGTATGTGCTCCAGATAAGTACCAGCAAGGCACAGGAGCCCAGCTTGCTCATTTTCCATTCCAGAAGGACTTTTTTCACCTGGTTAGGGAACAGTTTCACTACGATCTGGCCTACTGCCTAGAAGATCAAGACCCTGTCAACCGAGAGGACATAGGAACCAGCAGGAAATGGGAAAGAAGACGCACCAGTGGAACAAAGACCGAGAGTCCAAGTTGTTTGAAGACATATCGATAAGTCTCACCAAATCCCGAAGACGTCTCCGGCAGAATGTCCGTGTACCACACATTCGTGCTGATGTATAGCTTGATCAAGGCGGTGGTCACAAATGGACCAAGGATGTTTCCGATAGTGGACTGCGCCACGGTCAAGGCTGCATTTCCATTGGCCTTGTTGGTCATAATCGTATTGAATGCAATGCTGAAGTTGGTTTCTCATTAGTAATGGGGCCCTTTATCAACGTCGAATCTCTTCAAGGCAAGGGTGCATACGCGGTAGGAAGACAGCCCGTGATGACAATCCCCACCAGCAGAGCAGGGTCCATAAATTGGCGATTGGTTGCTGCCGCACTAATGACCCCGTAGCTGGTCGATGAGGTCAAAAGGTAGCATTGCACCTGGACGAAGATATGCATCTTCCACCGGCTGAGGTTCTCCACCAGGACCTTGGTGGGCAGGGTGCAGCCATTAATGAAGAAGATGACGGCAACGGCCAGGTAATTGATCACAGTTTGTTTCAGTTCCTGGTGGGCTTGCGGCACCTGTATCTGCGAGGCAAACGCAATCAGGATGCCCATGACAATCAGAAACCATTGGTCCATCGCCAACTCCCGAATGCCAAGCAGGACCCGCGTACGCCCCGACCGGGATGGCTTTTCGGGCACAGAGACATCCTCATGTTCCGTCGGGAATGCCGAGGGATTGTCAACCTCGCCAGCCCAGACTCGACTTGACGAACATCCATTCGAGGATTCTTGAAGCCAAAATGATAAGCATATGCTATTTACTTCCTATAGCAGTCACGCACCATTGTTCTGTGACAACACAGGCGACTGAGTGTTGAGCATCTTGTCGTCCAATGCCGTTTCGTCTTTTTGCCAATGGAAAAGCAAAGGGTTATATAAGATGAATCACACTTCATCAGACCAGTTAGGCTGCGATGGTTGAGGCACGGTGGTATATTTCCGGACGGAAGCATACGCGCTGATATAGGCAGATCGCTCTTATCAGGAAGACGGTGGGGAAAAGGAATTTGGATGTTCCAGCGCACTTTTGACACTTCATACTGGGGGAATCGCGGCAATCCCGATCATGATTGAATGACTGGCGCAGATCAATTTCTCTTGGCATTGCTCTTACATGACAAGGATAGAGGAACCCCACTGAGCGTCGACCGTCCATATAGTAGACAAAAACTCGTATTCAATTTTAGCAGAACTTCCGTCCCCTATCATACGCCCAACATCTCAAGTGTGCTGTCAGTCTCAAGTCCGCTAGGCAGCAGATATGATTCGAACAGCCCTGCCCTACGCAACAGGGAAGATGGTATCTCAACTCGCGGGAAGCCGACGGAGCAACATCAGCACTTGTTCCAAATCCGGAAAGTTGGTCGGTAAATCATACGGATAGGAGACACCATTACGCCCTTCAGTATCTGCCAAAAAGCACCCCCTCGTATCTGCAACGTACTCAGCCCATGTCGACCCACCAGGTCTCATCCAGCAGATGACAAAAAGAATGCATGGATGATTCTTATCACAACCGAAAATAACTATACCAATCACCATCCACCACTATCTCAGGCTCGGATTGCTGGGAAACAGAGATATGGTGATCTATATAAACCTCTATGAGTTCTCATTTTGACCATCTTCTTCAGAGCCAAGCTCCCGCGCAGCTATCAAGCAACCCTTTTCCCGCTTAATCTGTGGCGCCCCCCTTACCATGCCTCTTTCTTGTCAAGTCCCCAGATCTTGCCTTCAGCGCCTGGCTGGCTATACTAGCCGTCCCCATGGCTTGACTGTCCTCAGGTCGGCTTCCAAGCCCATGCCGCGCTTGCTTCATGAATCCCACTCCCCGTTGAAATCTGTCGCCTCACGGGAACAATTAGGGCTAGACTCCTCTTTTCCTGTCCAAGAGTTTGCCTTCCTGCAAGACCTAATCAGGAAGTCGCCCTTGTTCCTCCATGCCTCGAAGCGCAAAGCCGAGGAGTTCCATTTTCCGCTGGGTACCACATTCAAGGCTCCGTCACGCGAAATCGGCCTCGAGATGAAGGATGCATTTGCACAGGCCCTGAGAGAGTATGGCATTATTGCCGTTGAGCTTGGCTTCAATGACCCTAAGAGTCAGTTTATGCTCGAAGTCGTGGAAGCAATGGGATGTAGTCCCGACACCCACTCCAGCACACAGGGTGCATTGGTATTAGCCTCTTATTTCTCTTAGCAAATCCAAAACCCTCCACTAACCAGCCTGTCTTCTCAGTGGGACGTAACCTACCGACCCAGCGGCGTCATCAGCCAGAAAACTGGCGGCAACGTAGTCAGCATTTCCCACTCCCTGGGCGAATTCGCCTGGCACACCGACGGCTGCTTCGAAGTCAGCCCGCAACGCTTCTTCGGGCTGCACATCCTCCATCCAGATAAGTTGGGCGGAGGTATCTTCCGTGTGCTCGCCGTCGATGACCTCGTCAAACTTCTCTCCCCTGCCTCAATCGAGACACTCCTCAACTACGAATTTGAGCTCCAAGTCCCACCAGAGTTTTACAAGGGAGCCACGACGACAAGACACAAGTTGCTGTCCATCGAACCGAATACTGGACGATATCTTATGCGCTTCCGTCGTGATATCCTGGCCGATCCGCCTAGTGACGATCCGGTGGCCAATGCGGCCGTTGCGGAGTTGAACGCCATTCTGGATAAGCGGGATACTGTGGGGCAGTCTTTCTCAGAGGATGTATTCAAGGAGAATGTTATCCTTCTGATGGACAATGCGCGGTTTTTGCACTGTCGGACGGAGATTAAGGATCCGAGACGATTTCTGAGGCGCATTCGGTTTAATGGGACCCCTGGAGTCCGCAACTAGGGTGTAACGCAACCATCACCTATTTTACTTTGATACATGTAATAGAGAACATCCTTGCTATTATTGCTTCCCCAGTCCTGTGAGTCATGGTCATTACAGGTATACAGATATTGATCTGAATCAGTAGCCGTGTATTCTATGCCAGTAACTGAGAGTGTGGACACCAGTATCCCACAGGGCTCTCCCCTCTCGCCGATTCTCTACATCTTCTGCAACGCGGACCTAATGGGCTGGGGGCCCCAGAATGGGGCCTAGATTATATCAGATATATCGACGACACGACGATGCTTGCTACCGGTGAAAGTGAGCATGCCAACAGTTAATGACTGTGGGAACATTGCCAGCATAGATATCGTCGAAGCGCTGGATAATACGAAGATTGCTAGGAATCCTCTCCTTAAGCCAACAGATGCTTGACTGTACATCTACGGTTAGGCAGTTACTAAGCCGTGAATGACAGAACAATAAATCACTTCGTACGAAATCATGTCTAGAGATACAATAGGCTACCATGTGTTTGGAAAACCTCTACCCAGAGGCGGAAAATATGTCCGAGAGCCACAGTAGCCACCCTTTAAAGGATCCTCTTAGGTGAACCCCCAGTTAACCACTTAGCTAGCAGCTAGCTTAAGGGGCGTGTGTTTCCGAAAAGACCGCAACGCATAAGCCTTCTACCTGCTAGTTTGCTAGCTGTAAATTTGTATTGATATTTGTGTGTTCTTCTCCTCTTTCTCTCGTTTTTTCTCTCGACTTAGAACTTTAACAGAGTTGGACTTAGGGCTATTTAAGCATACTTGAGAGTCCCCAACATATATTCTAACGCACATGTCTACGGAATATCCCAACGCATAGCACAGACTAAAGTGCCAAGATCTGTCCAGATATACTGGATATTAATAGAGATTTTTCTTATCAGAAACAATTTAAATCGAACTACACTCTACAGCAGGATTATAATGTGCCGCTCCAGTTAATCACGTGACGTTGAGGGGCCGTCGGGCAGTTMGGGCTTTACTAACTCCCGTCGTCCTGCTCACCTTTCGTCCTCGCAGGAATGTGGGAAGCCCAACTTCTCCATCTACACACCGCTTGACGACCTCATCTTTATCTTTGATTCAGGTCTTGGGCTTGTGGAGACTCATTCTTATTCTTCTATTTGAAAATGTCTACACCAGAGCAAGGCTCGCCGAGGTCGCCCTTGCGAGCGTCAAACAGGCCGACACGGGTGCTGGCCTGCGTCCTGTGTCAACAACGCAAGGTCAGGTGTGACCGTGGATTTCCCTGCGCCAATTGTGTGCGAGCACAAGCGCAATGTGTGCCTGCGACACAGGTCCGACGACGTCGCAGGTTCCCTGAGAGGGAGCTGCTGGAACGTCTTCGGAGGTATGAAGATCTGCTGCGCCAGAATAATATACAATTTCAGCCCTTGCACAATTCTTTTGTGGAAAAGGTGTCCTCTACCAGAGAGGATAGAAGCTATGATAGAACTAGTGATGAAAAATTGGAGCGAGATTCGCAGGAAGAGGGGACCCCGGGATCCGAGACAAAATATGAGGCCAAGTCAGCTTTCCGCTGTAGTTCGTCGTTGGCTCTGACTAACTTTCTATAGAAACTTCTGGCGTGTTATGAATCAAATGGTGTGAATACTCTGAGACTGATCCTGGATGCACACTGACGTAGATGGATAGTCTGTTGATCCCGAAGAGGCTGATACTAATGACAGCGACAGAAGTAGCGAGCATGATAAGTCTCGCTTCAGATTCCGTGAGACCATTGTCAAAAAAACCTGGGAAGAGGTGTACGATGCTGGCAGTCAAACCCTTCTGTTTGGTGCACGCAAGTTTGATGTTAAAGTGTCAACATTGCACCCAAAGCAGGTCGAGATCTTCCGACTCTGGCAGATCTATCTGGACAATGTCAATCCGCTACTAAAAGTAACCCATACTCCCACTTTGCAAGCACGGATCATCGATGCGGCCGCTGACGTGGCTAATATAACACCGACCCTGGAAGCACTCATGTTCAGCATCTATTGCCTCGCCATTCTCAGTCTGTCAGAAGACGAGTGCCGGAGCCTGTTTGGATCGTCAAGGGACGATCTTCTGAAAGGCTACCAATTTGCCTGTCAGCAAGCCCTTTTGAACTGCGAGGTGCTACGTACAAGTGACCGTGACTGCTTGACGGCCTTGTTCCTTTACCTGGTAAGCACACCGAAATCGCACCAGGCAAACCACTGACGCTTCCAGATCTCAGTTAGACAGCAAACGGATCCTCGCTCCCTATCGCCAATATTGAGCGTCGCCATCCGTATTGCACTACGCATGGGTATCCACTCGGAGTCCAGCTATAGCAGGTGTACTGTTCTAGAAGGCGAAATGCGCCGCAGATTGTGGTGGTCGCTCGTCCTGTTCGACAATCGGATTTGCGAGATGGCTGACCACAAGGCCACGAATCTGCTTCCCACTTGGGACTGTAGGATTCCCCTTAACGTGAATGATTTTGACCTGCGACCAGAGATGAAGACCGGGCCAGCCACGCATGGCAATCCCTCTGAGGCACTGTTCGCCGTCGTGCGCAGTGAGCTGGGCAATTTCGTGCGCCGCAGCTCGTTTCATCTAGACTTTACGAACCCGGCATTAAAGATCGTGACCAAGGAAGACCCTCTTCCTGCAGCTGGTAGTCTACCTGCTTTTGAAAGGATGATCGAAGAGAAATATTTTGCTTCCTGCAACCCTGAGAATCCTCTTCATTTCATGACAATCTGGTCAACACGGGTTCAGCTGGCGAAGAATCGTCTTCTGGAGTATTATTCCCGGTATTCGTCCGTACCGCAGACGGAGGCGCAGCTCGACATGGTGGTCTCCCACGCCCTGTGCATGCTGGAGTGCGATACAAAGCTTATGAATTCACCTCTGGCAAAAGGCTACCAGTGGTTCCTTTTTATCCACTTCCCGGTTCCCGCGTATTTCCACATTGCTCAAGACCTGAAAAGGAGACCTACGGCAGGACACGTAGAAAGAAGTTGGACAGTCCTGAGCGACAATTACGCCGCTCGCTTTGGAGCCACAAAGAAAATGAATCCATTTTTTGAGTTCCTTGCGCGGATTCTTCTACAGGCTTGGGAGGCACGCGAGAGAGTACTCAGAGACCTCGACAAGCCGCTGGAGCCACCATACATTGTGTCGGACGTTAGATCCAAAATAGGTCAGGGGTCAACTAGATCGGCAGGGAATACCGAGCAGCCTACCAGTTCATCGACGGCGAATATGAACGACAGTTCAATGCCCACCTTCATGGACTTTGGTGGTTATGGCGTCTCGTACGGGCTGGAAGAATCAGGCTTTTTCAGTACGACCTATCCGGGCACACATGGGCCTCCTGCCATGGATCTTGACCTGGACCAAGCCGATTGGTCTACATTCGACTGGTATCCGTTGCAAGGGCGAGGCTGGTAAGGCTGATGCGACTTCTCGTTTTGTTCTGGCCGTCTTCTTGACCTGGGGTTTATACCAGAGGAAATCAAATGCTAACCCAAGTGGCTTTGAAATAGTCGACACTTGACTTTGCCAAATGCCCATGGTAGATATGAATCATATGATAGAGCAAGAAAGTCCACCTAAAGTGGGATAACTGAATATCTGTATCTGTCAGTCTGTGACTAGATATTAGTATTGTAGCAGTCGCATCTTGAACCCTCTCATACCTGAAATGGACTTAGAACATTATCAGAGAGATCAAATAGTGTAACATTACATACTAAAACAACAAGGTACAACCCAAAGTTAAGGTCATCTGAGGCTACGATCCAGACCTTCACAGGAGCTGGCTGCACTTATTGAACGATACCATGCACTTGTGTGTGCCAGGGATCGCACTGCCAGCAAAAGATGCGTGCCCATCCAGTTACCATGCAGATGGCTCGAGACCTGATGGATCGTGGAGAACTGTTGGACGCTCCTGCGCCGCTGTTGCCCTGTTGCCCCGCGGGTCACATCATCACATGACTCTGATGCATTTCCTCCTCTCTGTCTGTCTGGATGTCAAAACTCTCTCTTTCCAACTGGTATATTCTTCAATGACACCATGGCAGCTTATAGTCCTTGCAATCTCCCCTTAGAAATTATTATAATGGTTACAGACTATTTAGAACCTCTAGATCTCCTAAATTTGATTAAGGGCATTCCCTGCGTCGCCCCCCTTCTCAACTCTCAGCATATTCAGGCGCAGGATGAGAATGGACACACCATCCTATATCATATTGTGGAACAAGGGCTTGAAAATCTCATTAAACCTCTTACAAAATGGATCTCGCAGAGCTGGACGCCCCTTCATCAAGCGGTCAGGAATAGTGATGAACGGATGACAAAAGCCCTAGTTAACGCCGGTTCAGATATATCAGCCAAGGATAATAGAGGAAAAACCGCTCTTCATCTTGCCTGCTATGAGGATGCAGTTGAGATTGTCCAGATTCTCCTGGACCACGGTGCAAACCCATCTGCGGTAGATTGTGAGGGGCGCACGCCCTTGCATGAGGGATTTGGACGAAACACAGTTATCCTACAGAAGCTGATTAAAGCTGGCGCGGACCTTAACCCCCGACGGATGCCACGAGGGTTGACCCCCCTTTATTATGAAGCTTGGCTGGGTCGAGAGGACGCTGTTAGAATCCTTCTTGAGGCTGGAGCAGATCCTTCTATTCAAACAGAGACTGGGGAGACCATATTACAGCAAGCAATTAAAGGGTCCCATACGAAAGTCGTGCGGCTCTTGCTTGATGCTGGGGTTGATGTCAATGTGCGAGATTTCCGGTATGGCGTTAATGCTATACTGACGGCTGCGAGTTGGGGAGCAGATGATTGCATTCGACTGCTCCAGAGGGCCGGGGCGGATGTTTTTGCAGTGGATCACCGTGGATGTAACGGACTGCATTTGGCAGCTATGGCGGGCAAGCTGTCAACTGTCCAGCTGCTTCTAAAAGAAGGATTCGACAGCTCTGCAGAAGACGACCGGGGCTACACTCCGCTACGCCACGCAGTTGAAGGGAAAGAAAGGCATTCAGGGTTTATCGATCGGGACTATGAAGCAGTGATCCGAATCCTGGAAGATGTGCATAAATCCCCATTTTTGAGGCTTCTGCATCGGATTCGCCAAATGCTACTCTACAAAAAGAGCTGAAGTGCTACTATATTGGAGCACCGAGTTGGGCTCCTGGGCAGCTTCCCGTCTCTATCTAGACTAGCCTTATATAACTCCTCTCACCAATGTCCGCCAGGAGACCTTTAGTTAGGATCCGGCTGCCCTGCTTGAACAATGTTATACACCGACGCCACTCACACTGTTACTTAATACCATGAATAGGTGACATTCCAGACCCAGTCCGTCTGCGGGCTTTATTCTTTACAAGCTCGCATGTTCAAGTATCATAAGTCGGGGTGTAGTAATTTCAAAATGTGTTCGACCCGGGACAATTGTGCAAAATACTGTGTTCCAGATTCATTCACCAGTAACTGCCGTTATCCCCCTAGCACGGATGCTCTAGTCCATTATGAGGAGGAGAAATAAGGCATAGATGGGGTGCCTTTATCCTGGGAGGCCACTAATCGAAGTAGTACGTAGGAGGAAGAAGATATGATGATCATCTATACAAGAGCCTAGCCACAACCACAGCATTTCAGATCGATAATAGCATGTGGGCTGAATGATTGTTCTTAGTTCAATAAAAGACCGAGACGCATTCTAGAAACCTAGACCTCTACTTGTGGGAAAATAGTGTTTGTGTGAAAATTGACACTTCCGGTCTGCCAGGAAATCACAGATGACCTTGAAACCTTAGGTTGTTACTGGTCAATACCATAGAAAGTCGCATTTCTGGCGAGGGCAAGAGTACTTGAGGGTGTTATTATATATGAACTAGCGCGTATGACACAAAATATAATGTTTTTAAATCATAATAAAGGCACAGGTGCTAGCCTACAGCCACCATCTGGAATCGCCCTGCCCGGGTTCAGCAACCTGCCAATACTGCTCGAAGAGCCCAGTACTCCACTCGCAGGCCGTACCTCCACCTGGTAGCTCGGCACCGCTTGAGGGAATGGCACTGGGAGCCAAGGGCCTTGCTGTGGCCTCTGTGGCTACACTGGTAGGCCCGCATATGGCAGATGCCTGTTCAGTGGACAGATTACATTCTGCTCTTTGGTTGGCTGACACAAAGGGCGAGCACTCTTCGGTGATTTTCGTTGAGTTGGACACCTGAGGAATACCAGTGTTGTGGACTGGGACGTCGGCCACCACTGTGGCATCAAGATCAGACTGCTCACGGCTGTTAGAAGTGGGTGGCGTCCCCTGCATCCGCTCCCGGACAGTCAATGCTTGGGTGCGAAGTTCTTCTATATGCCGCCAGCGACGATCACGGCGGATGTCGGGGTCATTCTTCCAGTGGTGATAAACCTCGTTTGCCGCCCTCCACGCCGTGCCCGATGGGTTCCACGAGGGCCCAAGACAGAGCTCCAGCAGAAGATAGGCCAGCGCATCCCATTCGACGTACGTCTGAAACAGCCACAGCCACCGAGTCCCTCTCTCATATTGTCGCAATCTGGACGCATGGTGGAGGACTTCCTCACAGGCTTTGCCGTAGTCGCCCCGCACAGGCATTACCAGTTTCCGATCCCTTCGCGGCTTGAACACAGCCAGTTTCAACTTGACCAGGATGAGACGAGTGATGGCAGCGGTGACACAGTCCAGTGGTACTCCTTTATCGCAGTATGCCAGGTACTGTTTCTCTATGTGCTCTCTGAACTTGTCAATTGCCTTGCACTTCTGCGTCTCATTCAAGATAGGGTAGGAGTTGCTGCTACAAAATCTATCCGAAAACACCACCCTCCGTGCAAAGCGGCTTACTTCAAACCGGACAAGGCTAAACAGCATCTCCGTCCGTCCCAGTTGAGCCTGGGGGAGCTCGCTCATGTTTGGATCCAGGCTTGCGTCGTTGACGTTGGAGGGGAGTTCGGTGGTGAAGGCTGACTCCATAATACTAGGCTCTACTCCATGATCCTCGGCAGTGCGGACGTCCAGCGTGCAAATCTGCCACCAGAGCCGGCGTCGCATTTCCACCTCGAACGGACGAAGCCCCGTAGCCGCTCCATCAGAATGAAGCCCGATTTTCATAGCGGTCCCAATGGCAACGCCGATGAGCGCGCAAACGTCGGGCCCATTCTCATCGCGTCTGCCGCAGATCTAGCGCAACAGGTGAGTATTACATTGATCAGCTGGGCATGGAGAGAGCAAGTACCAAGTAGAGGCTGAACGCCTGTAGGACCATCATGTCCACCGAATTCAGGAAATTCGCTTTCAGAAGAGCATGCTCGACACCCATGCGATACCTTGGAGGCTTTAGCATAGAAAATCCGAAAGGGGTGCGGAAAACCTACCGGCTCAGTAGCGTTGCCCTCTCCTCGTGAAACTCGCTTTGACACTCTGCCGCAGACATGGCCACAACGGTAGAGTAGTAGATTGCAAATATCAAGCATTCTGTACGGGCATCCCGGATTGGTTGACCGCGAATGAGACTGAAGACATGCCGCTGAACAGTGGGGACATGGAATATCTTGAGAACTGGATCTACTACGTCCAGGTATGTCTGCCAGATGGTCGATATCACAGGGGGAGACGGATGGAGTGGCCCCAGTGGTAGTGAGGGGCCCAGATGAAACGGGAATGAATGTCCCAACCGCCCAGCGAAGGACCGAGGAGGATGGGATGCCGGGCTGGAGCAGCGCAGGTCATGTCTGACTGCCTAATTGTACCTCGTTTAGTGCCTGGTGTGCGGCCTTTAGATAAGTTATTTGTAAAAGAGGCTTACAGAGCCGACCTGATCGCCTTCTTGTTCTTGGCAGTTGTCGGAGGTAATCGGCAGACGATGGCGGACTTGCGCGAGGTCGGATTGCAGGGACTGCAGGATGCACTCCAGTCTCTCTACGCGAGCTAACAGGGGGTCATGGTCGGAAGATACGGCTTCTCTGTCTGTGGGTTTTGGTGGATACGTGCATTCTGTGCGTGTGCGGATGCAGTATGCACATGGCACGGATCGGTCACATTTGATCTTGCGGCGACGACATTCGAGACAAGACCGTCCCGACGCAACCACCCGGCGCGGCATGAGCAGCTTCAGACTGACAATGTGAGCACTTCGACCATTCAGTGTTTGGGATGCGTTATTGCAAATCGAAAATGGCGAAAAGATAGAGTAAGCTGCGGGCCTGGGGCTGAGTTGTGTGGCCTCAAGGAGCCCCTCCGATTGGCTGCAGCGGAGGATGCGGAGGCACCTCCGCTTTGTAGGGTCGTAGGTCCGTAGATATGGTCTTATGTATAGACGCATTTGTCATCGCAGATAGTTAATCAATCGATGATCGGTAATCATCTGGCGAAAGAAGGGTTTGTTTTCCCGAATAACGCCCTCAAATTTTCTGACCTCCTCATGCGTTGGTCAAATAGCATATAAAGATGTCTTCCTGGCCCTTCGACCATTGCTCTCCAAGCACAAAGCAAAGACCACTCTCCAGTTGTCTGCCATCCTATCTGCTAAACATATCAGATTCCCCTTATTGGATTGATTAGGATCGACGATATTAAGCCCTCAAAAAACCAACAACGATCAGAATGGCCGCCTACAAGAACGTTGCCCTCGTCGGTGTATGTGCATCCAGGAATATGATTCTACTTTCGTCAATGCTGACCCTCTTCATTCTGCAGGCTAGTGGAAACATTGGCAGAATCATCCTCCATGGTCTTGTCGCATCGGCCAAATTCAACGTCACCGTGGTATCTCGCAAGGAGAGCGAGGCGACTTTCCCTGCCGGCGTCACCGTCCGCAGGACGGACTTCTCCGAGGCGGATCTCGAGGCGGCATTCGAGGGACAAGACGCTGTCATCTCAGCTGTCGGTGCCATGGGATTTGGTGAGCAGAAGAAGCTTGTCGACGCTGCCGTTCGAGCTGGTGTCCAGAGGTTCCTTCCATCGGAATTCTCCGCTAGTAGCCAAGATGAAGCGGTGCTGCAGTTGCTACCCCTGTTTAGACAGAAGACGGAGCTCATCGACTATCTGAAGACAAAGGAGGCGGAAGGACTGTCCTGGACCGGCCTCGCCACGGCAGGGTTGTTTGATTGGGTATGGCTGAGAATACTGCACTCTCCAATCGTTGCAATACTGACCTCTTGGTTTCAGGGACTCGACAACGGCTTCCTCGAATTCGACATTGCCAATCGTACCGCAACTATCTGGGATGGCGGTAATAAGAGCTTCACACTCACCAATGAGAAACACCTGATCGAGGCTGTGGTTTCCATATTGCAACATCCTCAAGAGACCAGCAACAAGTACCTGTACATTGCGTCTGTTGAGACCACACAGAACGACATCCTAGCCGCGCTGGAGGAGAAGACTGAAACAAAGTGGACTGTCAATGCCACCACTACCGAAGAGCAAGTAAGCGACGGAGTCAGGAAGCTTGGTGCGGGAGACTTCAGCGGTGCGTTGACTCTCGTTCGAGCCACCTGCTTCGCGAGTATTCCGGGTCTGCGGGCGAACTATGCCAAAGATGAGACCTTGGCCAATGGTATTCTGGGCCTGAAGCTGGACTCTGTGAAGGCTACTGTCGAGCGGGTTGTGCAAAATAAATCAAGCTGAGTGGACAGTTGCTTGCACGGGAGGCTTTTATATCATTTCAGGGACACACTCGGCACATAGCCATTGCTTGAATCGCTTCTACAAGTCCTATTTTGATTTGTTGCTCTCTTTATGTTCTGGAGGAAATGCCTACTTTGGCTTCATTCGCTGCGTTACATCCGACTTCGCCATGCCTTGTTTTGTGCCTTTAGAAGCCAGCTCTATTTGCATCCTAAATAGTTAGTCTCACTCTTTATACTTAGGTTAACCTCCTGTAGAAGACTATAAAAACTAGAGAATCTTACGTCCGCATCTTTGTACTCTAGCCTGCCATATCCACAACTGTTTCTTCATGATCGGGATAGGATTAGGGGATTGGGTGCAAAATGAGCATCACCAGTGCATGTTCTGATTTCAATGCCACGGTGCCTAAAGTGCTATCACTATCCTGTGCCCTTTGACTGGCTTGCATCCTAAGCCTGGTACTCTGTTGCTGCCGATGTGTCCATTGGACCATCATCCCTGCCCCTGAGCCCAAGCTTGGAGCAATGCATCTATCCTAATGTTGCACAAGGGCACACCGCCGCATCTTTTCCCTATCGTTGGGTTGCTCGATGACAACTTGGCGTTTGTTTCATTCTTCTTGACCACTTAACACTCTGAAGTTCTATTACGACAGACACCACTGTCGGCCTGATATGGTCGTCTCTTCCCAGAGGTTTTGGTAGCAGAATCATCTTCTGGGCAATGATGACTTGCTATGAGTCTACCACATCCGCCTGCTCCGATCCACCCCTTCTAGGCATATTCCACTTGAGGACGAACGAGCAATTCGTATACTTAAGTCTCGTCATCCTCAGCACCAGTAACATCGTCCTTGATATTAATCGGACCCGCGAACCCTCTCCAAGTCCTCCCCATCAGATGCCGCAGACACAGCAAGTCCCCCTCATCCGGGTAATACAGCCAAGTCGCCCACTTGGCCCACTGCCCTTCTTTCATCTGCGTCCTCGCCCGCTGCCCGATCTTATCCTCGATGAACTCCCCCCGGCGCATCGCCAGCTTCGTCGGGAATACCCTGGCCAGATAATGCGACGTAGAGGCAATATGCGGTTTATCGAACCAGAAAAACAGCGGCGTAAGGGAAATTTTCTTTTCTGGCTGCGAGTGGGTCACAAAATCCCGCTTTAAGGAGGTGGTGAGTTCCCGCAGTCCAGGATGGTCCGTGACATGCGGCGACACCGCATACCGCTTCATCCGCACCGACGGGAAAGAGACATACTTGACAGGCGCGGCGTCATCGCCTTCACTCTCGCTTCCCTGCATGACTTCCAGCAGAGGCTCGAGGGGAATATCCGCCACAAGTGCCCAGTCATGCTGCTGGACCCAGACGTACGGGGTCTCGACCATTCTCAGGGCCGAGCGAACAGCCAGACCGAACCCCAGCCGGGTGACAGGCTCGATGAACGTGATTTTGCAGTCGTCGGTCTGGCTAATGAGCAGCTCAACGCGGCCATCAAAGCCGAATTCGGCCTCTCCATGTGATTGGCTCAACGCTTGGTCTTGGCCGTCCCGCGCATGATGATAAGTCTGCAGAATGAGCTCCTTGATATTACGCTTGTACAGCTCGTAGTTCTCAGCTAGTTCTGGGCTGGCAAGGCCTTTTTTCAGACGCGGCTGGGAGGTGATGCGCTCAAAGGTGTCAAAGACGACGACCACGCGGGCGTCGGTCAGACCAGCACAGTGCTGCTGGAAGGACTGTAAGACTGATGCAATGAGATCTGTAGCGGGGTTTGATGGGGCTGGCGAGGTTGTGATGATCACCGTCAGCCGATCCGATATAGAGGGCATCGGGCTGAAGGTGGAGAGAATGATGATTTTGCGTTGGAGGGGAGAAATTTGAGGCAACAGTGGCGGTCTTGGCGTCTTGGCGGATGTTTGGTTCCAGTTTGCCAGTTGACAGTTAACAATGGAGTGGTGAGTATCGAGAAACCAGTTCAGATGGATAGACAGCAATCCACTCATCGTCTGTGCCAGAAAACGCTTCTGTCCACACGTGTTGCCTCTTTTGGTATTTATAAGAATCTAGTAAATGAAGGAGTCCAAGTGCATGCATTCACTGCGACCACCTTCTCCCATAGTGACATTAAGCCGTCCTGTACCTGTTGCTATACTCCTCATTCCATTCACCTCTCCTTACACGTTGCTATATATCAAGCAGATACGCTACTTCATTGCAGCCTTGCTGCCACTATGTATGGTTCACTAGTGGAGGTCTGTCATATATCAAACCACTCAGCCATAAAGATGTCCAGACAACCATCTCTGGCTAGTACGGATGATGGCAGTAGGGTCAGCACAGCAGGGAATACAACAAGAACCATACAGTCTGTAATACTAGTTGGTAATAAGTAAAAGCTAACTGCTATGCATTACATGACAAACCAGGCACTATCTCTCTCAAGAAATTGCACGTCCACCGACTCATCCACATACTCTTCCCGAGCTCGAATTCTCGCCAAAGATAGGTGCTCAAACCAGTAAATCCCATTCACCGGGCGATTGCACAAGCCCACAACTGCCGGACAAGACTTTCCGCCGACTTTAGGGATCTCGGACAAAATCACGGCATACTGCCTTTTGGCCCACCGCACGTCGTTTGCCGGTAACTGGAGAACAAGCGATTCGCCATCAAGGCTGCTCCCCCGGGCGGCTGGCACTCTACATTGGACCTCGCAGCCATGTTTCAGGGCTCCAAATGGCACATTCTTATTGGCAAAGTCCACCAGGAGCCCAGGATACCGAACTGGAAGGCCAGTCCGGCCGTTCTTCTTTTCGAGAGTGACGGTCTCGCTCTCGTCCGGACAGACCAGCCGAGGGGTCCGAAAGTTGAGCAACGACTTCGGAGCCCACCTGTATCCCGTCTTGTCTAGGCGTTCATAATTGTTGAAGATCAAGGACATGTCAAACGTTCCTAATTGTTCCAAGAAAACAGCCATGCGGTCCCTTGCGAGTTCATCATCTTCAGCACCTGGAACCGCCAGAATTTTGCTAGGGTCGATGTTGATAATCGTCGCCATGCATACGGTCTCATCCGCAAGTCGTGTACTCCTACGTGGTGACAAATGGTGCGCGAGAGGCTCATAGAGCATCCACTTGTCCTCGTCTTGGACTTGCTTCATAAGGTCTCTCAATGCAGAGTACAGGTCCAGCAGCCTTGCATTCGCCGCGAAGGGGAATCCGAGATACTTTCCTGACGTTTCCAGGTGCTCAAGATTATAGGCTTTGAACTCTTCCGCCAGTGCGTTTAACTCGACTGGCTGATCGGCGAACTGTATGTATACTAGGGATGGTAGAAACCCTTCTTGGTGGGTCCAGAGACGCTTGATCCAGTTGGACAGATAGAGACGAGCGACCTTATCCAGCACGGGAGCGGTAGATGGGATTTTCTGGATGAATTTGTCAAGGACCAAGACAGCTTTTGCGTTCGAATAGACATGATGCATATTCTTAATCGCCTCGCGCTTGCGGTCTTTGTCTAATGCAGGGACGCCTTCATACACGCTTTAGTCAGTCTCGAACAGATGCAGACATTCGGATGATGGGTTACATACACAATGTGTCCATCCAAAACCCCACTCCATCCGAGAGATTGGGGTCTGCTGGTGTAGGTTTTCGGCCTTCCCACCGCACATTTTCCACGAGATGCGTGATGCGGTCCAACTGGCATTCTGGAAGCCAATTTGCCGCCCGATTTCCCATGCCGTCAGCCCACCTATTGACGAAAGTGTTTAGCATCTCGCTTCCGTTGAACAGAGACGAGGGACGGGGGAGGATGGGGAAGTATAAGGGACGCAACTTGTGATGGATTCATGACGCTTCCGCAAAGGGGACATTACTCACACATGTGATATAGCCACATAAGAAGGAGTCCTTTTACCACTTAAATGGTATTCCACCGACCAAAGCGTGCGCAGTCCTTTGACCCAAAGCGCAATCGGGATGGCATTCTTATCGATAATTCTTGCGATAGCATCGTCCCATCCCGTCTGGCCTCTTTCTGGTCCCAGCTGTCCGCCATAGCTGATCGTCTGTCCCGTGGGACAGTTGGCCTTATGCCAGGGGGCGATATGCCGCGGGTGGTAAAGCTCTGTAGGGAATTCCTCGAGGCAACGCTGCCTGACACACTTTGAATGTCGATCCAGTTCATCAGGGTGCAACCCAGGAGACGCTGCAATGTAGTAGTGGCCGTCGATCGAGAGGTCCTTTATGATGGTAGTCGCATCAGCGAGACACCACTGGCGCTGTAGACGTCTGGCCAAGATCTCGGAACGAGCCTCCAGCCACGGATTCATCACGCCGATCCCACGGGGATCGCAGACCTTGATCGCTGCGCTGCGGAGGGAGAAGACCATGGCGATCAGAGTCGTAGAGATCTCCTGCCGTACGGGCCACCGCGGAGGCTTGTCGTTTTCCCAAAGACTCCTTTCTTCATCTGGTGTGCAAAAGCAGTCGAGGATCTGTCTGGCCCTCTCAAACATTCGGTTCAGTACCGTCCATGCTTGAGACTTATCCTGTATCCCATCTCTCCATTCCTTTAGCTTACAGGGAAGTTTTGACGTGTTGACAATCCTTATTCGTCTTTGTTTGTGAATGTCACCTTGTGTTGATAACTTGAGAAATTCCACTTCGCCAGGGTCTGTCAGATCTCTAACCTCGAGGAAATCTTCTGTTTTGGCTCTGACACCGCCAACCTTTAACACTTCAATGACCAGTCCGAAGAAGAGCCAGGTCTGGAAGAACTCTTCCACTTTCGAGTCGGTGCCTTTCGATTTGAACCCATTCCCGTCGAGATATCTCTTTTCGGAGGTGTCACCGCCGGGAAGCTGGTCGCTGGTCCAGCCACGTCGCTTAGGAAAGTCTAGAAAGCCTTTGTGATCGTACCACTCGCCGGGAGGAGCGTTGTACGGAGCAACAATGAAGTGCTTTTCTCCTTCGGGTAGGGGTAAATGTTCCATTTTCTTTTCCCCTTTGGTCTTCCTTGGGTAGCTTGGTTTTTCCTTTTGTGGGAGCGCACGGCAAGCAGCGGCTTATATGTATATGATACTCCGTAGCGGGCCAGACTGGATGGTGGCTGGCTGACAGTTCCGTCACTGCAGCTCAGGTGTCTCGTAACATCCCTAAGACCAAGCCACTCTCATCCTATCAGCCCCCAGTATATTTACAGCTCGTCGTGGGTCTGTCTGTTCACGAATCCTGAGTGGAGCTTATGGTCAAACAATCATGCGCCGGCTGCGAATGCTGATGGAAGAGAAGTATGTCGAGTGTGCCTTTGAGACTTGCCCATCGGTAGGTACCACTCCTCGTGAATCACATCAGTATCCGCCCATGACCAATCAAACCGCCGTCCTAGGCGCCTTTGAACTCACTTGTAAAGCGTCGGTTGCCTACCCCTGCAAGAGTACAGGCATCTTTCGGTAAATGTATGACATGCTTTACTATCCTCACGCCAAATATATTCAATCTCGTAAAAGGGAGTCGACCTAGACTGGCTGACGAATCCGCAAAGTCCGTCGATCAAGTTACACCATATCCGGCCCACAGCCATATGAATCGAATAGGCTAGATAAGGCTGACCTAATGCTGATTCTTTAGATTCCCATGCTGATAAGTGGTCAGGTATATATATATAGATGTATCTGCACCACTTTTATCTTAAGTTATGTGACCCACTCTACCCCATAAATTAAGCTTATTTACTTATATGATAGTGACTATATAATCTTTATACAGTGGTACCATACTATGGAATATGATATACAGATATCCTGGTCTTAGAGCTATAATAATAGGAAGACAGAGAGAAACCCGAATCCTACTTGGTATGGAGGGTTTAATTCAAATTAATCGAATACGAAACTGCACCCCCGTCTCGAACAGACTCATTGTTTTTAAACACCCTCATTTGGCTATTTGTGGACAGTATCTGGATCAAACCCTCCTTCCTGTGGATGGCCTATCGATGCGGCTGGCCAGCAAACCCAACCAAGAACGCGTCCTGGGCATTGAGCTCACGCGCGAAGGATTCGACTGGGCGAAAACGGCATTCCTGTCTCTCACATCTTCTGGATCAGACGAAGACGCAGAGAAAGGCGAAGTGGCAGGAGCGGTTGTTAAGTAGCCCGGTGCGGGTGCAGTGGGATCCGGAGAGGTACTTTGAGTCTAGATTGGATTAAGAGTCTGTTCGGGCTGAACTGAGTTGAAGAGCGGTGGATGAGTATGTGGATGAGCGGATTGCTGGGATTACGGACGCAGAGTTGAGGGGGATTCTGGTGACTAGTAGATGAGCTGCAGAGGTAGATATCCCAGTTATTGTAATCGATGTAATATCAAATGGGCGTCTTTCCCTCAGAGTAAGACTATGTATATCACCATCAACTTGGTCAATCACTTTAGCATAGAATGAAATGTGGTTACCACAGTCATTGAGGTAATTATGTCGGGCTCTGGCTAATTATCTTCCTCCTCTAGCGTCTAGAATACGTACCCTGGCGAATATAGCGTGAATAAATACATGGTTTCTGGTGGGTGGATATTCAGATCCATTTCCATTTCTCGGGTAAGGCGGCAGGCTTAGGGTTACCACAAATATCACTGTCATGACACCGGATTGCATTCTTCTGGGCCTTTGATAATCGTATTTTATGAGGAAGGTTATATATCGGTTATTTAGCATCCTTAAATCAACCAATGCTAATCCAATCATACCCCCACGTGGAGATCGACATGCGGAGATTCTGTCAACACGAGCCTGTTTAACGACACGACTCGCCTAATCGGGTCAATCAATTGCAGAGTACAAAGATATGCTAGGCCCAGTCCTCTGGCACGTGCATGATTATCTCATCGCCAGTTCGTAGAAGACCTGCCACAATCCCTGCCTGTCAAGCATGAATATCTGAGTAGAAGCAATTCCTCAAGATGAGGGGTATCTATTCTATTGCCTGGCTTGTTCCTGTCCTGGAACTGGCCGTGGCTGCCAGAGCACCCATCAAGAAGACCCTAACCGGCCATATTGACCCTGTCCAGGTCTTCTCCTTTGTCTATGTGCCATTTGAAGTGGAAGTCGGGACAACATCTATCTATGTCCTACAGAACTACTCGAACAAAGGGCAGGGAAATGCCCTTGATATTGGGATCTTCGACCAGCGAGGGTACCAGATGATGGACGCACAGAATGGCGCCACGGGCTCTCGAGGCTGGTCCGGTGGTTTCAGGTATGTTCCCCCTCAAACCCATCTTACTGGTCTCCTATCTGACAAGGCAGAAACAACTTCACCATCACACCCTCCTGGGCCACACCCGGCTACAACCCCGGTGCCATCGAACCAGGCACCTGGAACGTCGTCCTTGGCCCGTACACATCCGTCCCCGAGGGTATCGACTGGCAGCTCGACATCCAAATGTCCTTCGACCTCGTTGACTCGTGGTTCTCCCCCTACTACGCCACCACCAGCCTGGACCCCCTCTGCAACGGCTGCCAGGAAGTCTCGGCATGCACCTGGCTGCGCGGCGACTTCCACATGCACACCGTCTACTCGGACGGCAAATACACGCCAGATCAACAAATCCACAACGCTCTGGCCCGGAATCTCTCCTTCATCTTCTTCAGCGACCACAACACCGACACCAGCAACCAGATTATCGGCGCCTACCAGGCCTCTCTGGCCCCGGATCTGCTCATCGGCCGCGCCATTGAGGTCACCACCCGCTACGGCCACTGGCAGGCCGTCGGGCTCGACCGCGGCCAGATCATTGAGTGGCGGTACCAGCCCGATGACAACCCCGGCTTCGCGGCCGCCGCGCACCAGGTCCGCCGCGTGGGTGGCTTCGTCTCAGCCAACCATCCCTTTGCAACTTGCCCCGCATGTAACTGGAGTCTCGGGTGGGAGGAGATTGAGGCGGTGGAAGTGTGGAACGCCCAGTGGGACGACCAGGATCAACAGGCGGTCCAGAAGTGGCAAGAGCTGCTTGTAAATGGGAAATTCCTGACCGCCATTGGAGGCAGCGATTCTCACTCGCCCCCGTCGTTGAACGGGTGGCCGACTACAATCGTCAAGGCGAGGGGACGTAGTCAGGCTGCGATTGTGGAGGGTGTCAAGGCTGGCCGGGCGTATCTGGTTCAAGGACCTGGTATGGACCTCGCGTTTGAGGTGCGCGTTCCCTCGCTGGAGGCTCCCGCGCAGATTGGTGATAAGCTCCGGAAGAGTGCTGCCGGGGCCAGGGCTGTATTGGTCACTGAGGGGCTGTCGAAGCTCAAGGCTTGCCTTATCTCGGATAAGGGGTACTTCTATAATACTACCATTAAAGATGGAATACGGATTAAGAAGGTTGTGCCTCCTGGCGCCAAGTTTGTTCGGGTGGAGGTCCGCAATGGCACGACTGATGAGGTGCTGGCCTTGACCAACCCGGTTTGGTTCTTGGGTTCTTGATATACATGTCATAATACATAATAACGTTTTCCTTTGTACAGTGATTTCTGCCATGATTCTAAAATGTGCTCGTCAAAGGCTGGAAGATGGTGTCAAGTCTGCCGGAATGAAATCCGAGATCGAGGTGCAGGCGGATGGAAGGGCCATGGGGACGGCCCAGAGTCTATTGCATCCTGATAGACATGGAAATATGCTTCAGTAGGGGAATACTCCGTGGCTGACAGTATTGTCATCTTTAGCCACATTATGTACACTCTTCATCCAGACCATCGTCCATTCTTTCTCAGGGACACAATGCTCTTCACCAGCCTAACCCCAGTAACATTAATCGTCGCCCTCGCGACCTCAGCCCTAGGCGCATCAAACATCAAACAGACCGTCGACGGCATGACCGAAGACTGCTATGCGGCAAAAACTGCGTGCTGAGAATATCAGATGACTGCGTCCAGGGTTGCTGAGCTTGATGACGCGTTCGATAGTGCTCACCAGGGGTTGGCTGCTTACTGGTGGGCGACCGCGATCGGATAGGATGATACGTGCTGTGTTATTGTATTGGAGCTACTCTTGCTATCTAATTTAAGACTTAAACCTCTGCTAGGGACAGTACCAGAAGCAGAGGGCAGTTTGTCCCGACCACAACATGGTAGCGTGCGCATTGACATATCTCCGTTGACAGTGTATATCTGCCGTAGGTTTCGTAGGCAACTTGCCAACTTCATGGCAGACAAGGCCAAAATCGGATACCAGTGTGTCTCTATTCTGTGCAGCTGGTGGTGTCCACCTATCGCGGCAGCGTAACCGTTGCATCAGGCAATATCCCCGAGGCCCCGCTAGTCAACCCAACTGGCACGCCACAGAAACAGACCAGAGAATGGCCGTTGCAATCTTCAACCGTGCCCGCGAGGTGTTCCAGAGTCCTGTGATGGTGGCCGTCGTGAGCGGGGAGGAGTACTTCCCGGCCCCGAAGTGCAGACCTACGAAGAGATCAGAGGTATATGACGATCTTCGATCTAGCTTGTACGTGAAATATGGGAGTGAAACCGGATCGCATCGCGGTTCTGGACGACCATGGCAGGGTCTTTAAGACAGATGGGCTGCGGGTTACTGATGCCAGTGATTTTCAATTCTGCCTCGGGACATCCACAGGCTACTGTTTGTAAGTGGCTTTTGTATTACGAATGATGACTTAGGGGCAGCGCTGACCCAAACCGGCGCTCATGTCGCCAGAGAAATTGGCGCATCCGACGATACAGGAATATGGCAGAGCTAGAGACAGAGGATGGATGTTGATCTGGAGCAGTACCGAAGTGTGACAAACAGAAATAAAGGCTGGAAAGAATGTCAGCATACAGAACATTCGGTGGATACTAAAACCCACTGTTGATGGAAGCGACCATCTCGTTCTGTGTACATCACATGCTGTTTGTCATTCTGTCCGCCTGGTGAAATGTAGTCCGTTCAGTCTAGTTGACACAGAACCAATTATGCTCATGCCCGATTCCATCATCTGAGACAAGTGAGCTGAGCAAATCTTCTTCCATCTTCCATGACAAGTATCCGGGAGCCAGTTCGCCAGGAGCCCAAGAGCGTGACTGTTCTCGACACACTGTTCCCAGCATGCCGAGACTAGGATTTATATAGACTTGTCGTAGAAAAAATATGAAGGAGCCATTATCGCGAGGCATTGACGGCAATTATTCGATGTGTATGTCTAACAGCATTGATCAAGGCTTAGTTGACCATGACTCGAGTCGTAGGGTCCAGTGTTGATTAGTGGTTAGTGATTATGACTGTCTGACCGTCAGCAGGATTATTAGAGTCAGTGGCTGAGCTATTTATTTCGATTACTACGATGTCTTACAATGTTTCTCGCCACAATTATTGATTAGCCACGATTACTGACCGTTGGGGGACATCCGAGCGTTGTCTCACTTTTACCATGGATGGGCGGTCTATTTTTACCGCGCCAGGATTGATGCAACCCGGCAGCCACCCCATGACAGCTGCACCGACCAAACGTTAATCACGAACGGCATTTTTCGAAGAAGAATCTATGCAGTAACTGCCTTGATGATCTCATGGTTCTCGGCTCCAGAGAACCGGGTGGAGCGACTAGGCAACACCTGTCTCGCCGGACTATGAATAGCTTCGCCGGTGGTCAATAGTTCCGTCTATCGGTGAACTGGTGGAGGCCTAACTCACCTCAAACTGGGATGTACCAACTTACTCAACCGATCATACCGGCATGAGGCGTGTGGATGTAGTATCCACGTGGAGAACCCTATAGTAGTTGTAACTACAAAGCTAGGAAAACTTCAGTATATAAACATGGCTCCCACACTGGCTCGGGATATTCTTCCCGTCAATAGATCAAGTTAGTTTCTTGCAGTCAGAGAGGTTCAAAATGATAATGCACTCCTTGCTATTTGTCTCTGCCCTCGCAGGCTCTACGCTTGCCTTTTCTGGCCACCACAGCTTCACCAACTCGACTATCTCTCACCACTCATCCACTTCTACTCTGCTTCCTACAGGCGGAGGAGGTGGTAAGCCTACTCATCCTGGTGGCACTGGCACTGGTACTGGCACTGGCACTGGCACTGGCACTGGCACTGGCACTGGCACTGGCACTGGCACTGGCACTGGCACTGGCACTGGCACTGGCACTGGCANACTGGCACTGGCACTGGCACTGGCACTGGCACTGGCACTGGCACTGGCACTGGCACTGGCACTGGCACTGGCACTGGCACTGGCACTGGCAATCCTCCACCTACAGTGACCGTTGTCCCTGGCGGTCCATCTGGATCCATCTCAACCGTCACTGAGACCATCACCAAGACAACGTTCAAGCCCTGCTCGACTCCTATCCACACCCAGAGCGGCACCACCTACTACAGCACCTGGTTGACGACCTCTACCTATGAGACAACCACCTGCTACACCACTCAGCTCCCCACAGCGATCCCACCGCCTCCCCAGACCACAACCGTCAGTCTACCCGGTCCAGGAAACGTCTGCCCCCCTCCATCCACGGTCACCGTAACCGTCACTGTAGGAGGCGGCAGCGGCAGCGGCAGCAATCCCCCAACGCACACGCAGGCACCAGCACCCGGTGGAGGCAGCGGAAGCGGAAGTGGTACTGGTCCCGGACACTGCAAGCACTGCGAGACCATCACCTACACCAACACATACGGATACACGACCACTATCGTGATTCCCCCGATCTCGGAGCCCACGAGCACTGAGACTGCGCACCCCACGGAAACGGGAACGACTACCAAGCCTACTCCCCCTGTTGGCACCGGTACTGCGCCCAGTCACAGTCACACTCGGCGACCACCGACTGGCACCGGGGGCGAGCAGGCTCCTACTGAGACGAAGACGTGGCACTTTGAGAGGAGGATGGTGAGGGTATAAGACATACAGGGAATGATATGGCTGTTTAAAGAAATGGTGCGGTCTCTATCACTCTGCAATAATCTAACCAAATAGCATGGGGCTTGGTGAATTGTTTAGCGGCTGCGTCTCTTTCTGCACTTGGACATATTTTGTCTTCATTTATCTCGGACAACAGAACAGCACTGCATATAGATTTGTCACGGTAATGGCGGTCACTTGAGTACTGTGTCAGCTGGTAAATATAGGCTTATATTCCTTCAATTCTCTTAGTTCCTTGACTGGTATATGTGAACTGTTGTCGCTCATGGCTGGCCAACTATGCGCTGCAAACTCCTTCCTGGACTCCTTCACTAATATGGCCAGTCCACCTCCCAGCCAGCGTACTTAGTATTGGTTTGGGGAGCTTCGGGTATGTCTCCACATTCACCACAGACACTAGAATACAGTCCATTAGCCAGACCGGCCCTGGACGTCAGTTTGAGCTGCTCCGCCGGCTGTGCTCACCTGCTCTGCAGCGCATGAGCTCTAGTGGGTTCCTTTGGACCTTTACAGAGGACCAGTGACAGTAGATAAAGGGTTGTGGCAATGTGTACACCATCAAAGAGAATAGCTTAAGGAACTCTGACTTCTAAAGCTCTGCAATAATATATATCTACAGATTGTATAGCAAGGGCGGAGAAATCTATCATGATTACTCATAGATTACTCATCACCAGAGGGCTCCACTTTTTTCCGTTCCGAGTTCCGAGGGGGCTTACCGTACCGTTACATTGTGACCCACCATTCACAGAGGTGGCGGCCTGAATGGTGCCCGAGTGGTAAGGCAGCAGTATTCTTCCGCCCTCTCAAGTCCCTGATGCTTCATGATTTCGTGAGGGTTAGTCATGTATGGGTCATTCAATGTCATGCATGAATTCTGCCGATCACATTATTACATCTTGGGATATGTGTACCTGGTATATATAAAATTCTAGTCGGCAATGTTGCCCCTCTGAAGAACCGAATCCGGGGCGGGATCTCTCCCTCATAGCGGGTCTCTCGTGTTTCCTCCTGGCGATTGGTGCACTTGAAGAAAAACTATACAGACTGACCCACCTTGCACCAGACTTGACGTAGTGGGCGGGCTATTGATCCTAGGGGTTTTCTAACCCAATAAATATAAGCTACTCCCTGACGAGAAATTTATCGCTCGTAGTCCTGGCGTGTTGGTTTCAATCAGGGATATAGACTGCACAATGAATGCAGCAGACCATGCAATCGAGCGCGCCGAGGAGGATGCGAATCCAGTCTCCTCCTCGCGCGAGAGCCTCGATTCCTCCTTCACTTCCAGCAGCGAAGGATCCCAGCCCCGGCTGCGGACAATGTACTCGCGACGCACCGAAACCGACCTCGAGCGGTATCAGACCTCGTCGCATGTCATAGATCGGATCGAGACCCAGCGCCTGCAGCATGCGCACACCGTCGGAGAGAGTATCAAGACGCAGAGCCGAGCGTCTGCCCTCCGACCTCTCCCCGCATTCGGCGCCGGCAAGCCCTATCCCCCCCAATTGCCCAATCGGGAAGACTATGTGGTTGAGTTCGACGGGGAAGACGATCCGCTATACCCTCAGAACTGGAGCACACGCCGAAAGTGAGTTTTTGCTTCCCTTCGCCACCCACGACGTGATGTGGTGACGTTGATTTTCTTAGCATTTCGTGACTCTGTATAGACTCTGCACCGGTGCCATCCTCGCCTTCACGAGTATCTGCTCGACCTTCGACTCGGCCGTCTTCTCCAGCTCCACCAGCAACGTCGCGCGCGTGTTCGGCGTCGGCGTCGAGGTCGCCACGCTGTCGAGCTCGCTATATATCCTAGGCTACGCCTGCGGGCCGCTCGTCTGGGCGCCCTTCTCCGAACTGCAGGGCCGCCGGCTGCCCATTCTCATCGGGATGCTGGGCTTCGGGATCTTCAACACAGCCGTGGCCGTCGCAAAGGACCTCCAGACTCTACTAATCTGTCGCTTCTTCTCCGGCGTCTTCGGCAGCTGCCCGCTCGCCGTCGTCGCGGCCATCTTCTCCGACATCTTCGACAACCGGTCCCGCGGCGCCGCTATCGCCATGTTCTCCAGCATGGTCTTCCTCGGGCCCCTCCTCGCCCCCTTCATCGGCGGCTTCATCAACATGTCGTACCTCGGCTGGCGCTGGACCGCATACATCCCCGCCATCATGGGCTACGCCGCCCTCATCCTCAACTTCTTCTTCCTCAAGGAATCCTACCCGCCCGTCATCCTCATCTACAAGGCCGCCGAGCTGCGCCGCCGCACAAAGAACTGGGGCATCCACGCCAAGCAGGAGGAAATCGAAATCGACCTGCAGGAATTACTCGTCAACAACTTCTCCCGCCCGCTGCGCCTGCTCGTGCACGAGCCGCTCATCCTCGCCGTCACCCTCTACCTCAGCTTCATTTATGGGCTCTTGTACTGCTTCCTGACGGCGTATGGCCTCGTCTACCAGGGCGTGTACCACATGAACGCCGGGATCGGCGGGTTGCCGCTCTTCGGCATGGTCGTCGGCCTGTTCATCGGTGGCGGCTATATCATTGTCTTTGCGAGCAGGTCCTACAACAAGAAGCTGCAGGAGAATGCCGGCGTGCCGGTGCCGGAATGGCGTCTCCCGCCGGTGATTGCTGGCGGGGCGCTCTTCGCGGCGGGCATCTTCTGGTTCGGATGGACAGGGTTCACGGCCGACGTGCCCTGGATTGCGTCGACGCTTAGCGGGCTCTTTACGGGGTTCGGGCTGTTGATTGTGTTTATTCAGTTGTTCAATTATCTGATTGATACCTATCTCATGTTGTAAGTGTTCTCCCCTCGGCTTACGGAGCGTTTCTTTCTGACGAGTACAGTGCGGCCTCGGCCATCGCGGCAAATACGTTCTGTCGGTCTGTGCTGGCAGCTAGCTTCCCGCTGTTTTCGCGGCAGATGTTCAATAATATGGGCATTCAGTGGGCTGCGACGCTGCTGGGGTGTGTTGCGACCGCTCTGGTGCCTATCCCGGTTATCTTTTACCTGTATGGGAAGCGGCTGAGGATGAAGAGTCGGTTTGCGCCGACCTTTGAGCTGGATGAGGCAGCGCATGCGCCGACGGAGATGACGACGGAGATGACTGAAAACAAGGGGGGGGATAACGCTAATGGGCAGACGGAGACGGAGACGGAGGAGAGACCTCGGTCGTGATCTTGTCTTCTGTCAAGATGTAAATAATATTTCTAAGTATATAACAGAATCTGTGCTTAAGGTATATTCTTGATCCGATAGATCTAGTATTCGACCGTATTTCTGCATGCTGCTTCTGTGTATTCCTGTATTTCAGGTTAAGAATAGAGCTTGACCTGAAGGATGCCGACGGTAGAGACACTGAGCAGCTATAGAATTACACCAAATGAGGCAGTACTATGCTGCTGTGTCCTGCTCTAGTGTATCCAAAGTAGCAAAGAGACAACCAGACCAAGTCGACAAGTCTCATATCTCAGAACCAGGTAGTCTCTGTGTCTCTGCATTGGACTATGACTTTGCGAAAGACACATATTTTGTAATAACGGATAGCATCTGCATGCCGTTATCAAATCATGTATTCCTCTCTATTGCTTGGTCCGGTTGTACCAAATGAGACAATGCTTTGTTTGTATGTCTTTGTCTTAATGGCTTCCCTTGGGCCGATTTTTCAAGACATGCTGCGGGACAATGCCTTTGTCTGTCTCTCTACGGCATGATATGGAGAATTCCTTGTTCTGGAACAGAGACAATTAATTCCTTCTAGCTTTGTGCTATCACGGACCTCCGCCAACTGTTAATGAGGATAAAGACGCAGTAGAAGATGTCTTATACAACGACGACAGATGGAAGACATGTACAACATCATTTCGGTTTGTTGAAGAGTGCATGTCTTGTATATAATGGAAAAATTGAGACATTGGAGGTGAGCAAAGTTATATAAAGACCGTTATTTCTCTACAACATGACCTATTCCATCTTCATCATCTCCATCGTCTCTCTTCTTCCTCATACAACATCATTAGTATTCCTGTCAGACCTCTTCAGCTTTCCAAACATTCCCCTTTGAAAGATCGTCCATGCCAACCCCCGCCAACAATCAAATGGCGAACGAATCTTCCAGACGTCGTTCGTTGCTGGAGCTCCCTGCGGAAATCCTGCAACATACCTTGGGTTTCCTCGACGAGGAAGAACTACGTCGCATCGTGCGAGACGTGGAGGACCTCGCCTCGCACGCCAAAGAGGTAATCAAACTGCGTTTCAGAGAGAAAAATACTTACACCCTTCCAGATGAGGCCGCTGTTCTCGAGCGCCACGGGGGCAGTCTGCCCGCCAACGTGCTTCCGACCAACCACCTCAGACATCCGTGTGAAGTCCCCTTCATTCGCATCCCCGACACCATTGCCGGCATCATCAGGACCAACAACCTTGAGATCCTGAAGGTGCTGGTCGAGGCCGGTCTGGACCTGATGTCCTTCAGCTTGAATGGCTGGCGCCTGCTAGGTCTAGCTCTCGCATGGGGTAACGACGCCATTGCCAAGTACCTCATCGACAAGATGAAGCCCGAGGACCTGCTGTATGGCGTGTGTCGCGTCGGAAGACGGGGCGAGCCGCCCAACTTCCTCACCTTGGCCGCGTACTACAGCGCCGACATCTTCTGCAGGATGTGGCAGCGAGTCCGCGGTCTGACAAACTGGCAGGCCCAAGTCACCGAAGTGGCTCGCTACCAGCTGTGCAGACACGCGGATGCGCTTCTGGCCTGGGACCTCGCCGAGGACGGGGTAGATATCGCAGTTTGTCTGCTGCCGTTCCTGGGGAGAAATGCCTGGCATGCGGCCGCCGAGTCCAACGATAACATGGACTTCTTCGAGTACCTGTACGGCCGCATCCCCGAGGCGATCAATAACGGCAGCGCGGAGAACGGACGCACGCCGCTGATGATCGCAGCCTCAGAGCAGTGGCATGATCGCACCAATCCGATCAGATGGATGCTCCGCCATGGAGCTGATCCTGCGATAGAGGTTGGTGGGAGAACCGCGGCTTGGTTTGCGAGCGCGGCGCATAACTTTCAGTTGGCTAGTTTGCTTTCCTCTTTCTCTTCTCCGTACTCTGAGTCGCTTCGGGGCTGATATGTGCAGGTTACTCCAAGAATACCCAAAAAGGTACAGTATGTCTTGAAACTGGTGCGACCAACTACACTCTTTGATTGTTTCCCAAACCCTAAGGCAAGTCACACTAGTCTAGATAGGGTAGCTCCAGAATATCAATATTCCAGTCACTGCATCAATACAGCGCGTTACTTTCGTTGCCATAAGGTATGTTGCTATGTCTCGTAGTTGAACAATCTGTACGGAGTAAGCCTAGGTGACGACGGAAAGGACATGATTGTGCGCGGCTTTTGAGCCAGAAACTGCGGCCTTTCCACGCCGTGAATTGCTGCTTTATGAGAACTGGTTGACCTTCCTTAGTTAGTCCTAGCTACACTGGCAGTGTACGCGCTAGAAGGGGCGCTAAAACCACTACACTCAGCCCGGGTTGTGTAACAGCGTTTATCCCTCGGCTTCTGCCATTATTTAACGTTATCCACTGCTGCCTATCTTTTAATGGTGAATTTCTCTGCTTCCAAGATAACCGGCTCACTGGAAGTTCTGCTCCACTATAACAGCATGGCTGCATTCTATCTTTTCCCCCGTCTCCCCTTTGAGCTTCGCGCGCGAATCTGGGAGTTGACAGTTGAGCCGCGCACTGTTGAGGTCCGTGGTAAGAGAGAGCATGGGTTGTCATGGCGCAAGCTTCTGCATGTAACCTCATCAACACCGGTACCTGCAGTCCTTCAGGCCTGCCATGAAGCCCGAAACCTGAGACTATACCAGCAGGCCTTCATCTTCCCCTCAGCAGTTGAGCGGCGGTATGTCTGGGTCAACTTTGATATCGACATGATCTCAATTGGGGACACAGATTTCGACACAATGGATCCGGCTGAACAACTGCTGATCCGCCGGCTTACCATTCAGCGCAAGAATGAGTTCTTCTTATTTGAGTCCTATCACCTGTTTTCTAATCTGGCGGAGATGCATATCATCTGTGAAGACGGCCTGATGGCATGGCAGGAGGCCTGGGAAGCTGTTCCCTGGCCATGTCCCAAAAAAAATCTGAGGTTCATTGACAAGGAGACGGGGCAGATTGCAGTTGGTGAGGACCTGGATAGTATGGTGGCTGAATGGAAGGAACACTATACCACTTCTAGTAATTCGCCGTCACCGCAGACAACGGAGTAGTACTGCAAACAAGTCACAGGGGCACGTGCGGGGAAAAGCGGCTCCTTACTGTTCCATTTCCGGGTTCGGCTGGTTCGGGGCGTTGGAGCTCCGGCCTGAGCTTAACTACTTACCTGCGCCACGCGACGCAACCGCCTTATATAGACTGGCTAGGTAGTTCTATGTCAACATTGTCATCAAGGGTCCAAAATGAAGGTCATCATCACTGGCGCCACTGGCTTCGTCGGTAGTGCCGTTGTGCGTCAATGCATTGCCAATGACGCCATCACAAGCGCCCTGATTCTGACGCGGAAACCGTTACCAAGCGACATCTCTGACAATCCCAAAATCACTGTTATTATTCACGAAGATTTCGAAAGCTATCCGCCAGAACTCATGGCACAGCTCAGGGGTGCAGAGGGCTGCATATGGTGTGTTAACAATGATAGGCACTGACTATGAAAATGTTAATATGGGTGAACAGGACAGTTGGAGGGCCAGCGTACCGTTTCCCTGATGTGGCAACCTGCAAAAAGGTGCATGACTTTGCGCTTGTTGCCGCGAATGCCTTTGCGGACAACTTAGCCCCCGCGCTGAACGGAAAGAAGTTCAAGTTTGTCTTTTGTAGTGGGATGGGGGCGGAATGGGATCAAACGAAGCCATTGTGGTTCCTGAAGGATACCCGACGGATTAAGGTTAGTGACATCCGTTTGCCATCAACTTTGGGGATTCAGGGCTGATACTGGGCAGGGTTATGTTGAGAAGCAGCTGGCTGCCATTGCGGACGATGAAAGGGGCGTATTCGCGGTCTCGTGCATTCGGCCAGGCGGGGTCTTATCCTCCACAGCAAATGTAGTGGAGAAGCTGTCCGCAGCGATAATTCCCTGCATTGAAGATGACCATCTCGCGAGGGCTATGGTCAAGGTCCTTCTTGACGAAAATTCTGGGCGAATCATCGAGAATGCCGAGTTGCTGAGGATGTGAATGAGGTCCTTACGGAGTAATGTGTTTACCTCTCAATACGTCCTCGTAGGATTGACTGGCTGACCGTCTCATCGAGGTTTCAGGATGTACTGTATTCGGTTATGTTTTCTCACCCAGTTTAGGTTTGGTCTGGTTTTGATTTCACTACTGGCTTATATCGCAAGCCATATCATCTCTTAATATTGATTCCTCTTGGAACATCTTCGTCAAGTTATAGACCGTAGCCCATGTAAGCGTAGAGCGTAGAGTTGGGGCAACCTGTAAACAGAGAAAGTTCCATTAATATCCGAGATGACTCCAATTGGTTGTCTGATCATTGAATCGTTGCCTCTGTGGCTGCAGAGGGAGCTAGAGTATATTACAAAGGTTACTTTGAATGGCTATGCTACTGCATTGCCATCCATTCATACCTGAAGCTACACAGCCTGCTCAGGGTACTGAAGCCATCACGGGTCCCATTGCTGAAGGTACGGCGCCTCCTGGCCTGCTCAATTCTGCAAGACGCCTCTTTATCCTGAAAGGGAAATCACTCGTGAAAAAGCGCTAAAGCACGGGATGAATATGGATTAAGCTCCACAGCCAATCTGACGCGGAAGTTTTCCGGATTTATGATTGATATCCGTTTCGTGCTTCAAGTATATGTGATGGTGGCTGGTCTAAGCAGAGCCCTACTCCCCAGGCGGGACAACCATCGCTTACATACACTCGAAGGGGTAAAGCTTGTCAATTAAATCGCCAATCGGCAACATCTGCCATGAAGATCGGGCTATTGAGCCTTTTGCCCTGCGGAGGCTGAGCCTACTCAGCCGATCTCGTTTTGCCAATAGCCTTGATTCCTGCGCCCCGCCTTTCGTCATGACCACATGGCAAGTGCCCATGACAGATAAACAAGAGCTACAGAGTAGATATAAGACTCGGAATTCAAGACTGCTGTAACAACACACAACTTTCTGGCAACCATCGAATTGACAAAATGGAGGACCCTAACGGCTGGGAGATCTACGCATCTTCAAAGCAACTGGGCCGCAGCAACTGGAGATCCGTCGCGGCTAGTCTCGGCCGCCAGCTGTCCACTACGCCCGAGCATTTGTCCAGGGTCTTGTATATTCCCCGCCATGACGGTACGACCTCGCATCTGCCGTTATACGATGTTAGTTCCCAGTACTTCGAGGCGATTGGTGATGCGCCCATCGGATCTAGCAAATACGCCGTTTGCTTGGGGTTGATGAAGCGGCCCAAAGGCGACGGCACGGATCACGTCCCTGTGGCGTATATCGTCAATTTTACCGCAGGCGACAAGGACAAGGTCGTCGGGACGGTGGAGTATCGTGTCCAGCCGGATTCAACAGTGACGGAGAATGCTGAGGTGGAGTTGTATGTTTTTCTTCAAAGTTAATACGCAAATCGCTAATGCTCTCAGGACAATCGGCAATGCCGATGAAGAAGCTTGCTCGATCAAAATAAACAGCGATAGTGCACAGCCGATTGAGCCAGTCACTGTCGGCGTTTCGTACCCCATTCCGCCCTCAGAGACCAAAGTCGGGAAAGTTAAGCATCCTTACTTTCATTTCCGGATGCCTTTCGAGTCGAAGATTGCCCAGTTCGAGTGGCAAACCCATCCAGTCGAGCATGGGCCGCTGCGATATACCCTCGTTCGCATGCCGGGCGAGGAAACCACGGATGAGAGCAGCACTGAGCCCGAGGTCGACGTGCATGCAATCTACCACCACATCGGGCTGGGCGTGTCGATGAATGTATCGCATAGCGAAGGCGTACTTCTGCTACCGCCGTGCACAGACCCCAAGTCCGAGGCGATGATTGTAGCGAGTGTGCTGGGGATGCTCAGGCGAGTGCGTGGTCTGGATGGAGAGAAAGGAAACAAAGAAGTGAAACACAAACGATTTGGGTCGGTAAGGAAGATACTCAAGGGGGGAAATTAGGGGAAAGGGGGAACTGAGGGAAACGAGATTATGATGATTAAGAAGTTGATATTTAATGAAACTGCTTCGTCTATGAGAAAACGGACCTGAATTATTAGGGAGGCGCAGTTCCAGGCATAACTCTATGTTTAATACCTAAACTGACACCTCACAGTGTCCTCTTGGTTGACCCATTACACCAAATTAAAGCCTTATTCCCCCATATGTTCCGATCAACTAATCACTATCTTTGCTAAACGGTGATACTGCGCTTGAGTAGCCTCTCAGGTAAGGAGAAGAACGGCCTCAATAAAGGAGCATCTAGATCCTAGAGAGTAAGCTCCTTAATCATAGAGGGAAACACCTGGTACACAAATCACTCCATATTCACGCTGCAGTTATGATGCGCCCAGGCTTTATACAGAGCTTGCAGAAATAAAGCCATTGACTTTAAGAATCTCCAGGTGTGCAAAGTCCTATAGCGTCAAAACACCCGCTTAGAGATTATTACCGTCTGGAAACTCAATGCTGGCCGTGAAGGTGAGCTCATTGATGGAGTTCTGAACGTGCTGCAAGGCGCTATAACAAAATTTACTTTGCAATGGCTATGMTAATACATGCTAGCCATGCGTACCTGAAGTAACACAGCCTACCTTAGTACTTTAGCACAATGTCTGATTCCTGTTAGGAAATAGTAAGAAGTGGATCTGCCCCGCACTGGCGTCTGGATTGAAACGATCAGCCAATCAAAAACATGAGTCAGCATGAGTCATTTTGGCTCATTTCTTGGCATTGTTGAGTCTGAGGCTAACCGTTTCCGGCAACCGGGCATTGGCCAATCAGATTATGTTGTCGTTTGGATATTGAGATGGGATAATAGAGAGATACAGGATGAGTGAGGATGATACAGGATGATGTTGATGATAATGAAGCTGAGATAGATTACAATCTTAGTTGAGCATGCTGGTCATTTCGACTCATCATGAGGATAAATGATGGTTGTAATAAGAGATACAGACAATGGCATATAATGTGGCTGTCAGAGGAATAGTAGAAGTAGAGATGGAAGCATTGGATATTGTGCTTCAGATGGAAGACTAAATTGATAGATAGTTCTGGTAAGTCATCCACAGTACCCTTATACTGCCTCTCAACCAAGAATGATTATACCCTCTGAGCTGATATGCGTGGCATTCTGAAGCTCTTGAAGATGAATCATAGGAAGACATCTTCAAGTGACGAGTCGACATCTTCTGACTTGATTCTTCTTGTTCTATCTACTGTTGAGACTTACAATGACCTGCCACTGACTGTTCTATATCCAGGACCACCAGTTTAACTAGCTTAGGGGGACGGAGTAGGAGGAATGAACGTGAATGGCCAATTACTCAATATTATCTCTACCATTAGATTTCTGTAGACTAAATGACCGATATTAATTAAGACTGCGCCCCACCCGCGGACGGGGCATCCGCAACTTATAAAGCGCCATCCCCCCGCTTACTTTCTTACCTCTCTTCTTCTCACCATCCATCATCGTCGCTCTCGACGATCCAGGCGCCCTTTCTTTAATTCTCTAAAAACCTGCCGGGTCACAGACCCGGCCTAAAACATCGAACAATGCCGGTCACCGCCACATCCGCGCAGGTGCCTCGCCAGACCGGCCCCGTCTTCTTCCAGCCTCAGCAATCCGCATAATTCCCATTCTGGACATCTCCAACCGCATCATCAGTTTACTTCCTTTGAGTTCTACGATAGTAACCCCGCATTTTGTTCTCCAAACTTTGTCTTTCCGGATACCACTCTCGATCTTGCCTCGTTTGCTCCCGACGCGTCATTATCATTCTACGACGCCGACCCATCTGCCTTTTTACCTTTACCCCCCAATCTCGCTGGTTTCGGTGACCTGGACTATGCAAGTCTGCCAACGGGGGCTTCTAGTTCGCCGTACGCCCCCGATTCGCTTGACTTGTCTGCGATTTCGACTCCTGTTGATGTGAACGACTCTCTGCCGTTTTTGGACATTGATTCCTCGGGCACGGATTCAGGTATTCACCATTAGCTCTGACTGGAACCAGAATCATACTGACATTAGCAGACACACAAATCAATCACGGCCAACTACCTCTGCTCATGCCCGCCTCGAGACCACCACCCGTGTCCGTTACTGCGGCATCGACCTCCAAGGACACGCCCAAAGAGACCCCGAACCGGGTCTCGAAGCGTCAGCTGAATACCCTTGCTGCGCGGAGGTATCGCCAACGACGGGTGGACCGGATGAACGAGCTTGAGGCGGAACTGGAGAAGGTGAAGCGGGAGCGGGACGAGTTGAAGATGCGGGTGTCGAAGCTGGAGGGGGAGACGGATGCGTTAAGGGGGTTGTTGAAGAATAAAGACAAGTAATTTGGTCAATTTTGTATATTCAATGCAACATACTCTTACTCTTCTAATGTCCCACTTGCTGATCTGGTCCCGTAATGTATTGCCAAGATAATGCGCGTCCGTGTCACTCAGCGGTGGCGTTATCCGACGGTGTCAGCATACAAGCAGAGACCACTGCTAGAAGATGAGATATAATAATATCTTACTCACTACGCAGCTGATCAAGATCTTATCAACATTTTAACTGCGTAGATAACGGATTCCTGTTGATTGAGATGAACTTTGACGGGTAATGGCTGGTGGTGATCGACGCCAGCCTCTGTACATCATGCGGCTGATCTCCCACAAATCACGCTCTATCTGGATCATCAATCAACCCATTCCAGAGTTACTGAGGAGATTTCCAAGATCGACGGAATGTAAGCAGTAGAGAGAGTGCGTGAGAGAGGTAAAGAGAGAATAACCAGAAGAGTAACAGTGACGTCATTGCGCATCATGCCCCGAACCACAGCACCAACTGGTTCCTTTCCTTGGAAAGAGAAGATTCTTTCAAGATCCGTGCCTCGTCCCCAGAGCCGCCATCTTTAGGTCAATCTTCAACTCAATCTTGCAGAGAGAGTGTTCTAGGCAGTGGGCGATGTGCCCAGGGCTTACCCACCATGTCCAGCAACAATAACAGCAACAACGATAGCCACACATTGAACGAGAACGAGACCGAGGACCAGAGCAAGAACGATGGAATCACGAGCAAGGCAGGTAAACTACGTCAAAGATGGGGATGGGCAGAAAGTATGCGCTAACCATCTTCCACGAGCAGAGCATGGAGCTAGCCCCCTGCACCGGCTGCACAGGGCTAGACCGGCCAGATGCATCTATGGAAATGAACCCAGGCGATGAGGACGACGTGGACGACGTCGCAACGAAGCTGATCATGGAGGATCCCAGCTACAACCAAGATATCCTGAAGGATCTGCTCAACGTGATGCGCCTGGTGGACGACGCACACGTGCAGACGCTGCTGGGGATGATCCGCTCCGACTGCTCGCTGGAGGAAATGAAACACTTCGTCGACAAGACCTTGAAGGACGTGCAGGCTGCCGGCCGCGACGGGGAGACGGTCCAGCGGCTGCAGGATATGCGGATGCGGGTGCGCATCGAGAGCGGCGAGCCGGCGTTTCGGCCCCAGGTCATGGATATCCATTATCTGTGCGACGTAGCGCCGTACAAGGTGCCTGCCAAGCCATGGACGAAGGTGACGGATGACGACGCGCTGGTGTCGCATCTGATATCGTTGTATTTCACCTGGGATTATCCGTTCTACGCCTTTGTCGATATGAGGGCGTTTGTCCAGCATATGCAGGACGGGAATACCAACTCGGACTTGTGCAGTCCGTTTTTGGTCAATGCCATGCTGGCCAATGCATGTGTAAGTCTGTCTGCATGTCCGTCCAGTCTGGGAAGACTTGCTGACATCCATAGCATTATTCACAATACTCTGACGCATATGCGATACCGGGCGATGTGAAAACCAAGGGTAGCGATTTCCTCGCCGAAGCAGAACGACACATGCATAGCTACCAGCTCGAACGAGGGAGGAATGTCCGTCTTGCGTCTTTGCAAGCGACACTGCTTCTGTATGAAAGGTAGGTGCCTTCGCCAAAAGCTTTGCCACGTATTCACAGTGCAGGTATTCCATGTCTGGCGACGACGACCTGGGATATACCATGTTGCACCGCGCCATCGAAATGGCCGAGTCCCTTGGCATCATCAACGGCCCGGATCTCGACCTGGACAAGATGCAAATGTCCGAGGAGATGCGATCTTCGATCAAACGAACCGCCTGGGGGTTGTTCCAGGTCGACACGTAGGTCCTAGTATTCTGCTCCGCTCCTCTGCTCCTGCTGACTGCATAGCGTCGTGCATACCAACTTCCGAAAACCGAGCAAAATCCACCGCGTGTGCGTCAAGCGCATCGACCGCGACGAAAGCAAGCCCAGCGAGCTATGGATGCCCTATCCAACAGGCAGACCGCCACGGCCGTCCTTCCTGAGCCAATACTTTGACGAAGCCTGCCGACTGTCCTTCATCGCGAGGGACGTCTCCCATCATCTGTACGAAGACCCCAAACCCGACGCGACCCAGCACGAGCGAAAGAAGGAATTTTACGACAAGCTCCAGGGCTGGGAAGCCGAGCTCCCCGAATTTTTCGAGCCAGCCAGCAAACCCCCGGCCCATATTCTCTTACTGAGGTTGCCTCCCTTGCTTGGCCCCCGATCGAGCTCAGATTTACTGACGATATGACTAGGATGCGCTACCACGCCATCATGATCAGCCTCTCGCGCGACGGCTTCGGCGTCCACACCTTCTTCTCCGAGGAAGAAGGCAAAACACAGACCACCGTCCCTCCCTCCAGCCAGCTCCCGCCTAACCTCCGCGACAAAGCAACCGAGCAGAGTCTCGTGTCAGCACGCGCCATCGCCGCCCTGGTCCGCATCCACCGCGAGGAATACGGCATCGGCCGCACGCACCCGTTCACCACGTACGCGATCATGGTCGCGCTGTTCACGATGCTCGACCATGCATCGTTCGACATTCTCGACAGTGATTTCCTGGCCCTCACCAGTGCGTTCTCGGTCATCGCGTGCCGGTCGCAGGTGGGTCGGAATCTGTTCCATATCTTCCGGCAGTCGGTAAGAGCGCATGACCAGGAGGCGCGCGTGCTGGAGTCGGATGAGGCGCCGGAGGAGATTAAAGAGCTGTTTGGGCGGTATCCGCGCTCGCAGAAGCCGGATAAATGGGATGAGTATGAGGATGGGCTGGATAAGTTGGGGGAGGGCGAGGGGAGGGATGTGGCGTCGGTGGATGGCGTGAGGATGCGGAATTATGCGGCGTCCGGGGTGCATGATATGTTGAGAAAGTATGAGAGTCTGAGTCTGGGGCATGATCGGACGTAGCTCTTTGCATGTATTTGTATCTATCTATCTATACTATCATGAATGCATGGTCGCCTCATATCAATCATTCATATCGACAGACATACTAATCACATGTCATATATACACATACCACTGAGCTAAAGTGTCCAGAGACTCCAGACAACCATCTCTAGCTAGTAGTAGAATCTGCGATACTGAGAAATTTAGATTGTGAGTAGCACGTAGATAGACGAGTCCAAGTCTTATCATACCCCCCATCCCGCAACCGCAGCAATAAGACAGCTACGCTCGCGATCAATAATGATACACAAAATTCAACTCCTTATCACCCGTCCTCACAGCCCTCGTATCCTCCTTCTCCCCCGTCTCAATCTCCCTCTTCAAGCTATTCTCCCGCCGCAAATACACCGCATGCCCCAGAACCACCGCCTGGGCAACGACCAGCGCCCCCAGCGAGAACGAATTCCCAAGCACATACGGCGACGTCCGATAGATCTGCCCCGAGACAATCCCTGCCAAGTTCCCAATCGTCTGCTGGACGCCGATCTCCAGCGCGCGGCGGTAATGCGGCGCCACATTCACATTCAGCCAGGCGATGTTCAGCCCGACGCCGGTATAGGTCGCTATCCCGATGAGGTACGTCGCGAAGTACTTGACTGCGTTATTACTAACCGCCAGGAGGAGGATATACCCGACCAGCCCGAACATATTAGTGACGAGCACGAACAGCGCAAAGCGGCTGTACCGATCGGCCGCCCACGCGACACTCACAAACACAATCGCCGCCCAGAAGTACACCGGCACGGTGAGGATATTGCTCATGAGCGAATCGTACCCGATCCCCTTGAGGATGGTGGGGAGGAAGGTGCTGAACCCATAGAGCAAAATATCCTGGCAGAATTGCGTGATGGCGCTGAACGCGAGCTTGGGGTCGGTGATGGCGATCCGCATCTCGGCCCAGCTGAACTCGTCGCTGCCCATGTAGGCGCGGCGCTGCTCGTTGCGCACGCGCATCATGTGTTTCTCGTCGGGGGTGAGGAAGTAAGCGTTTGCCGGGTCGTTGGGGAGCCCGAACCAGATGAGGAATGCGCAGATGAGGCTGAAGAGGCCTTCGATTATGTATACCCATCTATCCCGTTAGCTCAGCATTAGTCCTCAGGTGGAGGGAGACGAGGGGAGACAAGGGAATACCTCCAACCAGCCTTCCCCCCAATGCCGTCCATATGCAAAAGGCCATACGCAAGTAACCCGCCAAACGCGCCCGAAATGGCGGCGCAGCTCATGAGATACGAGACGCGCTTCGCCTGCTCCTCGCGGCGGTAGACCATCGTCAGGTACAAATTCAGGCAGGGGAAGAGGCCCGCTTCACAGGCGCCCAGGATGAGACGGGTAGCGTAGAGCGCGGGGACGTTGGTCACGAACCCCGTGAAGACGGTCGTGATGGACCAGACGATGCACAGTCCCGTGAGGATATTGCGTGGGGTGAGCTTCTTCATCAGCACGGCCCAGGGCGCCTCGAGGAGCACGTAGGTCACGTAGAAGATGGAGACGGCGGTGGAGAATTGGCTGGGCGAGGCACCGATGGCTTCGGGCATGCCTGCTACTTTGACGTTTCCTATCTCGTGTCAGTGTAGATCAGATAGCTGGTTAAGAGGAAAATACCGATGTTGGTTCGGTCGAGGAAGCAGGAGAGGTAGGTTAGCATGATGATGGGGACAAAGGCGAGGTCGAGTTTGAGGAGGAGTTTGCGCTCCTTTTTTGGATCAAGGACGACATTTTCGATGGCGATGCCCTGGTCGATGTCTTTGTCTTGGGCATTGTCGTTTTCCAGGGGTTCCTGGAGGGAGGGTTTGTGGTCTACTGGCTCGGCGGACATTTCGTCTGACTATGGGTATAGACGAACAGTCTGGATGCACTGCTCTTATAACGAGCTCATTTCAAAGTAGCAAATCGGTAAATGATAGAGTTACCCCGGAATTTGATAGGCAATATGGTATGGATTATCTTCCGTAATGAAAACTGCCATGCCAATCGTCTTCCTCGGCCGATCATCCCCTCATCGGGCCGACGAAATCAAGCCATTGGGGTGATAACAGTGGAGCGGCGTGGGGATGGACAAACTTTAGTCTGTGGCTGTTGGAGAATTGGGTTCCTAGCAAGGTCAATGGCGGCAATTCAAGCCGTGTGGATCGGCACGAGCACCAAGAATACTGATAGCCTGATAGGACATTGAGTACCGTCTCGCCAGGGGGAGCCTATCTCGGAGCCCACATGCCGATATCTGGGGTATCCAGGTAAGGTACCCGCAACGCTGATAGATAGACACTCACGCAGTAAATATGATAGTGATTGTAGATATCTGAGGTGCATCCACTGTTTCTACGTACATCACTTCCATATCGTGAGTCGTAAATTCGTAACCATACCATCTTATCAATTAGCAAAATGGGCAGCATCACCACCACCAACAGCATCATCATCACCACCAAGAGCGACTGCAAAATCGACAGCAAAACCAATGGCAATAGCTACACCACCCGCCTCCTCGCCCGCCAAAACCTCATAACCAACACCTCCGGCCTCTCCCCGGGCTCCCTGCAAGCCAACCTCCTCGTCCTCCCCTCCCGCTACGCCCCCGACTTCCACGCCCTCTGCCTCCGCAACCCCGTCCCCTGCCCTCTACTAGGCATCATTCCAGCCGGTAATCCGCAAACCGTCTTCCCAGCCGCCTGCATCACCCACCCGGATTTCGACCTCCGCACCGACTTCCCCCAGTACCGCGTCTACCGCGCGGGCCGACACATCGCCAGCACAAAGGACCTGAAGGACGTATACACGCCCGACCACGTAGGCTTCCTGCTCGGCTGCTCGTTTAGTTTCGAGGATGCGCTGTGCGAGGCCGGGTTGACGCCGCGGCATCAGATTACCGGCCGCTTGGTCGCTATGTATCGGACGAAGGTGCCGCTCATGCCTGCCGGGGTGTTCAGCGAGGCGTGCATGGTTGTCTCGATGAGGCCGTATAAGGCCGCTGATGTGGAGAGGGTGAGGGAGGTGACGAGGCCGTATGGGGCGACGCATGGCGAGCCGGTTGCGTGGGGGTGGGACGGGGCGGAGAGGTTGGGGATTCGTGATATCAACGTGCCGGATTGGGGCGAGGCGCAGGTGTTTGAGGAGGGCGAGGTGCCTGTTTTTTGGGTAAGTATCACCTACATCTTGTGGCGTATTGAGGTGCAGGGCTGACTGACGGCAGGCGTGTGGGGTGACGCCGCAGTTGGCGGTTGAGATGGCGGGCGAAAAGATCGAGGGACTGGTGTTTGCGCATGAGCCGGGGAATATGCTGATTACGGATTGGACGGCGGGGGATCTGGAGGCGTTGAGGGAGAAGGCTGGGATTGCTATGCCTATGTAGCTGCTGATACACCCTGGTAGGATAAAGGAGCCTTCGTCTGCCAGTACATCGACCAGTCGATGGCATCGCATTCAATTGTAGAACGGCCAGTCTTCATATGTGATGATCTGGTACTGGAGTGGCTCAGTCAAAACAAATCTCGCATGACAGTCGACAGATCCCCGCCATAATCATACATATACCCATTGGCCAACCTGCCATTGCCATCGTCAAAGACCTGCGTCACTCCCATGATCTGATTCTCCAGCGTCCCTACGGCCTCAAACCACTCCATCAGTTCCTGCGTCATTTGCGCCCCGTCCTGCGGTGTCTGGCCCTGGTTGCTGGTCGGCCCCATATCCACCGCCTGATTAGCAGTCAAGACACGCCCGTCAGACGCTGATTGCCGCAGCCCAACCTGCGGCCCGAGCTTGCGCAGGCTCTTGATCGATTTCCACAGCCGCCGGGAAATGTACGACTGCGTGGAGAACCCCTTGACCAGCTCCAGGGCCATGTAGAACTCCTCCTTGCACCGGCTGCTGAACTGGCCCGGCGCCTGGACCACAGCCAGAAACAGAACGGCCAGCGCAGACACTAAGAACCAATTAAACGCAACCTGCTGCAGCTGGTAAATGTCCGACGTCTCGTTCAGCCGCGTGATGAAGCGGATCGTGTCCTTGGCCAGGTCCACGGCCGTCTGGCACTCGCCCGGATAGCGCACGATATGCGCCGCCGAATGCAGGACGGGCCGGTGGATGAGCATGCGCAGCTGGTTGGCTCGCAGGTACAGCAGCGAGCGCAGCCGGCGGATACTGCGCGGTTCCGTGGCTGGGCTGTCATCGCCCAAACGCAACGACGCCGGGATGGCGGCCGCCCATTGCAACACCTGCCAGTCCAGATAGTGCATATCGTCCTTTTTAATCTCGCCGGTGTTGTTGAAGGCGGAGATAAACTTCCATACCTTGGCCGCGATGCGACTGTACCGGATCATCATGCGCAGGTACGGTGTCTTCTCCTCGGGCTCGGGCAGCCAGGGGTCAATGTCGCTGTCCTCGAGAGAAAAGGGCATTCCCGTGCCGAAGCTCCAGCGCATGTCCAGCGTGTAGATGGACCAGAACAGCCGCAGAACTCGATCGCGGCCGGCCGCTACCACCGTCGGATGGCTGAGGGTCTCGCGCCGGTGCAGGCCTTTTTCCAGGCACATGCGCTCGACGATACCGATCGTGCGCCACGCCAACGCCTCTTCATCCATTTGAAAGTAGAAAATCGCCTAACCCTTAGCATCTTCGCGTCATATAACAGAAAGAAAACTCACCACCAAAGTCAAAAGGATAATCCGGTCGATCTCCGGCGCGGCCCAGACACAGTCGTCCGCCACGTCGCGCACACTCTCAAACAGCTGCATGGCCAGCTCGCTGCGCCCGCTCGCCTCCGCCGTCAGCGCACACGCAAACACCAACCGTAGGATATGAGCATCGTAGTCCCCAGACCGCAGGGGAAGTCGGGGTGACGGTCCATAGAGACCCTCCACCTGCCGCAGTAACTCCTCCAGCTCCACCACGGGGTACATGATCCCCATCTCCTCCTCGTACACCCGACACAGCCGGATCGCCTCGGCCTTGCTGATCGTCCAGAGGGGGTCCTTTAGCATCTCGAGCGGGGTGCCGTCCCGAGTGGGGGGCGTGACATCCCCGTCATCCCCTTCCTCGCCGACTTCGTCCCCGTCCCCGTCGCCATCGACAATCCCCCGGCGCTGCAGACTACTCTTAGCTAAATCAAAACTAAACGCCGAGGTCGTGGGACCCTGAAAGGTCAACTCCTTCGCTGACGAAGGTCGACGGAAGGCCCGGACCTGATCCTGCGGCGAGGCGCCAGGTCGCGAGAGAGCATAGACTGCAGCCGAGAGCGCAGATATTTGCTCCTGCATGGCGGACATTTGCTCAATGAGACGAGACATATTCCTGCTTTGTCAGTGTGCATGTCGAATGACTGAATGAGTGCATCACATACTGCTGGTCACTCGAGTCGGATCGCGGCCTCTCCGCGTAGACACATTCGATATGTTGCCGGCCGCAGCGTTGGCAAGGTGATTGCCCGTTGCATTTGATCTTGCGTCGTTTGCATTCATTGCTGACGCGGTTAGTTATTATTGTTGTCGTAGGTCAGTAATAGGCTCACCATGCTTTGGTGATGTATTTCCGCCGTCGTTTCCGGGGACGGGAGTTTTCGTCCCGGGCAGTTGGCCATATATCTAAGACTGGAGGGCTTTGAGAATGGTCCATAGTCCTTCAGCAGGATGAGTAGTATAGAATTATGAAGAAATTCAAGTGAACTGTGTAGGAATAAATGCGGATGGGAAACGCGGAGATTCCGTGCGGGGAGCGGAATTAGTGCCTCGGTGTTGGTGCCTGCGTGCCTGATGATACTATATCGACGGCACTGTGATCGATATTGAATATGGGACAGATTACTGGTTGATACTTTTGAATTCAATGACGGTCGTAATAATAGCTTACATGCTAGACGCTTTTACACAACAAGATACTTCAAGTATATCTACTACAACTCCTTGGTCCGCTCATCACTCTCGGCAATCCATTGCTGCAGCTTCGACGCATCCCGAGGCTTGAATCCCACCTTGAACGGCTTAGGCTCGGTGGTCAACGCTGTTGGGATCGCATTGCACTCGATCGCATCCAGGATCGGCCGGTCAGCAGGATCGCGCGCCGGATGCATCGTAAAGGCCGTGATCAGGCGGATGTAGGCCGTGTACAACTCCCGGTTGGCCAGATGGGAGCCTGCGCACATGCGCGATCCAGCACCGTAGCCGTAGTGAGGGGTGCCTGAGCCTTCGCTGACGTCGAGGTATCGCTCGGGAATGAACTTGTCGGGCATCTTGAAGTGGTCATCGTCGTAATCGGCGGCATATGCGTTCTATGCTGTCAGTATTTGGCTGGACAAGGATGATGACACCTACCATGAAAAAGGTCGTTCCCGCAGGAATGGTGGCGCCGTTATAGACAATATCCTTGGTGCTCTCGCGGGGCAGGCAGATGGGAATGACGGTCCAGTATCTCAGAGTTTCCTTGACGAGAGCCGTGACGTAAGGCACTTTCTCCTCGACCAGGCACTTTTCCCAGGCGTCTCCGTCGGGGTAGACCTTCATGATCTCGTCGTAGGCCTTTTGCTGGATGCGCTGACCGTCTTCGGAGGCCAAATAGGCGATTCCCATGATCAGATTTCCAGGAACGGTATCCAGACCGGCGGAGACCATGGTCAAGCAGATGGATTTCACCTCGGCTGGCAGGTCAAAGGTCAGTAAGGCAAGTCATCAAAATGATAAGGCTACTTACCCTCGTTCAGCTTGGCTTCTGGATCTTTGAGAATGTTGCCGGTAATGCATGGCTTGTCGGTACCTTGGGCGATGCGTTCCTTGAGCATATCCAGCAAAAACGTCAGGTACTTGTCGCGTCGCACCCGGAATTCCTCAGCCTCGCGATTCGTCTTGGGGAAGATGCGCAGTAGCGGGATATAGTCCTGCCAGTTGTTGCTGGTACTGCGGAAGTTGGACACGCCGCGCTCGACGTCGACGATCTCGCGCAGCAGAGCATCGTCGACGTTGCCTTCGATGCGGAACCCATAGTTGAGAGTGAGACTGGTGTTGAGCGCAAACCGCTGGAAGTAGGCCGTGGGATTGATGTCCACCGCCCCGTTGCGGCAGTCCTTGAGCAGCTCTCTGATACTGGCCGTGGCTTCGAGGTCGATAATGGGCATGTACGACTGCACGGCGGGGCGATTCAGCGCAGTGGCCGCAGCCTTTCGGCGTCGCTTGCAGGACTCATCCCAGGGCGAGGTGCCAATCGTAAAACCCTGGGAGCTGGATACGACGCTGTGGAAGGTGTGGAAGGTGGGCCGCGAGATGAGGGCGGACTGGTCTTTGATCCACAGCTGTTTCACCGATTCGAAGCTGTTGGCAAATATGATGCGCTAGCAGTCGCGGTCAGCAAGAGACCCCGCTTAAGGTAAAGGACTAAGCGCAGTGACTTACCTTGTTCCCCATGCGCACTTGGAACACAGGGCCGTGCTTTTTGGCCCATTTGGCGGCGACGGTCGCATGTTGGTCGCCCAGCTGTAGCAGATTGCCAAATACAGGCACTCCGGGAATCTCAGGAAGGCCTTTGATCTTGGGGATGTCCGTGCGATTCAAGTAGCGGATAAGAAAGTACACCGCCGCGACGACGGCAATGATAATCGTCTGCGCCATCAGATAACTCTTTAGATAAGTTTGTTATGGATATGGATATAGGTATAAGTGGTGATATAGGTGCAGCGAATGCGACCGTTTATATAAATGTCTGGTCGTGGATCTGCCCCCCTCTTTGCCCGCAGTGGCATTCCGCGTCAGTTACTGTCATCCCCCCAGCAGGGATCTGCATAGTTGTCCAGTCGCTGTAGTCCATCTGCATCTTCATTAGATAACGGACGACGGGGATTGGTTAATCATCGACAACCGAGGACGCGGCAAGGCAGCGGGATTTCGGAATCCCTTCCGCTGCGGTCGCGTGCGGATATGACTATATTCTAGATTGCTAAGGTACAGTATCCTTATCTACGTCTATAATATCTATAATTCCAGACTTCTCCTCCTTAAAAGAGACTTAATCCTTAAGGTATGTACCATGTTCTTTAAACGATGCTAATATGGCTTCCGGTCCACTTAGGTACTTGAGCCTTAAGGCTACTATTACCGATACTATATATATTCTATAATGCGGATCTGCTCGAGATATGTAACACATACAGGATACTGTGCGACAACCATTGATGAAATAGAACGGAAGAGCTCCGAGAAGAGTGCCTCCCTAGTGAAATCCGATGCGCCCACTGGCATTGCAGGAACGAAGTAGCAGACAAGGCAGCTAAAGAGGCCATGCAAACACATCATGGGAAACGGCGTGGAAACAGGATTAGCAAGGTATGACCTTTTTCTGGTATGTACCGAGGCCAACCTAGAAGATCCTCTTGCTACCAGTGAGTACAGAAGAGATAGGGCTCAACGACTCCTCTTCAGCCAAATCTCTACAGTTTCATGGCTGCAATATCATTCATGAACAAATAACAATACAGAGAGATCACTCAGAAGAAGAAGAAGTCGAAGAAGATTCTTCTATACCTATTGACGTTCGCCGTCAACATTATCGTTCTGGACCTCCGGGTTCTTTTCCATACTCTTGTCCTATCACCTAGTCTGAATGCCACGTCGGTATCAGAAAAGCTTAACGGGTCCCAATCCTGAAGGATCTGAGACCACAATCATCTACATCCTCTATTGGCTATGTAGATAGATATGTCTAGTCTTTAACTGCACCCCTAGACTTAAACTAAGCGATTAGATGGCACTACGTAACCTATGAGGCGAGTGTATGTCTTACGTAGCTAGATGAAACAGAACCAGTGAATATCATATTCATCCCAACTCCTCGCTAACCGACACAAGACACAGACACAAGACAGAAAGAAACAAGCCGTAACCAATCATTGATACTTATTAATACCTCCTCCTCGTCTTCGTCCCCCAGGCACCCAATGATGGAAATACACCTGTCCAGCAGACACAGACGCAGCCGTAGACATCGCCGCCCCCAACCCAGCTCTTGCTCTCCCCCCACTACTCCACGACCGCCGCTTATACGCCCTTCGCAGGAAGCTATCATCCAGGTGTACCCGCCGATACACCACGCGCTGAGCGTGCTCACGCTCATGCTCACTCTGTCTCCTCAAGAGCATACCCTCCGACACCGGTACCGGTACCGACACTGCATTACTCAGCTCAGCTCACCATCTTGCGTAAGAAAGATTAGGGTAAATACCTCGATAACACCCCCGTAGATGCGGATACACCCTATCCCTATTGGCATACCCACCGCGCGCATGTGTAGACATATCTGCAGAATGAACAGGAACCGAGCGAGGCGCCGACGCAGCAGCTACCAGAAACGGAATGTAGATGGCAGGGATGCCCCTCCTCAATGCATCCGTCAGAATCGCATACTCGGCTTGCCGTCTGGCGAGTTTGGCTTTTTCGATGTCGGTTTGGGTGGATGCCATATCCGGGTTTGGATTCGTGGCGTACATGATAGTATTTTCTTGGTATTCCTTCGTTGGACTTTGACGAGTTGCGGGTTGCAGTTGCTTGGTGCAATTACTGGGGGTGTACAGTTATATACTCCTATGTAGTCCTCAGCACGGCATAGACTTGACTTCTTCCTCGCATTCATGGATCATGTGCCGCGTCAGGCATAAATAGATTAACGTTACACTGGTCTGGTATCTAGTAGATGGGGGCACATACGCTAGGATCTAAACGCAGATCAAGTGTGGCGGTGGGTGTTTCAGGTTGTTTCAACTAGAGCTGTTTATCTGCAGGACATGCTTGTCATACGGGGTACATAGCTAGCCAGACCAAGTATTCTTTGCGTCCTCGTGATCATCCGCTTCAGCGTAAACCATAAGAGTTATTCATGCATTGAATCATCTACTATACATCATAGGCACACTGCTCCAACGAGTGTAGCCAGAACCCAAGTGCAGAAGAAATACAATCCTACAATACATAGCCGATCGGCTGACATATATGCAATGAAGGCAAAGAAGGCAAGAAGGCAAAGAGTGGACTAGCGTGGAGCATGCTGTGGGGGCATCCCACTTGACCCTTGACTGTAACCCCGTTGATGTCCTGGAGTGTGGCCAGAGGAAAGAGGCTCGGTCAGAGATCCAGGGCCGGATGGCCGCGCCTGGAGAGGATGCATACCCGATGATGGACCGCTAGGACCGTAGCCGGCCGGGTTCGGCTGTAGAATCGCCGGCGGGGTATACGACCGGCCCATGGTTACAGATTGAGAGGGCGGTCCTGGCAGCCCCGTCGCACGCGAAGCCTGGGCTTGCGGTTGGGCTGTATTGTGGCCATAGCCAGCGCCACTCAATCCCATCGGACCGCGATGCGACTGCTGCTGATGGGATCCGTTGACCATGGTCTGCACATGCTGCTGGTATGTCTGGTGAGCCGACATATGACTCGGTGGGGCTGGAGCAGACACGGTGGACGCGGGCGGCCGAGACCCAAGGCCAAGCAGACTTGCTTGGGATTGGACGGGCGTCGGCGGGCCCTGTCGTGAGCCATACCCAATGGAGTTGTGGCGTGAAGTGGGAGATCCAACTGCGGGCCGGAAAATCTGATTCTGCGAGCCCAGATCGCGCGTGCCACTAGGTGCTGTTTGCGTGAGTGAGGACGGCGACTGTGCGTAGACCGATCCGGGATACGAGGGACGCTGAGTCGGAGCCGGGGACGGTGTAGGGGCCGGAGATGGAGCGGTGAGGTTGGGAAGAGAGGAAGCGGGATGGGATTGCCCAGAGGTATATGGAGAGTACGACGGCTGCGCTGCCAAGGTTGTCGCCGGACGATTACCAGACTGCGGGGGCTGGGGAGGTGCAGGTTGCTGCTGTTGCTGTTGGCCTCTCGGGTCGAACCGAGCCATCCAGTCGTTGTTCGCCGGCGGGCCGGGGGATCCTCCAGGCACCGTAGAGTAGGCTTGATAATCCGAAAAAGCACGCGACGGCGGCAGGTACTGACTGTGTGGGGCGTAAAGAGGCTTTTGCGCGGCAGCGGATGCCAAGTACGTCTCGTCCTGACGCGACGGTGCCTGTTGAGGTAGAGAATGGGCCCCTGAGTAGATGGGACGAGACGGCGACGCTGGCCTGCCGGGCACGTTGGACGAGGCTTGGTCGCTGGCAAACCGCTTCCGGGGCTGTGGCTCCTCCGGCTCATCATTGAGAATGCTCATAATGTTGGACCGTTTAGCAGGCACTTGCCGCGGTGCCTCTGCGGGCTCCAGCGGAGTCGAACTGGGTCGTGGCGGCTCCTTGGGCGGGGACAGAATCGGCGGAGKCTGGGACAGTCCAGCATGCTGGCCGGGCAGTGGGTAAAATGGCCGCTGGCTGGTGGAGTCGCGTCGAATGGGCGATACCTCCGCCTCCTGCCGCTGCAAATGCTGTGCAGGCGAACCGGGCGGTTTCGAAAGGCTGCTTTGGCGGGAGTGAGTAGCCGCTGCCATGAATGCATGCTGTTGCTGTTGCTGCATGTACGCCTGCTGTGACGGAGGAATCGAGCTCTGTGCCGCAAGTAACGGCGACCCGTGCATGTCCATACTCGCGGTCCGAAAATTTTGTGCGTGGAGTGGCTCCATCCGGGCCATTTCCGATACCGGTACAGGGGTCTGGCGTGCAGAGAGCGGTGTTTCCTGCGGTCGGACATTTGCATGTGCAACCAGGGTTGCCGGACCATCCCGTCTTTCCTCGGTAAAGTAGCCCAGGCGTGGCCCCGGCAGACGCGGCGGCAGGCCCACTTGTGATCGGACAGCCCGCGATGGATCTTCACCAAGCATCGGCACTGTCGACATCGGTACGTTGCTGGCTTGTGCCAGTGGCGGGTACCTGGAAACAGTGCGCTCCTTCTCTGGAGGAGGTCGCGCATGCAAAGGTGCGAGCTGAGAGGGTGGGGCAGCATGCTTGGCCTTGGCGGTACGCGCCTCGTCCGACTCTGTCACGGTGTCAGTATGGGGTGCCAGCGGTCGAGGCATGATCGACGACGGTGTCGCTTCATATCGTCGCTTCGAAGCAAAGTTAGGCACGGGCAGAGGACCAGTCCGTTCACCACGAGCCTTTTTAGCCTCTGCATCGGCGACGATGTCCTCGAAATCTTTCTGCCCCGAGTCTATGCGCCTCTGGAAGTAATTTTTGACCTAAAACGAGTCAGTAACTTCATTGTCGATAGGCAGAAGGAAAGTAAAGCAATGGAAGATGACTTACCATAACAGTAGTCTTCGTCTTCATAAAGTTCGAAATGCCCTCGAAGTCTCTGCCAAAGTGGGCCAGCAGCTGTGGAAAGTCACGCTGCTCGGGAACAGACCAGTAGCTCGTAGGTTGCAGCGATCCGTAGCCACCCTCGACGGGCCTGGCAGATCCCAAGCTCTCTTGTTCCGCCGATTCGAAGACGTACATGCCTTCCCTCTGGCGGCCTCTTCCGGCCTTCGCTCGCGGTGGTGCCTCGGTGATTTCTCTCTCGGTCGTTTCCTTGAGCCGTACAGGTGCTTCAGTGATGCCAGCCATGAATGTCTCGGGTAGCTCTGTTTTAGGCGCGGGAACAACAGGAGCGGTAACTGCTGGCACTGGCAAGTTCTGCATAGGTTGTTCTGAGGGCCCTGGGTGCGGTAATTTCGACACCTCGGTCGGAGGCTGGGGTAAGGGGGGCAAGGCCTGCTGTTGCTGCTGCTGCTGCTGCTGTTGCTGTTGCTGTTGTTGCAGTTGTTGCTGCTGCTGAGCAGCTTTGCCTCGTCGATTGCCACGTGTACCTGTGCCAGTTCGACCACCTCGTCTGCTGGGTTTCTCTCCTGGCTCACTGTCCTTGCCAGCACCGCGGCGACCATTGGTATCTGTATCAGCAGCGGAGGAGTCCCCAAAAGTAGGCGCAGCGGCACGGCGCGGACGGCCAGTATCTGTGACAGGAGCTGGCTCTTCTTCGCCATCGTAATCGGGTTTGACGACACCGAGATCTTTCATGAGAGCGTTGGACTTTGGCCGAGCGGATCTTCGAGCACGACCGCGACGACTCCATCTCTTGTTCAACTTCGCCTTGTACTTGATTTCTTCCTTTGTGAGGTAATAGTGAACGATACACTGCTGGAAATCCCGTCCGGGCAGCGACTCTGCGATCTTGCCCCACTTCTTGGGGTAAGCCATGAAGGCATCAGTGAATATCTCGTGTTCCTCGGGTGTGAAGTCGTTGGGAGGAGGTAGGAAGCCGAAGACATCCATGGCGTTCGCAGGGTCGACAGAGTTGTTGGTATCCTTGTAGATCTGCGCCTTTGCCTCCCTTGGCTCAAGCATGTCTGGGATGATGGCTTCCCGGGCGAGGTCTGGCTGTGCCGTAGCCTTGTTTCCCCGACGGCGTTCCAGTTCTTCCTGCGCAGATATTTCGGACGCACGGAGCGCCATCTGAAAGTCGAGCTCGCTGTTACCTTTGTATCGTCTTCCTTCGGCGACCGGAGGCGTTGGTGCAGCAGGGGGAGCCGGAGGCGTTTGAGGACCAGGAGTGGCGGAGGTTCTGGCCTTTGCGCGATCCAGTTCCCAGACTTGCAGTCTCCAAGGCTTGTAGTACGACAAGTACTCCTCGCGAAGCTCCGCGTTCTTCCGTGCAATCTCCTTCCTCCGCTTAATCAATTCTTGACTGAACACATCCTTCATATGAGCGTGTATCGCCGCATTTTCCTGGTAAATGTCAAGGTCCGATATTGGTGTAGGCGGACCAGACTGCAAGAATGGCAGGTCTTTAACAGAAATGATATCCGCTGGGGGAACTATATCTAAAGCGAGCTTTGGTGACGTCTCGGGAGTTTCTAATTCAGCGTCTTGCTTGACCACGACAGGTGCAGATTCCTCGACCTCATCTGCCGCCTTGGGAACTTCGACCGAGGGAAGAGGGGAGAGAGTCGCTTCGCCTGCAGGTTGCTCGTTGGCAAGGACTCCTAAGAGCTGGATCTGCATTAAGAGCGAAACGATATGCGGATCTTCAAGGGGTGGAGGAGGCATTCCGGCGCGGAGCGCTTTCATGTCCTTTTCGAAGATTTGTTTCCGTTCCTCAAGGTACTCTTGCGTGAATACGCCGTTCTCATCTTCGTCTTCATCGCTTGATCGGCCAAAGTCTGGTATCAACGCGTCTTCCTGCATGGCGGGTTTGTGTTCCAGGGGGACTTTCTTCTCAGACTCGACATCTGCTTCTGGCGCACGTGGAAAAGTGACAGGGCGAACTGCGTCAGATTTAGAAGGTTCAGGGGACATCTGCGCGTCGCGTTCGATCTCCTTGTCGGGCAAAATCTCGCCCGCCTCGAGTTCGGTACCATGGTCATCGGCTGGAGCGGGTGGTTCCCGTTTGGGCTCCTCACCGATGGACAGACTTCGCTCTTTCCCATCGATGGAATCCCGCTTCGGCAGTGGTACTGCACCAGCTCCGGCTGGGTGACGATTATAACCCGGTCGAGGCCACGGCGCTTTACCCTTTGGAGGTCCTCGAGTCGGCGTTG